CCAAGGGCAGGTGCACCCTGATGGGCGGACGATGGGCAGGGTCAGAGACCAGAGCGGACGCGTAGTCACCGACAGCAGCGAAGTCAGCGACAGCAGCAACAAGGGTACAGACTCCAGCAAGAGGGGCCGTAGGGTTCATAACAAGAGAGGCCAGTAGGCGGGAGACAACTAGGCAAGCAGTGCGAGCACAGTCAGAGGGAGGAGCGGAGGAAGGGGGTAGGGACAACGGAGGAGGTAACGGCAAGACAAGGACTGAAGGAGCACGAGGGCGAAGGACCATGGAGTGGACATGAATACGAGGAGAGACAGGACGACCACCAGGGGGACGCGCACTCCTGGGTGGGCAACGAAGGATGGTACAGGGGATGGAGGAGAGCGAGGGGGGAAAAGAGTTAGACAGGGGTCCGAGGGAGGGAATAGTGGGCCGTACACGGGGGTAGGCGGGAGGGGAGGCACTGTGGGAGGCACGGGCGGGCGGTCAGGGGAACCGGAGGAAAGACCAAGGAGGCTGAGGGCAATTTGCGTATGTGGTTGCTGCTGCTGCTGCTGCTGCTACTGGCCCATGCCAGGGCCCCCATCCCCACCAATGACACCGCCAATACTCTCCGAGATAGCACCCCTAGAACTAGCTCCCCCAGAGTCGGCACCCCCTGATCCACACCCCCAGAGTCAGCGCCCCCTAAGCCAGCACATCCAAAACCACCATCACCAGGGCCCACAGTCCCCCGCTCTATTGCTGCTGCTGCGACTTTGGTGGAGGCGGCGGCGGCGGCTGCTGCTGCTACCGCAGTGGGGGAGGTTGCAAAGGAGCCTGGGGCATCGGGGCTGGGGGGAGGGGAGCCGCAGCTACAGCTGGCGCACCCCCAGCCATGGGGCTCTCAGAATCAGCAGACCCCCTCACAGGCCCCACCGAGGGGAGGGAGGTGGTGTGGGAGACACCAGACGGGGCCGAGCGGGGTGGGAGGGGAGCGGCAGGTGGGGCACGAGTGAGGAAGAGGGGGGGGGGACTAACACGAGTGCCAGGGTGAGGAAAGCAAGCGTAGTAGGAGACAGACTAGTCAAATGCAATATCACGGGAGCGAAAAAAACGATGCTGCACCAGGTGGAAGAACAGCCAGTCAGGAGTGTCAAACGGGAACCAGAGGAAGACACAAAGGAGAGTGTGGGCTGAGAGCTTGTCCGCGCTAGTGTCGCGGACGTGAGCCAGGCAGCCCCAGACATGGAATGCAGATGAGGGCCGGAGAAACCTGTGGCCGCGAGGTGCTAGACCACAGATTAAGCTGGTGAGCCGCATACCACATCACAAACGGCCACAGAAAATGGGGGCACCGGCATGGACCATGGAGGTGTAAGCCACCTACATGATCAAGCCGATGCGCCGCTCAGCGACCCCATTCTCCTACAACGACTCTGTTAGGGTAAACGTCTGCGTGATGCTCTCCACACGGCAGAACGCTCCAAGACAGCCAAAGGGAAACTCACCACCAGGGTCGGAGTGAAAACAAAGCACGGGCAGGGAGTGTTGCGCACCGACGACTCGGAGCCACGGGAGGAGGCCGACAAGCACATCGACCTTCCGCTCCAACGGGAACATCATGGTATAGCGCGAGAAGTCGTCGACGACAACCAAGAAATAGCGTTCTCTGTGCGGCCCAGGGACTGAGGCAGGGCCCTAGACGTCCCTGTGCAGGGTCTGTAGCATGCAGTGGTCAGAGGAAAAGAGGAGGAGTGAGGGGCGGCACGCTACCGGCCCTCGACGCAAGAGGTACACGTGGGCGCTATTGAGGCAGGGAGGGCGGGGAGCGACGCGTGGAGACCAGTGACCAGGCCGTGCTGTGCCATCTAACTTGGGAGGGAGGAATGGCCTAAGCAGTGGTGCCACAGGAGTGCTGGGTGGGAGGGAGCGACAGGAGCAGGACACGGCAACCTGGGTGGACGCAGCTACCTAGGAGGTCTCCGAGTGCAGTGCGAAGAGACTTGACGCTAAGTTGCGCTCAAAGGTGACGAGGCGAGTGCCCGTGATTGCGTCCGTATAGGCTGCACCACGGGTGGCCAGGAAACGTAGTGGTGACACTGAGGTCCTGAATATGACCGAAACCAACAAGATTCCTGATAAACGTGGGGATGTGCATGTCGGTAAGGGAGCCGGACGGGACAACCGGGTAGGGGAGGGTCGTGGTGCTGCGAGCGACGACTGTGGTAGGCGTATCTGCTAGGGAGACCAGTACCGGTGCCGGAAGCGGGGTCTTAAAAAAAGCAGTGAGATGCTCCAAAGACAGGCCTCTTGCTAACAGGGTAATTACCCTTACTATCTAAAAATTAGAGAGTAACTTTTCCAGCGATTCCGTTTTTTTCCGGTGCGTTTTTTTCTTTTCAAATCCGTCCAACTTACGAAAGCGAGTTCGCACGATTCCTTATACTAACGGGTAAATTTTCTTTGAACCCGACTATCTATACTTGCAGTAGGGCAATCTGTAGGCGATAGCTATACCACCTTCCCCACCCAACACATCCCTCCCCCCCCCCCCCCTCCCCCCCGATTCCTTGCTAGCCGAATTTGTAGCGGCTAAGCCCTTTTGGTAACGTGTTTTTTGGGGGGGATTCCGTTTGTTAATGGGTTATGCTGAGGCGATTCCGTCCTCTTTCGGAAGACCCTGGGGCTTAGCGAGAGGCCTGTCCAGAGATGAGTGTGAAGGAGAGGGCCGCCGCAGCGGGGGCTGGTGGGGGAACAGTAGGGGGGCCAAGACTACACACGGCGGATGAGCCTAGACTATACATAGCATGATAATAGGAGCCACTCGAACCCTAGAGCACCGACTGCCCCGGGGCCCAACCATCAAGGCCCCCACCACGCCCAACATTCCCAGGGCCCACCGGCCCCCACGGCAGCTGGTGATGCGACCTCTGCTGCTGCTGAGGCGGCGGCGGTTGCTGCCACTGAGGCTGCTATGGCTGCTACTGCTGCTGCTGCTCCCCCTCCTCCTCCATACCCGCCCCTCCCCCAGCACTCTGAGCCCCACCACCGCCCCCACCGCCCATTGTTGCCGATGCCCCACGACCACGAGGGCGCTGCGGGCGCCCAGCAGAGCGGCCGGGTCTAGTGACCGTCGCAGCGGTCTCAACGACAGAGGTGGAGGCAGCAGGATAGGCAGCTGGGGCAGAGGGTTGTCCTAAAAGATAGGGGTCGTCACCGCTCCAGTGATCTGGGCGATGGTGCGGAGGCACATCAATATCTGCGTCAGGGAGGTGGAGAAGAGGTCGATAGTGAGGTCAGTGGGGTGCAGTGCGAGGAGGGCATTGCGCGAAGGGGCGAGGCGGTTCGGGAGGCGGGTGGTGAGGAGGTAAAGAGTGATGTGGGTGGGCGGGGGGTGCACTGTGGTCTGGGCCTCGAAAAAGGCCGCACGATAGTCGGCCTCAAGGGTGCGCAAGTGCGAGATGAGATCCGCAACCATGGGGAAGGAGGCCAGGTCGGGGAAGAGGAACGGGAGAAAGAGGTGACCGAGGGTGGCAGGGGACAGGGTCGATTAGCGGGCGACAAGTGCATCCCAGAGGGCCTGAGCTGTCTCCTCCGTCTCAAAGTGGGAGTGCTCGTCGACTGGCAGGCACCAAGTGATGGAAACTTGCGTGGCGGCATCGCAAGACTCCCAGATGGAGAGGGCAATCCTGGCCGCCGCGTACTCTGCACGCTGCTCCGACGTTGCCTCAGGGCCGGGCAGCTCACCAGTTACGTGGGCCGCCAGCGACTCGCCCTCCAAACGCTGGCTCGTCAGCTGTCGGCGGAGAGCGGAGAGCCAGGCCGTGAAACCAAATGCGCAGCCTTCGGCATCCAGCCGAAGGAAAAACACCGACGCCGACGGGGCCGCCAGGCCGACAGGAGAACCAGACGTCACACGTACTTGGACAGGAGTTGGTGCTGACGATAGTGGCGTGCGGAAGCAGATCTGATGGCAGCGTCGGCGGCAGGGCCGGCGGCAGGTCTGGCGACAGATCTGACAGCAGATCCGACAGGAGGCGGCTGGGGCTGCAGCTACAGCTGGGCACGCCTACGGCTAACAGATAGGAGCTAGCGAGCGAGGCACAGGCACAAGCGACTAGCGGCTAGCTACGGCACTGGCGGTTGCGGCTGTGACTACGGCTGTGGCTATGGCGGCTGCGGCTGCGGTTATGGCGCTGGCAAGCGGGCAGGCAACAAGCCGGCGGAGAGCTGGCAACGGCGGACGGCGAGCAGTGGGCGGCGAGCAGCGGACGGCGAGCAACGGGCGGCGAGCTAACGGCAGCCAGCGCACGGCGAGCAGGCGCGGCAGGTGCAGCGAGCAGCGGCGCGGCGGGGCGTTAGCGCGGACTAGGGCGCGGGCGCGGGCTAGGGCTAGGAATAGAGCGCAGGCTATGGCACGACGCAGCGCGGGCTAGGGCGCGACGCGGCGCGGGCAGTACGACGGGGCCTACGAGGCGCTAGGGCTAGGGCTAGGTCAGGAGGTGAGCGGGGACTACCTAGGGCTGAAGCGTGGTGGCTAGGGTCTACTCAGCCCCGCTACCATGCCGAGATGAGAGAAGTGAGTGACGCGAGCAGCAACAGAACAGGGTCCTAGTATTGGGGTTGTCCCCTGGCATGCATGGTGTGCTACGCACATACACCGCCCATTTCCTCCCTGCTTCACCCAGTGTCTCCCCATTGCCCCCCGGTTCCATTTCTTTTCTCAAAACTAAACGTCTGCCAGCCAAAATTTCTCTCATCCCATCCCACCCAAATCATTGTGAGCTTTCCATCTCTAAAAACATTTCAGCCTCTTCAAGTACAGCAATCAGATGGGCTCAGCTGCTCCCTCCCTGACTGCTGGGTGGGCATGGCAATTTGGTGCCTGACCTGCCCACTCACACACCGTACTGCTCTTCAGTTGCCAGCCCCTAGTTGCCACAGTGCCCATGTGCCGGCTGCAGAGATTGGAGGCTGCACTAGTGACTAGTCCATTCTACAAGGTGCTGGAGAGAGGCTGCTAGGGTACAGCTTTTGAAATTGATCAATACTTAGCATTGAATGTATATATTACATGATAACAGAAAGCGACCAACTTATAGCCTGAGCCTCAGAGTGTCCACTGCATTTACACAGCCCCTGGTTGTGTATGCTCCTGCCACTGCCACCATCACAGATGCCCCCTCCGCTGCCGCTTGCCAGCCTGCCTGCCTGCCTGCCTGCCTGCCTGCCTGCCAGCTCCCTGCCTGCATGCCTGCCTGTCTCATCGTGGCAGCTCCTCGGACACCGGCACAGTCTGCCCCCTCTCGGATTTGGCATTCTCGGCGAACTGCAGTGATGCAGCAGGGCAGAGGGACAGGGAGACGCACAAGGCACAAGGGAGCACAGAGGAGAGGCCTAGTGAGCATCAATCATGCATGGCTTTCTGTGTCAATGTGAACCTCTGGTGAGAATGTTTGGCACTGTGCTCCATGTGTGTGCGGCTTCACTGCATGCATTCTCACCTTGAGTCCGCTCGAGTGCATGTCCCTGGCCTGCTCCTTCTCTGAGTACTCCCCTGTGTAGTACGCCTCCTCCGTGGCCGATGGCTTGGACGAGGGCGCGGTGAGCATGGAGCCCCACTGGGGGAAGTAGACGGCAGCCACGGGCAGCGTGCACGCCATGATCATCACGCCCATCCACGCCAGCCCCTGCTCCGTGCTGTACGCGCCCTTGAAGAAGATGGCCTGCGTGATGGCCGACCCCACGTTGCCACCCGCCCCTGTGAACCCCGACACGATGCCCAGCGCACGGTGCGACACGAAGGGGATGATGCCGAAGGTAGCGCCACAGGCGGCCTGGCAGAAGTAGGAGAAGACGAGCATCACCAGCACGGACGACCACAGCTCGTTCATGTACCCTAGCGTCAGACAAAACACGCCGCCCAGCGTCTGCAGCACCCAGAGGTTCCAGAGCCGCCCGCGCATGCCGAACCAGCGGGCAGCGACGTCGGAGAGGATGCCGCCGGAGGGGCGGGAGAAAATGTTCATGAGGCCGAAGGACGCGGCGATGAGCCCCGCGGTGTTGAGGTTGAGGTTGAAGCGGTCGTAGAAGTACTCGGCGATCACGTTGTCCACTGTCAGCTCCACGCCAAAGCAGTAGCCGTACGTGAGCACGAAAACCCACGTGCGGTAGTTGGTGCACGCGGTGCGCAGCACGTTGAGTGGCGTGTCCACCTTCTTGACCCCCTTCTTGGCCAGGTCCAGGAATTGGCCGTCCGGGTAATCCTGCCCCAGCAGCAGCACGAGCAGCCCCATGGCTGTCTGCGCGGTGGCGGGCACGAAGAAGGAGAGGCGCCAGGCGGTGAAGGCAGGCACGTGGATGACGTCCGTGATGAGCGAGAAGAGCAGCGGCATGATCAGCTGGATGGCGCCCCCTCCCAGGTTGCCCCACCCTGCCGCCGTGCCGTTGGCCAGCCCCACGATGCGCGAGTTGAACATGGACGACATCCAGTACTGCACAAAGGACGTGGGGGCGGGGAGGGTTTGCATGCATGGCAGGGATGCAGGGGAGATGAGACGGGGTTGTAGAGGGGAAGCAAGAAGCATTGAAGGAGAGGCCGGGAGCAAGAAAAGTGATTCCCACCCGCGGCACGCACCTGGCAGGAGACGAAGGTGGCAGGTGGCACGCACCTGGCAGGAGACGAAGGTGGCGAGCACGAAGCCGATGAAAAAGCGGCAGGTGATGAACCCCGCGGCGTCCGTGACGGCCGCCATGGCCGCCACGCACGGCACCGTGGCGATGAGCAGGAACGACGTGCCGTAGCGCGGCCCCACCACGTCGCACACCGTGCCCATGACGAGGCGGCTGACGACGGCGCCGACGACAGCGGCGATGCCGGCGTTGGCGATCTGCGCCTTGGTGAGGTCCAGGTTGTCGCGAATCACCGGCAGCAGGGGGGGGGCTGGGCACGGCGGGGGGAGCGAGGGGAGGGGCGGGCAGGGCGGGGGTCAGGATACTACAAAGTGAGTGAGAGACGGGGGGAGGGGAGGGGAAGGGGGGGAGAGGGGGGCATGGCAGTGTGCGTGAAGCCAAAGCACGGAGGCGTGAGAACGCGTGGGGGAGCGGCGGGCGTACCGGCGAAGGCGGAGCAGAAGGAGAGGAAGAAGGCGAGCCACGACAGGTGGAACGCGCGCATGTGCGGCCGAGACGCGCTGCAGTGCACCGGGGGGGGGGGGGGGGAAGGGGGGGAGGAGGAACAGGGCATGCGGAGATGAGTGAACGCGATTAGGGTTAGGCAGGCACGGCTGTGCGCAGGAGAGAGTGGAGGCGCGTAAGAAGGAGAGGGGAGGCCGTTACAGTGCAGAGCAGCGGTGCGCGTGACTGCGGACAAGCGCATTGGCGCGCAATGGGAGGCGCGGCGCACCTGAAGAGTTTGAACTGCTTGGCCTTGTGCTCCGAGTCGACGGGCAGCGCGAAGAGCGAGTCGCCCTCGTCCAGCCCCACGTCGCGCGCGAAGATGGGTTCGCGCCCCGTCACGCCGCGCATCGACTCGCCCGGCTCGCCCACCGCATCGTGCCCCACCGCCGCGCTCGACACGTCAGCCATCGCCGCCTCGCGCTCTGTGTCGCTCGCTTCCCCCTGCTCGGCTTCGCCTCCGCAGACTGCCCTGGCCCCGTCTGATTCACACGCAGCGGCTGCGGTCGCGACGCAGTGGGTGCGGTGGAATGCGGGTGTTGGAGAGGCCGAATAGGAGCCGCTGCGATACTCCTCGACTATTTCGCGTGCGCTCGATCCGCCGAGCAGCACCCAACACACTCGCCGCTTCTTAGTACCGAAATGCGGGATTCTTTGATCGTTAGAGGGTTCTAGAGAACGGAGGACGAGCAAAGGATCGGCAGACTAAGCAGACAATTGAGTATCGTCTGCCTCCTCGCCCGCATTTATCGTCGCTCGCGCATCGCAGAGGCCCGCACGCGGCGCTGAGCCGTTGTCGGCAATCACTTCCCCTAGGGTCGCCTCCTACTCGACCCTTCCGCTGCCGCCTCCGCCGCTCCTCACGTGCAGCGTCCCCGTCACTGCTGATGTCACACGTGGCGCTGAGGAGCCAATCAGCGGCCAGCAGAAAGTGTCGACGGTACAGCATGTGGTTGGTGCGAGCGGGCACGGCTGCAGGGGAGGTGAGGGGACGGGGAGAAGGCGAGTGAGCGAGTGGGGCGAGGGGCGGCTGGTGGCTTGGCATGGTTTGGAAGGCAGATGCACGCGAGGGGGGTTGGGACGCGAGGCACGGAAGGCGGTGGGGTGGATGGCGCTGGTTGCGGGAGCCGTGGCGGCTCAAGGCTAGGGAGCCGAGGGGTAGGGCTGCTGGGATGTGGGAGGGGCCAAGTAGAGCGCTAGACAGTCCGTGAGACCTGATGAGGAGGAGTGCTGACACTGGCCCGCGTCGCTTTACTGGGGCGGGGTCGGCTCTTGGCGAATCACGAAAGGTGCAGGCAGCGGCACTGCGGCCATGCTATTGGCAGGGTTACCACGGTGGCGGCATCGGGTGACCTTTCACGCAAGCAGCGACAAGGTGCTTCGCCAGGTTTTGGCTGGGGAGGGGCGAATCCCACCATCTTTCGAGAGCTCAGCACCACAACTTCACCCACGTGGATCGACGCTCAGCTTTGATTGGGTAAATTCATTTGCCAAATCAAAGGGCCGTCACGTCACGCGAGAAAGCACATTCACTGCCCACACACCGTCACAAGCTGATGTGGTTATTGCAAACGCGCACAACTCCCTAAACTCCGTGATAGTACCTTGAATCTATACTCAAGAGATTATGGCAAAGTACCACAGATCATAAGGCCACAAGGTGACCCCTTGCTAACCATGGGAGTTAGTCGCCTGCAGCCTCTAAAGAGGCGCGGCTGCTGTAAGCGGAGGGGCAGCAGCACTAAGCCGGAAGAAATTTCAGTCAAGCAAGGAGAATGGGGGCCACTAATTCAAAAACCCTTGGAAGTCACAAGGATGGTATTGCGAGATTCCTTGGATAAGAGAGAGTGCATTGTTTCCCCGTTGTTCACCTTGCGTGACCCTCACTATCTCCCTGACTACATGACTCATGCTTGTCACAGCCGAGCGGGTGGGCCACCTTGCTGGATTTGAGGTAGTTACTCGCGGAAGAGAGGGCAACGAGAGACACGAGGTCAGAGGGGGGAGGGTGGTGCGACAGGGGAGGCCAGAGGGGGAGGTGGGTGAGGGAGGGAAGGTCAGAGCGGGGAGGGCGGTCGGTGGGGCTGGGTGCGCAGGGAGGCGAAGCGGGGGGAGACACGGGGGCGAGGGCAGAGGGGGAAGGCGGAGGGGGAGGAGGGCAGGCGGGGGGGAGCAGCGGAGCGCAGGGGAGAGGCGGAGAGGTGGGTGTGCAGCAATGGAGGGGAGAATGCAGTGTGCCCGGCGTGCGCTGGGGATGCGGAGAGGGCCGGTCGCGGGCTGAGGGCAGCGGAGGGGCGGCGAGCGTGGGCTGGAGGAGGGGGGGAGAGAGGTGGCGAGGGGGATGGCAGCAGGACGTGGTCGTGATAGTGCGGCGCCAGCATGGCCTCGTACTCCGCACTGCTCTCGTAGAACACCTGCTCCTTGCCCTCCTCCCCATCCTCATCCTCCTCCTCCCCATCCTGTTCTTGCTGCTCCTCCTCCTCCTCATCATCATAATACTCTTCATGCTCTTGCTCCTCCTCCTCCACCTCCACCACCTCCTCTTCTTCCTCCCCTTCTCCCTCGCCCTCCTCCCACTCCTCTTGTCCCTCACTGTGCGCCCCATCCCACTCCTCCACTTCCCATTCCCCCTCCACTTGGTCATCTTCAGCGTCCTCCTCGTCCCCCACCCCATCTTCATGCTCCTCCTCTCCTGCTGTGCCCCACACCCCCACGCTCACTCCGCCCTCCTCCCAGTCCCACCCGCCACTGCCCCCCCCTGCACTGGTCCACCCGTCCCTGCTGCGCTCACCCTCCTCGTCCGCGCCCTCGCCTCCCACCACCACTTCTCCTCCGCTCATATCCTCGTTCCGTGCCCCTTGCCATCCCCCGTCCTCATGCCTCTGCTCCTCGTCCTCCTCCCCCTCCTCCTCCTCCTCCTCCCCCTGCCCCCTCGCCCCCCTCGCCCCACCCTGTCCGCCCGCCCACTGGTGACTACCTTCCTCCCCCACCCCCTGCCTCCACCACTCGCCCTCCTCCTCCTCTGCGTGCGCCTGCTGCTGCTCCCACGGCCGGCTCCACTCGCTCACGCTGCTCTCCATCGCTCCCCTGCTGCCCGCCCGTCTCTCCGTCCCCCCTACTGCGTCCGCCCAACCATTCCTCTGCCCCGCGCCACCCCACAAGCCCCGCAGAGCTTGCCTGCCCGCCCGCGGGCTCACTCGCAGCGCCTCCCGCCCCTGCCGCTGCGCCACGCCGCCACCTGAGGCTGCTGCCCCCGCAGGCGGCTCCGCTGTGGCACGCGCAGGTGACGCGCGGCGAGTGGGCGACACGTGGCGGTGGTGGCGCAGAGCGGACGGGGACGCCAGACGGCCGCCCCTTGACCAGCCGTGAGCTCCCCACCACTGCACGGCGATCCCCTGCTCTCTATCTGTCTCGCTCTCCCGCTCGCTCTCCCTCACACTCTCCCTCTCACTCTCCCTCTCACTCCCCCGCTCACTCTCCCTCTCACTCTCCCTCTCACTCTCCAACCCCCAATTCCTCGTCACCTCCCTCCGCACTTCCCTCTCCCACTCCCTCTCTTCCCTCACCCCCCTCTCCCACCCTCCCCTCAGCCCCCACCCGCCCACAGACACCTCATGGCTCCGCAGCCCGCCCCTGCCCCACCCGCCACTCGCGCCACCACCATCCCCGCTGCCCCCTGCTCCCCACACCCACCGCTCCCTCCCGACCCACTCCCGCCCCCTGCCTGCCCCTGCGTCCGCCAGCAGCGCGCTCCGCGTGCCGCTCATGCCGTACCACGCGCGCCCCACCGCCGCCTGCCCGTATGCACCCCTGCCTCCTGCTGCCTCGCCCTCCCTCTCCCGCTCCCGCTCCTGCTCCCTCTCCCGCTCCCGCTCCCGCTCCTGCTCCCTCTCCCGCTCCCGCTCCCTCACCCTTTCCCACGCTCTCTCCCTCCATCCGTCCCTTTCTCTCTCCCTCTCCCTCTCCCTCTCCCTCCACTCCGACCGAAATCCATCGCTCTCCCCGCCGTCCCACCCACTGTCGCCGCCCTCCCCGCTCTCCCACTGCATCTCGCTCCACTCCCCATCGCCCCCCTCCAGTGAACCCGCCACACCACCCACTAAACCTCCCCCCGCTGCTGCTGCTGCTGCTGCTGCTCCTTCCGCGCCCTGACTCGCCCCCTGCTGCTGCCCCTGCTGCTGCTGCTGCGCGTCCTGGCTGTCTGCGGTGGGCAATTCGAAGCGGCAGACGGGGCACGTGTTGTGGCGCTGCAGCCACGGCAGAATGCAGTCGGAGTGGTACACGTGGCAGCACGGCATTTGCTGTGTGACGGCGCCCTCCTCATAGTCGTCCTTGCAGATCGCGCACGGGTCCATCAGCCCGCCGCCCTTCCCGTGCCCGCCGCCCGCCGCCGCTGCCTCCCTCTCCGCCACGTCAGCAGCCGAAACCACCAGCACAGGCATCGCCTCGACGGCCGCTGGACACGCGGGCGGGTTGCGCGTGCTGCGGGGAGACAGGTGAGGGACGCGGAGAGGCAGATGAGGGACGCGGAGACAACGTGATCACGAAAGCGATCATGATACAACCGCATTACCTCACAGCGTCACCGCCGCATCCACTCACCCCACACCCCCCCCTTGCCCCGGGGGAACCCACGCCCCCCTCACCCCACGGCGTCACCCCCCCTCACCCCACGGCGTCGTTGGCGGAGATCCGCTCGACCAGCGCGTCGAAGTCGTCCCCGAAGAAGTAGTCCCCCACCGCGCCCGCTATGCCGCCCGCCGTGCCGCCCGCTGCACCAGCAGTGCCGCCCAGCAGCTGGCCGCCCACGATGGCGTTGAGGGACTCGAGACGCGCCAAGAGGCGGCGCAGCTGGTGGAGAGGTCAGAGGGGGGCGCAGAGAGCGATGCGGGCAGCGAGGGGAGCGGCAGGGAGGAGCAAGGCGGAGCGCATGAGGCGGCATGCAAAGGCAACGCGGCGAGTGACTCCATGGCGCCTCCGCAGCGCCTGACTCGCACAACCCGCAAGACCCTTATCACCACCATCACCACCATCACCACCCGCCACCTCGGCATTCTTTTCCGCGGGTCCCGCTACCTCGCGGCCTCGCTCACCGTGTTTTCGCGGGAGATGCGGCGCTCGATGAACTCCAGGATGGGCGATGCCTCCGTCTCCGCGTGCGAGTCCAGCAGCGACGCCGCCAGCCCGCCGAACGCATCCGCCGCCCCAAGCCGCCGCCGCGCGGCCCCCACCCGCGACGACGCCGCTCCCCCTCCCCTGGCCGCCGCTCCCGCCCTGCCATAGGCAGCACCGACAGTCGTCTCCCTGTTGGCGGCGTCCGCCAGTGGGTCGTGGTGGGCGCGGTCCTCCATGTCGCGCAGCATCCTCGCCAGCCCCAGATACGCCCCCTCCAACCTCCGCGCTGCGCCGTGCCGCTCGCCGCCCTCCTCCGCCTCGCCGCTGCCCCCAGCTGCAGCCGCAGAGGGACCGCCGCGGGGGCCACCAGCACCGGCAGCACCGGCAGTGGCGGCACCAGCGGCAGCAGCAGCACGGTCATCATCATCGGCGGGCCGCAAGCCCCGTCCGCTGGAATCCCGATGCGCTGCTTCGCCAACGGACAGGCCTGGGGACCTCACATCACCACCCACGCCAACGTGCCGCCGGCGAACAAAGCCGCGGAAGGGACGCTCGGGGCGGAGCGAAGCGCCGACGCCAGCCCCAGCAGTCTCGCCGGCGCTGACGTCCGCATCCCCCGCGCTGTCGCCCTCCCACGCGAACGACCTCTCGGGAACCTCCTCCCTGACAATCCCGTGAGACGCGCCGGCAGTAGCGTTGCCCTGATTCTCTTCAGTTAGGTCAATAACGGGCGGGGCAGCAGCAGCAAGGCGGGGGTGGTCAGAAGCGCGGTGGCCCCATCTGTGATGGCCGCCGTGCTCCACGCCGCCGACGTCGCTGCCCGGAGCTAGCTCTTCCACAAATCCGCCGCCGCACCACGCGCATATGACCTCAGCTGCTTCTGCTTCGTTCAAAGGAGCTGTTAACGAACGCACCGTACCGCACTGATGACACCAGAACGGACGGGATGGCATGGTCGAGCGACGAGTTTTAAAACTGAACTATTCCCCTAGGATAGATTTTAGCCGCTGAGAATCAGCAGCGAAAAAAAAAAAAAAGATGCGTTTCTGAACAAATTCCACTGAAACAGAACTACGCTGATAAGAATATAGCAAGATGTTCATGCTACAAATCACAACAAGACAACAGAGAATGAAAGAAATGCATGCTAGGCAATGTTAGCACCAGGCCTAACATTGCCTAAGATCACGACCAACAAAATCCTCCTTTTTCAAACCAGGAAGCCTGCTTCTTCCAAGTTGGAATGTCATGGATGCACATGGGAATGGCATCCAGCCAGACAGACAGACTAGGGAGGGAGTCTGGACTGGAGGACTACAGTTCTGCTCTCGCAAGCACGACGAGGCATGGGTAGCAGCAAGGTGACAGAGAGCATGGCGGGTTGGATGTGGGATAAACAAGGGGAGGAGGGGTTTGGTTGGGGAGACCATGATTGGCTTTGCGGGGACCAACCTGTCTTTGGACAGACAGGCTCGACACAGTGACAGTAGGTACGGGAAACCCTAAGCGAGGTGAAGTAGGGGGAAAATTTCTGCCGCGGACTGTCCACGAAACTTTTCATACTTTCGTGGACAAGCCCTACTTTCATGGACACCACATCAAAGTTTTGCTTCTCCTGTGGACTCCGTCAATACTTTCGTGGACTCCCGGCTTACTTCCATGGACACACCCATATTCGCAGTTAAAAAGGAGTACTCAGCAATGTACAAGTGATTACGGGCACAAAAATCGAGATACTCCAGAATATCTGTCCGTCGCAAGTAATCGCGAGCTACAGTGTCGGAAACCAGTTCTGAAACAGAATCTCGGAGCTTTTCTGGGAAGAGTTTGCAGCCGCACTCAAATATGCAAAGAATTTTCGAAAACAGGGTGTATTAGGGTCCGCGTGGTAAAAACACTTATTATTCAGCTCAGAGCTACCCAACAAAACATAATATGCACGTGCTTGACGAGCCAGCATCAACCAGAAGTTGTTTTCTCCTTCATAATAAATAATTTCATTATTAGTAATTCTGTGAAAAAAAACACCTAAGAAATATAATTTTTAGAATCACTTGTTTTAATTTGCATTAGTATGTTTCTCGTTCAAAAGTAAAAAACATATTCCCAAAAACGTGAATCTAAAATAGTTGTATCATTTTCTCATCTATTATTATTTTACTATATACCGAAAGTTTAATAATAATACAATCAAGACGTGAAACCTTCCATTTATATAGTCATGTTCACCAAACGTTATTGGTATTCTGAGATTTCACATCTTAGTTGAAAATGCAAGCCAAATACTAGTTGAAATATTTGTAAATGCCAGAATTCATGGTATTCCTGATTCTTGGTAGGCAGAGATTTTTAATGAGCTCTATTAATCTTGTAAGCGTAATATCTATCTTTATTCTACAACGTGATTTTATTGTAGCGATATTTCACCAGGTCGGTCTGCTACACTTATCGTTCAACTAAAAGCGCTTCGTGACAGTCATTCAAATGAATTTTGAGGATCGCTTCAGAGTTTCTTTAAACACGCGAAACAGCTAGCGGACTTGGTGGCTTGAAAATACTGTAGCTTGCGACTATTTGCGAGGGACTTGATTACGCCTAATTTTGCTTTTTTTCTCCTGTCAGCATCTGTACAGTTCTGTATGTTTTTTTTGTTTCAAACTCGCGTGTGTCCATGGAAGTAAGCCTGGAGTCCACGAAAGTATTGACGGAGTCCACGGGAGATGTGAAAGTTTGATGTGGTGTCCATGAAAGTAGGGCCTGTCCACGAAAGTATGAAAAGTTTCGTGGACAGTCCGCGGCAGCAATTTTCCCTGAAGTAGGTAGACAAGCGAGTTCCGAAGCAGGGTTATTCCCCTTCGACATGACAGAAAAGCTGTGTGCTTCGGTTGTCCCTCCCGATCCGAACCAGGAAGTAAGGCTCCGAAACGCGAAAAGGCAACTTCGCACCACACGATGACCACAGGCCAGCCAGCTTATTCGCGATGTAAGCCGCTCTAACGCAGGGCTAGTTCCAGGACTCGTTAAATCAAGTGCTTATGCACTAACTAATTTCCACTACTTTGCACTACACTTGGTAAAAACAAATACCAGAAAGTGCTGTTCATAATTAATTGGTCATTTATCATATTTATTTTTTTATCAAATGAGAAATATCATATGAACTAATCGCTGATATTGTACTGAAAGTGCTTTCAAGAAGTGAACTACATTGTTGGAAAGGGCCATGACAAATAATGCCCAAGTCAACTGGTTGTGCAACGGGCTAGTTCCCGCTACCGGTGCTGACTCTTATGAGATTCTTCTGGTGGATGACCACCGAGCCGTGGGTGCACGCGAGCGGCATCACATTGATATTGCGGCGAGAGCCTCTCGCGAGCTACCCTGTAACCCGACCTTCCACACCCCACACCCTCCACCCTTGGTGTACTGCACATCGCTCCCACCCATGTCTGTCTGCCCGCAGCGGAGGAACAAAGCTCTTCTCCCATCCTCCTCTCCGCCCTTTCTCTCCCCTCCCTAGTTCCTGGTTCCTCTACTCTAGACACCCACACCGCCCGACATGGTGCGCACTACGCTCCCAGCTTCCAGCTTTAATCTACTGGCCTTGTATTTTCTGTCTCCTCTTATCTCGCTTCACGGAACGCACGCTTCTCTAGAGGATGTCGGCGCGTAGTGCAGCGCGTCCCCGTGTGTCTATTTTCCGCGTTTTCGTCGCAAACCCTAGCTGCTGCTGATGACGTCCCTTATCGGCGGCCGTGCCGTCACCCCTTGCTGTTGCGGTGGTGCAGGCGATTGACTTGAAGGCCGGAGGGCGGAACAAGAAGACCCACCGCACGGCCCCCAAGAGCCGGAATCCCTACCTGCTGCTCCTCGTCAAGGTCAGTGCCGCCACGCCCGCCCCTGCGCCCACGAGCCGTTTGCGATCGGTAGAGGATAGGCCCTTTGAGCCGGGCGGGAGCCGCTATGCGATGGCAGGATCGCGCTCCTGCAGGCACGAGAGAAGCTGTCGCCAGGGGGCGGTTGCCGGTTGATAGGCCGTAGGTGCTTCAAGGGTAGCAGCCTTGGGTTGACGGAGGTGAAGACGGCGGCCGGTGTGGAACGCGGAGAATTTGGCAGACAGTATGGGGGGTTCAGATTGGGGGGGTCAGTGGGCACAGTTTGGGCGACGGCGTTCACTCTCCGTCGTCGACCAGCATCTGCATTAGACTATTGGATCGCGCCAGTGTGATTTCTGCGAAACAGTCGTATTCGCACGCCTCGAAGTGGTCAGCCAGTGGTGTTTAGGTGTGTAGGATGGCGGTCGCTCAGGGGTGTAGCTGGCGGCGTTGTAGCTGGAGCGCGTTCGTCGCGTTTTGGAGGAGATTCGGCGTGCTTTCGTGCTAGATGGGCTGCTGGGCGGATGACGTTGCCTTCATCCCGAGCACATCCTTCCATGGCCGTCCATGGCCGTCCTCGCCGCGCACCGCATTACACCTCTGCCGTAGACAGCCGTGAGGAGTTCGCGTACTCACGCTCTCAGCACTCCTCGATCCCTTGGCCATTCCCACCTTAGTGCCCCGCCCTCTTCATCATCACTTACACGTAACTCACTCACACGCAGGCACACTCAATTTACACAGTTTGGGTTTCTGTTCCCTTCATCCCCCCCCCCCCTCCCCAACTCCCTCCCCCCGTGTGCCCATCATCCGCGCGCGCGTGGCAGATCTACCGCTTCCTGGCGCGGCGCACGGGCAGCCCGTTCAACAAGGTGGTGCTGCGCCGCCTCTTCATGAGCCGCACCAACCGCCCGCCCGTCGCGCTCTCGCGCGTCCTCGAATACGGCGAGAACAAGGTAGCCGCTGCAGGTTAGGAAGGCGCAAGACAGATGTTAGGGAGGGAAACTGCGGAGGGATGGGGGGAAGGCGATAGTGAGGGGCAGCATGAGCATGAGCGGGGAGGGTCACGGGGAACGGGGCGAGCTGGGAGTGGACGGATGGGCAACGGGAGCGCCAGTGCTGTCTTGTGATTACGACCGTCGCGAGCATCCCGTGCTGCGGCTTTTAGCTAGCGATCCGCGTTCCTCTCCCCATACTCACACCGCATTCCGCGTCCCCTTCTCCCGCCACTCCGTGCTTCCCTCACTCCGTCCCCACGACCCCGTCTTTCCTGACCACATCATCTCCGGGACCTCCCTCTTTCCCCGTGCCTCCACATCCCCGTTCCCCTCTCATCTCCCGCGCGCCCGTCCCCGCGTTTCCCCGGGCGGCAGGGCGCGGAGGCGGTGGTGACGGTGGTGGGCAAGGTGACGGACGACAAGCGCCTGTACAGCGTGCGCGAGGGCGTCAAGGTGTGCGCGCTCGCCTTCTCCGCCACTGCGCGCGCGCGCATTGAGAAGGCGGGCGGCGAGTGCCTCTCGTTCGACCAGCTCGCGCTGCAGCGACCCACCGGCAACAACTGCGTACGCGCACCTTCCCCCCTCCTTTGTCCTCCCATCATCTCTTCCCCCTCTCTTCTTGCTCCTAAGCCTGCTCCTCCACCGTCTGTGCCTCCAATTCCCGCTGCCCGTGCGTGCGTGCGTGCGTCCTCCCTCCCCTCTGTGCAGCTGCTGCTCCGCGGCAAGGTCACCAGCCGCGAGGCGTTCAAGCACTTCGGCCCCGCGCCCGGTGTGCCCCACAGCAACACCAGGCAAGAATCACGCCCCTTCTCCCAACCCCCATGTCCCGCCGCTCTCTCTTGAGCCTGCTGCCGTTGCCTATCTCCACCGTGACTGCCTCCTTTCCGCTCGCGCTCCCCCTTCCCCTCTCTTCGCCCTCGCTTCTCCTCTCGTCTCCGCTCGTCCATTGCCACTCAACCAAACCTCTCTCTTCCGCGGGGCAGAGGGCAGGGCGAGGCGGGCTAGGGCAGGACAGGGCAGGGGGGGCTAGGCCATGGCGCGGAGCCGAGCAGGCGAGAGCTGCAATGGCTGAAGGAAATGGTCAGACTGCAGGGCGACGGGGAAAGTGTTGGAGTGCGGGTGGGCTGAGAGTGCGGGGAAGCAGCAGACGGCGAGTCTCGTCACGCCCAAGTTGTTGGCCCTACAATGGTCCACGGAGGGGAGGCCCCCCCTGCCTGTTGAAAGCGCATGGACAGCACAGGGCCCCTCTTCAAGCCATGTCATGTCACCCTGCTCTTGCACTCTCTCTCTCTCTCTCTCTCGCTTACCACCTTTTCCCCTTCCGCCTCACCCCCCACCCCTCGCCTCGCCCTCCCTGCAGGCCATATGTGCGCAGCCAGGGCCGCAAGCGGGAAATGGCTCGTGGTCGCAGGAACAGCCGCGGCTTCAAGGTGTAAGCAAGGCCTCGATACAGTGGAGTTGGTTACAGTTGCTCTTATTGCGCTTGTTGTGGTGGCAAGGACAGATGGGGCACAGGCGCAGAGGGGGTGTGGCTGCATGGCTGGGTGTAGGACACAGGCGGGAGCAGGCAGGGAGGCAGTCTGGGCGGGCCTGGAGCGCCATGTGTTACTGCTGTAGGTATCTTTTTAATTCTTGTTTAGCTTGTGATTGTACTTCTGCTGTAAAGCTGTGCTTCAGCTGTGTCATGTGCCAAGAATTCATGTAACGCAAGAATAACCATCCCCCAACTCGGATACTGTGAGTGATGCATGATATGATAGTCAATGCGATTGTCGTCTGTAGATTTTGTGAAACAAACATTCGCTGATGGACAACAAACCACGTCCCCAGGCTCTGGGCGTGGTAAACGGTTTGCGCAAGCCATCGAATGCGCAAATCAGTCTGGTTACCGGGCTCGCCGAACCTCGCATGGCGTGGGAAAGATGGGTTGAGCTGGTTTTGGTTGGGTTGGTTTGGGATTTTTCGCCAGTTGCGCAAACCGGTTTGCGGTGGCAAAGCGTAACCCATGTACCACGCACTCACAGGAATTCCCAACAAGTTTTCCCCGCGCTCAATGCCTTGTGCTGCGAGCAGCAACCATTACACTCCCGCGGAATTCCCAAGGCTCCATTTTCTTGCAACAGACGCGGCGCTTCCCTCAGTCGCTCCATGGGTGCGACGAACCTCTATTTTGTTTCTCCGCCGTGCTCTGTGCTCCCCACAACAACGCATCGCCGCATCATTTCGACAGCCACAGGCCTCGCTAGTGGCAGCCGGCGCATCGAATTCGGATCTGTTGACCTTCGTCGAGCGGCTGCACGCCACGCCGTAAGGCCACTCTCGAGCGCATCAGATTCGCCGCTCGCCCGTTCGGCTCCATCCGCGCGCGCCATGGGTGGAGCGGATGACTCGACGGCGACCGACGCTGCGACAGGCCAGGAAAGCCGACGACACGCGCAAAGTCGTCGCTTCGCGATTCTGCTCGCTGGCCATAGCAGGTGCCTTGCGGGCCACAGTCGAGCCAGACTCGAAATCCGTTCCTTCCACTAGACGAAACAGCCCTCCGCGAATCTTGCTATATGTGCTTGGGGCTTGACCGTTTTCTTCCCCCCTGGTGTTCTTTTCCGCTTCAAGCGTCTCCTCCTCTTGTCCTCTGTGCGCGGCAGCCCGTACTCCCAGCAGCGCTACGGCGACTACAACGGCATGTTCCTCGCGCTGCTGGGGGGGAATGGCGCGCGCGGTGACGCGGACAAGGGGGGAAAAGGAGGGGGAGCGGAGGAGGGGGGGGAGGATGCGGGGGGCGGGGAGGGCGAGCAGTGGGACGTGTACGCCGTGGTGGACGGGGAGTTCCCCAGCGACGAGGTCCTGGCGGAGGTGAGGCCGAGGGCGGCTCAGGCCCATGGCGCTGTTGGTGGAGGTGCGCTGATGCATGCACCATGCAGCTCCAATCTCCCATCTTGTGCCTCGTCCCATGCGTCACACGTGTGTATGCACGCGCTACACGTGGGTGTGCTGGCAGGTGGAGGCGGTGGTGGTGACAGGCAGCAAACACGACGCCCATGCGGACGACCCCTGGGTCGTGCGTCTGTGCGCCGTGCTGCAGCGCCTGCACCAACGCAAGACCAAGATCCTCGGAGTGTGCTTCGGCCACCAGGTGCCTCCTCCTGCATGCAAGCGTGCCCCCACTTCCATGGAAACCCCCTCTATGCCTGCCCCTGGCGTGCCTCCCTCATGCCTTTCACTCCCCCGCATTGCTTCTCTCGCATGCCATGTCCCTCTCGCGTGTGATTCTCCAGGTGGTGGGTCGAGCTCTAGGGGGTCGAACAGGGAGGGCCGCTGTGGGCTGGGAGCTGGGGATTAAGCAGGTGCAGTGCTCTGCTGACGTGACGTCGCTGCCGTATGCTGCTGGCCTGCCGCCATCCTTCCATATTCTGGAGATCCATCAGGATCAGGTGAGGGCTGTCTGTCACCTAGGGAAGAGAGACGAGGCACAACTGGTTCAGCTTGCTTGCTGGCGTGCTGTGTCCAATCCAAAGGCCTCCCTTGCAGGCCCCGCCTTATTCTCAATACACTGGTGTCGCCGCTTCCCACAACTCTGCAGGTGCTAGAGCTGCCCCCTGGAGCTGTGCTTCTGGGGTCTTCCCCTGGCACGCCCATTGAGATGTTTGCCATGGGGGAGCACGTCCTCTGCATGCAGGGACACCCCGAGTTCACCAAAGACGTTGTGGAAGACCTGGTGGTCAATAGAACCAAGGATGGCGTCATTCCTGTGAGTTTTGTTTGCTGTTTATGAGTAATGTGTTCGGATAGTGCTCCCTCTACATCTCTTGTGTGGAGTTTGTAAGCTTTATGGCCTAATTCATGTATGGCCTGTTGATGCTTCGCCTTAACTATCCGGAAATTTATTATTTATATAAATACATTTTTTGTTTTCAGGAGGCTGTGGCAGCTGAAGCCCTGAAGTCTTTGGAGATGTACAACGAGAATATAAAAGAGCTTAGGACCTTGTGCAACTCATTTTTAAGATCATAACGCGTTATCTATATTCGCTATCCATGTTCGGTGTAGGCCTTCAGCCCATCAACGCGTATATTGAAATCCGCCGGGCGCTGCTTGACTTCCCCCAGAACACCCCTCCCACCACCCGCGCGCACCCCGCTCTCCTTGCATCCCGAGGGTCATGTGGCTGTGCGCGCGCGCTGAAATCAGGCACCACAGGAATCGGAGTTTCAGAAATGGTGAAATCTGCACATTTGACATCCCGCATTCCGCATTCCTCTCATTCCTCGCCCGCCTGTCTGATCGTCCCGCCTGTCGATCGATTTCCGCCATGTCCCTCGCCAAGTGCGCGAGTCAAGCCAGCGCCAGTCCGCTGCGATGGGCGGCCGTTGTAACATTCGTGCTATTCACATTGATAGACTCACAGTTTATCGAATCAGCAGCGGCGGCGGCGGCGGAGGGGGGCGATCACTCTTTCAGCGCGAGCGTGGTGAAGCTGACAGACAGCAACTTCAAGCGGAAGACCAAGGGGCACGCCTTCGTCATGTTCTACGCCGAATGGTGCCCGCCGCAATGTCTCACCCATCCTACCGCCACGCACTCTCCCTCCCCTTCTATCCATATGTCCCGGCATTGCAAGCTGCGCAGTGCGAGGTGCATTGCCACGTTACGGCGCATCACACTGTCCAACCAGCTCCCCGTGTCCTTCTCTGCACCCGCTTCTGCGTCGACTCAAAGGTCGCGTCCCGCTCCTTTCCCACTCCTACCTCGCTCCCCATCGCTTCCCTCTCTCGCAGGTGCGGGCACTGCAAGCGGCTCATCCCCGTGTGGTCGCAGCTGGCGGACGACCTCAAGGAGGCGGGCAGGGCTGACGTCAGCATGGCGGCGCTGCTGGCGACGGAGCACCGCGCGCACCCCGCGGCGAAGCTCGTGCGCGGCTTCCCCACGCTCATCTGGTTCCACGGCGGCCGCCCCATCGCGCAGTACGAGGTGAGTGCCACGTGGCAGCGCAATGGAGATGCTGGAGTGAGGGCTGGCATTGGCGCAATGTTAAGGTGCCCCTTCTTAGTCGCTTCCTCTCTCTCCCGCCTCCTCCCTCTCCCATATCAATTCCTCCGCCCACCTCCCTCCTTCCCCCTTTCCCCTCCCCCCAGGGGGACCGCTCGCGCGAGTCCCTGCTGGCGTTCGTCGAGGAGCAGGCGCAGCTGGGGGAGGCGGAGTTGGCGGAGGGCGCGCGGCGCATGGCGGAGGAGGTGCGGAAGGTGGAGGAGGAGGCGCGGAAGGAGGCGGAGAAGACGGGCGAGGAGCACTCGTTCAGCGGGAGCGTGGTGGAGCTGACGGACGGCAACTTCCAGGAAAAGACCAAGGGGCACACGTTCGTGATGTTCCACGCCGAATGGTGAGACGTGTTTGTGGCGAGGTGATGCTCTCGAGTCACACTGTCACCAGATCATCTCTCACTCAAGCTGCCACATGGCCACCACAGCTCACGATCCGGCTACTCGAGATGCTGCAAGCTCCTGTCTCCCCCCCCTCACTCCCCGTCAATCTAACCCTTTCCGCGGCCCCCTCCAGGTGCGGGCACTGCAAGCGCCTGATCCCCACGTGGTCGCAGCTGGCGGACGAGCTGCAGGCGGCGGGGCGGGCGGACGTGAGCGTGGCCGCGCTGCTGGCGACGCAGCACCGCAACCACCCCGCGGTGAACGCGGTGCAGGGCTTCCCCACGCTCATCTGGTTCCACGGGGGGCAGATGGTCAACGACTACTCCGTGAGCATCCCCCCTCCCCGCGCTCACGCTTCTTCTTCTTCCCTCTCCCCGTCTCCACCACGTCTTCCCTCCCCCCCTCCCCCCTCGCCCCCCTCTCTCCCCTCTCGCCTTCTTCCCCCGCTTCCCTCTCACCCACGCCCTCCTCCCTCCCTCCCTGCCCCCATGCCCGCCCGCCATGGCAGGGCGATCGCAGCGTGGCGTCGCTGCGTGAGTTCGTGGAGCAGCAGAGCGCGCTGCAGGGGGCGGCGCTGGCGCGGGCCAAGCGCGAGATGAAGGCGGCGGTGGAGCGCAAGGCGGAGGACATGCGGCAGCAGCAGCAGAAGGCAGCGGAGGAGCGGCAGCGCGTGGAGGCGGAGTTCAGCAGCCAGGTGCCCGAGCTCAGCCTGAGCTACCTGGCAGGGCTGGAGGACAAGCAGGCCGTGGTGCTGCACTACGCCGACTGGTGCCAGGCATGCGGCGCCATGAAGCCCGTTATCCTCGACCTGCTGGCGCAGCCCCCGATTGACGGCCTCCTGGTGGGCCGCTTCAAGGACAACCAGGCCGCGCTGCCTGCCGCTGGTAACACGCTGCGTAACGGCCAGCCGACGACCTTCTTTGTGAGCCATGGGCGGGTGGTGGACGCTCTAAAGGGGGCGAAGAAGGGCGAGGAGGTGAGGGAGTGGGTGCGGGAGATGGGCGAGCTGAGTGAGGAGGAGATGGAGGAGAGGGCGGCGGAGTGGAGGGCGGGCGTGGAGGAGGAGGCGGAGCGCGTGCAGCGGGAGGAGAGGGAGAAGATTCAGCAGGAGGTGAGAAAGAAGGAGGAGGAGAAGCGCAAGGCCAAGCTGCAGAAAAGGAGGGCCAAGACAAGAGCGGCAGCGAGGTGAAGAGGAGACCGATGCAACGATGAAGGCGATCAGGGTGGGTAGATGGCAGAAGGGGAGGAGGGCTGTTTGATCAAGGGGGGAAAGAGTGGAGAGGGCCAGAGGCGAATATTGAAGCCCGTGGGACAACAGTTCCCTTGAGAAATTGGCCCGGCCTGGAGGCAAATGAACGGAGTTGGGATGGGTTGACCTCTGCAAGCTCCAGTAAGAGTGGAGGTCAGTTATTACTCGAATAACTATTAGGAATGCATAACTATGGCGTAGAAAGCGTTTGTAATTTGGAGATGTAGTCACTCCTAACAACACCACCAACATGTTATGCCAATGCACAGTGTATGTATCTGACCGTACGGATTCCTGACCTCGGGAATGCACAGTTGACATAGAACAGTGCAGCCCCGCGCGTCATTTCAGGGCAAATGCGAGGCTGACACGAGCCCCCTGCAAGGTGGTGTTGCAGTTTGTCAATCCAGCCGCTCCTCCCAGCCTGGTGCCAGCGGCAGTGCAGCAGAGTGACACCTGATAGCCTGATCTTGCCGCTCTCCGCATCTCACGCTCCGTACTCAGCGTAGTCACTGCCTTCTGATGCATCATTCGTTAGTTGAACAATTTTTCGTTTTTCCGCGGCAAGGATACGCGGCGGATGTGATGATGCCGGCCGACAAGGCTTGATGGGCGACTGACGGCGATGTGAATGACCGTCGATGCAATGCCTGCTGTGGTACTTCTACTGTTACCGCCTCCGATAATTGAAAGACGATAGCTTCTTTGAACGTCTCAGTGCGCCGATACGACGTTTCGACTATTCAGTTAACAAATAAGGTCGGGGGCTGATCGACTTGAAGCTTGATCGCGTGCGTTGCGGCGCGGCGAGGATGGGGTCGCTGACGGCGGACGACGAGCATCTGCACCTGCGCGTGCCGAACGTGCCGGCCATGGTCATCAAGTCCATCAACGAGCGCGTCGGCGAGACGCAGTCGCTGCTCACCAATGTCGGACGGTGAGCACCGCGATTCTCCAATCACGGGAATGCGTTGCGTTACGGGCCATGGAGCGAGTGCTTTCATTGATTTCGGACTCCGACCATTCAACAAACTCCGCCCCCATCCGTATCCACCCCTCCTCCCTGTCCTGGTGCGATTATGTGCTCTCCTCCGCTCTGCTAATGCGTGGCCTCATCGCCCTTCTCACCTCGCGGGTAGACCCGCACTCCCCCTCAGTATTTCATCCCGTTTGGCTTTCCCCTCCCTCCTACCTCCCCCCCCCCCCTTCTTCCCCGCTCTCACTTTCTCCGTCGGCCCAGGCAAGCGACAGCGATGGCGGAGCGAGCGACGCTGCGGGATCGCGTGATAGCGGCGCTGGCGGCGCTGCTGGCGGTGGCGGCCATGGCGTTCAGCCTCGCGCTCTCGCTGCGCCCCGCGCCCTCCATCGTCGACGCGCCGCTCGTGCTCGACACCGAAGGCAAGCGCGCTGACCCTCTCTCCCCTCTTCCTGCACCCCACTCCGTGCCTGCCCTGCCCTTCCCCTTTCCCGCCTCTTCCCCGCGCCACCAACCCCATCCTGCCCAATGATCTCATCATCCGCCAGACCCTCTTCCCTCTCCCGCGTTCCCCCCTCCCCATCCCCCCCTCGCTTCCCTCCATGACGCCCCTGCTGATGACGCCACGTGGCACCCCCGCAGCGGACATCCAGGACGTGACGTGGCGCGGCTACGCAGACTACGAGATGCGCATCGCCCCACTCGACCGACACGTCTCACGCCCCTCCCTGCCCTTCCAGGTACAACCGCCCCTCCCTTCCCTTCCAGGTACAACCGCCCCTCCCTGCCCTTCCAGGTACAACCACTGCTCCCTGCCCTTCCAGGTACAACCGCCCCTCGCTGCCCTTCCAGGTATAACTGCCTCTCCCTGCCACTTTCTGACGGTCAGAGCCACTCTCTGGCAGTCGGAGCCGCTCTGTGGCTGTCAGCGGCACTCTCTGGCGGTTTCTGGTTATGATCCCCATGTGTAACCATTCACTGCCTCGCGCGCCCCCATGCATGCTCTCCCAGTCATTCACCCAACCAGCCCCTTCCCTCCCACTCCCACACCCCCCGCCCCTCATCGCCCCCTCCCACGGCCCGTGCCCTCCATTCTGCCAATCCCCATTCCGCATCTCCCATCATCATCATCGCCCCCCAGCCCATCCCACGCGGGCTGCATGGCGTTGTGCAGTACAGCGCGTACCAGCCGTCCGCGCGCACATGTCGCATGCATGTTCTGTCATCTCGCGTTCCCCTTTCTCCCCGACCCCCTCCCCCCGCCAGCCCATCCCGCGCGGCCCGCATGGCTTTGTGCAGTACAGTGCGTACCGCCTGTCGGCGCGCACCTTCGCCGTGGTGGGGTTCGGCGCACACTTCCTCAAAGACCACCTGTGAGGCGCTGGGGGGGTGGGGTCTGAGTCCTGTGGAAGGAATGTGAGAGAGTGGCTATGTGGGGCTCAATTCTGAACGGCTGAAATGGGGGTGATCATGGGGTTGTCTTACCTTACACCAGGTCACCAGCACACGACAAGCCATGGGCTTAAGGCGCCCATGGTTTTGATGAGTGGGGTGGCTGTAGCTGGGCTGTAGCTGGGCTGTAGCATCCCTAGATAGTCAATTGCAATGTCGTTGCCGTGCATTCTGTGATCCCAAGCACCCACTGCCGTGCTGCGGTCCGTTGTGTCAACAGTTCTTGCAATCATTGTTGACTTATGCATAGAACATGCTCCATGCCGTGAGTACTGGCTCACCCAATAATCGATCATGTGTGCCTGGCATGGCATGCACGCGGCATGGCATCAGGGGCGAGTTGAAGTGCACGTGGGTGGAGAGTGGCAACGCCAGCAGCACGGGTGAGGCCAAGGCAGTGTACGGCGGGCTCAACGGGTGGGCCGACTACGACGCCGTGCTCGTCAAGGTCAGACCTGCCTTGAGGATGCGACCTGCCTTGAGGGTGCGACCTGCCTTGAGGGTGCGAGCTGCCTTGAGGGAGAGAGCCGCCTTGAGGGTGGAACCCTGTTCTCCTGAGGGTGCTGCCGTGTGCCTCATTCAATGCAAAGCTGTGTCTGAAAGGGCGTCGGTCTGGGCCTCACCGGATTTGGTGGTGTGGCATCCCTCCCGTGCTGTGTCACCCGCCCTCCCCCCCCCCACAGTGCGAGTTTGAGGCGGCCACGGGCGCCATGGGCGGGGACCTCTTCCTCACCGTGGCCGGGGAGGAGTTCAGAGCGTTCCGGTTCGCACCCTCTACCACCCATGCCTTTCATTGCCATGCTTTCAGGAGCCGTGGATTTAGCAGCCGTGCATATAGTACCTGTGCCTCTAGTAATCGTGCCAGCACAAGCATTTGAGGTTTCTTGCCATCAGCACACTCCTCTTGCAGCTCAAACCGCTTGCAGCTCGAAAGCACCCAATTCTAGGAGCATCACACTCACTCCTGCCTCCATTCCTCCAATCCTCCTCCCCGGACTATCTTCCCCTTCCCCCACACTCCCTCTCCCCCTCTCCCCTCCCCCTCCCTGGCCCCCCCAGCGAGGTTCAGGGCGAGGAGCACGTGATCGACCCGCCCAAGGAGGACGCCCTGCCCCATCTGCTCGCCGTGTGCGCCGTGCGCCTGGCGCGCCCCGTGGAGGCGCGGCCCATGTTCGAGTGGCTGTCGTTCCACTGGCACGTGGGCGTCTCGCTCTTCCGCCTCTACGACCACGGCTCCATGGACACGCACCTTGCTGCCGTGCTCGACCCCTGGCTCGCCAACCAGACGGCGCAGGTCATCCCCACGCGCCACCTGGCGCCCTTCCGCATGGAGTACGACGCGCACGCGCTGTCGGCGCTAGACTGCCTGCACAGCACGCCCTTCCTCGCGCGCTGGGTCACCGTGCTCTCGCCCGACTCCTACCTCTTCGTGCCACCACCCGCCTCCATAGTGGAATTCCTCTCGGCGCACGCGGACAAGTCATGGGTGACGATCGGGTCGCAGGAGTGGTCGCCCATCAAGTGCCGCGACGGGCTCAAGATGGACGCGGCGGGTGCGTGGGAGGGGCGGTGGGAGGCGGCGCCGTTTGCCGTGGAGTGGCTGGCGTTCAGACGCAAGGAGGCGGAGTGCGCTGACGGGGGGGAGGACAGGGAGACGTGCATCGGGGAATCAGGACAGCGCTCGCATTTCACCAACCCCAGGAAGGTGGGCTCTCGGTGCTGCTGGTGCTGCGCTGCTGCATGGCCCCTTGTGCAGCATCCCTCTCAACTCATGCCTCTCCCTCCCCTCGCTCTGTTACGTGCATGCCCTTGCATATCTTCCACATGTGTCATGGCTCCATGGCCTCCATGCCCTCCATTTTCTCATTCCATTCCTCCTCCCTTCCCATGGCAGGCGGGCATTCTGGGCTACTTTGACGTGCGCGAGACGGACCAGAACGGCGTGCACGCGGCATTCAGTGCGGTGCACAAGAACCACTACCCCAACCTGCACGAGCTCGCTGTCTTCAACTCCACGTGCTCAGAGGTGGTGGGGGACGACGAGTTCGCCGATGGATGGGTGCGCGATGTCACCTTCGCGGACTACGCTAAATCTGTTAGGAAAAGTCCCCAGCCTGAAGGATCTACGCAGGTTCCACCCCCCACACCAGAGAGCTGAGGTGGTAGAAACTTTTTCTATGCGTCACTGCGTGAGAGCAAAGAGATGCTGGTGACGGGGAGCTTTGTCAACTTATACATATTATCTATGTAGAAGTTATAGGCTAGACTGAGGTATGCTTCTAGTGAGTACAACCAACTAGTATTTGTTCTAGGTTTCCACCTCTAGTAATCATTCGTTTCTACGTTAACATGGTATCACGCTTAGGTTAGGATCCCCCCGCCTACCGCTTCCGCCCGTCGCGCCTCCTAGGCCCCGTCGCGCCCCCTAGGCCCCGTCGCGCCCCCCCTGGGCCCCGTCGCGCTCGTTAGGCCCCGTCGCGCCCCCCCTGGGCCCCGTCGTGCCCGCTGGGCCCCGTCGCGCCTCCTAGGCCCCGTCGCGCTCCCCCTAGGCCCCGTCGCGCCCGCTGGGTCCCGTCGTGACCCCTAGGCCCTAACGCGCCCCCGCTGGGCCCCGTTGCGCCTCCTAGGCCCCGTCGCGCCCCCCATGGGCCCCGTCGAGCCCGCTGAGCCCCGTCGTGCCTCCTAGGCATCGTCGCGCCTCCTAAGCCCCGTCGCGTCCCCCCCCTCTGGGCCCCGTCGCGCCCGTTCGGCCCCGTCGCGCCCCTCCTAGGCCCCGTCGCGCCCGCTGGGCCCCTTCGCGCTTCCTAGGCCCCGTCGCGCCTGCTAGGCCCCGTCGCGCCCCCCCTGGGCCCCGTCGCGCCCGTTAGGCCCCGTTGCGGCCCCCCTGGGCCCCGTCGTGCCCGCTGGTCCCCGTCGCGCCTCCTCGGCCCCGTCGCGCCCCCCCTGGGCCCCGTCGTGCCCGCTGGGCCCCGTCGCGCCCCTTAGGCCCCGTCGCGCCCGCTGGCCCCTGTCGCGCCTGCTGTTAGCGCTCGCCCGCCTGGCCTCCTCCTAGTGCCGCTCGGCCTCCTCCTAGTGCCGCCCGGCCTCCTCCTAGTGCCGCCCGGCCCCTTCCTAGCGCCGCCCGGCCTCTCCTCAGCGCTGCCCGGCCCCTCCTCGTGCCCGACCGGCCCCAGCAGCACCAGCCTGGCCCCTCCCAGCACCAGCCCGGCCCCAGAGCACCTGCCCGCCTCCCCTGCTCGGCCTGCCGTGTCCTCTCGGGCCCTGTGTCTTCTGCTTGCCTGCGCTGGGACGCCTAGCTACTGCCCTACTGGAGAGTGCTGCCGCCGTGTCCCCGCGCCGCTGTGCTCCTGTGCCGCTGAGGAGCTGTGCTGCTGTGCCGCTGTGTCGCTGAGGAGCTGTGCCGCTGACCCTGCACGATGGCTGACTTTGTGCTCCGCCTGGACGCTGAGGGCCACGCGGTTGACTTCGCCGCCTGGCTCTCCGATCTTCGCCGCCAGCTTACAGGTCAGCGCCAGGATGGCCACTCTCTGGTTGTCCATGCTGATGGCTTGCTTCCCCGTCCCCCTGCACCTACTCCCCTCCCTGCTGACCCCTCCTCTGATGACCGTGAGGCTTTCTCTACTGCTGCGCTGGCCTGTGCGATCTGGGACTCACGCGATGCAGTAGCTTAGGTTGCTATTAGTCACGCCCTCCCTGTGTCTGAGCGCTCGCGTTTTGCTACTGTTGAAACGGCCAAAGCTTATTTAGACGCCGTTATTGCTCGCTATTCCACCCCTGCCTCCGCTTCTGCTGGCCGCTTGCTCTTTCCGATGCTGTTCCCAGACCTGGCTGCCTTCCCTACTGTCGCAGATTTTGCCACTCATTTGCGTGCCCTAGAGACTCGCTATCGCACTGCCAGCACTGCTGCCCAGCTCACTGCGCTCCCCCCTCCTTTCTGCATGACGCTCTATTTTATCGCTATGCGCCTGCCAGACCGCCTCGCTAGTGCTCGCGACCACTTTCTTAGCCAGCACCCGGGTGACCTCACCCTGACCGCCTTTGTCGACACCCTCACTGAGATCGAGACTCGCCAGCGCACTATCGCTCAGTCGAGCGGTGCGCCGCCAGTCTCTATCTTTCACGGCTGTGCCCCATCCCCGTGCACGTTCACTGACGTTTCGGCTGCGGTCGCCACGGCGACCCCTCTTACCGAGACGGCTGCTGCTGTCCACCCGCAGCAGCGCTCGCGTCGCGGTGGCCGTGGCCGCCAGGGAGGTAGGGGTGGTGACGCAGGTGGTAGTGGTCGTGGTGGTGGTGACGGTAGTCCGCCTGAGGGGACTACCACCGGTGGGCAGGAGCAGCAGTCCCAGCAGCAGCAGGACCAGCCCCAGCCGCAGCCGCCGTCCCAGCAGCACCCGCCGCAGCCGTGGGCTCGTCTCCCGCCTGGTTGGCCCGGCACCTCCGGAGGCGGTGGCCGTGGTGGCGGCCCGCGCAGCTTGGCGTCTACCAGCGGCTCCAGTGCTGTGACCTGCCAGTACCAGCTTCAGACCGGGCCTCTCCGCGGCACTCTGTGCCGCCGCCCGCACCCGACCGCCCGCTGTTTCCGCCGCCTCGACGATCTTTTTCGTCGTCGCTTTGGCCCGGCCCCGGACCTCCCTGACTGGCACAGCCTGCTCCGCCAGGGCGTGCCGATCTTTGAGTTAGACATGGATCAGATAGGTGCTGCTTTGCATGCTTTGTATGCTGACGCTTCTAGTGTTGATGGATCTTACTACCCTGTGTACTCTAGTTTAGGTGTTTCACCCTTGTGTAGCTTAGCTTCCCCTGCTGCGACAGGCGTAGGACTGCCTAGGTTGCCTAGTCTAGTCGCTGCACCGGCTCCGTCCCCGGCCCTCGCCACTGCGTCGCTGTCCTTCACTCTCGACTCTGGTGCTTCTGCCTGCTTCTTCCGCGACCGTTCCACGCTCACGCCGCTTGCTGCACCTGCTGTTGTCTCTCTCGCTGACCCCTCTGCGGGTCCGGTCGTCGCGCGCAGTTCTACGTCCCTTCCCTGTCCGGCAGTTCCCTCGGGCTCCCTTACTGGCCTCCACGTTCCCTCGTTCTCCAGGAACCTGGTTGGTGTCGGCTGTCTCCAGGACCTCGGCGTCACCACCACGTTCCCCGGGCACGAGCGGTTCGCTATCTGTTCTGAGGCTGTCTCAGGTTCCCCCCTTGCGACGTTCCCCCGGGACCCGGTGTCCGGTCTGTTTACCCTACACACCGCTTCCCCCCCGGTTGGTGCGTCCTCCCAGGTCGCTGCAGCTTGCTCGTGTCGGTCCCTCACTCACCCCTCCCTTCTCTGGCACCACCGCTTAGGTCACCCTGCTCTCCCGCGTCTGCGTCACATGTCCCAGCACGGTCTTGTCTTAGGTCTCCCCGCGTCGCTCCCTGCCCTTCCTCCCTCGACTGCGCCACCGTGCACGCCTTGCGTCGAGGGTCGGCTCCGCCGTGCTCCTCACTCCTCCTCGCTGCGTCCTGCTACTGCCCCCCTTCAGACCCTGCACTTGGACGTTTGGGGCCCTGCCCCCGTCCCCGGACCGCGCGGTGAGCGCTACTTCCTTGTGCTTGTCGACGACTACACGCGCTACACCACGGTGTTTCCCCTGGAGCGGAAGGCCGACGTGCCCGACGTTCTTCTCCCGTGGGTTGTGGCTGCGCGTCTCCACCGCGGTCTCCCCGTGTTGTGTCTCCACTCCGACCGTGGCGGCGAGTTCGCCTCTGGTCGGCTTGGACAGTTCTGTCGTGCGGAGGGCATCACCCAGTCGTACACGTTGCCGGACTCGCCACAGCAGAATGGGGTTGCTGAGCGCCACATCGGCTTGGTCATGGAGGTCGCCCGTACCTCCATGATCCATGCCGATGCCCCCCATTTTCTGTGGCCGTTCGCTGTTCGCTACGCGGCTCACCAGCTTAACCTGTGGCCACGCTCCCAGCGGCCGCAGGTTTCGCCGACCCTCCTTTGGACCGGGTCCCCCGGTGACGCGTCTGCGTTCCACGTCTGGGGCTGCCTTGCTCACGTTCGTGCCTCTGGCACGGACAAGCTCACTGCCCGCACTGTCCCCTGTGTCTTCCTCGGTTTCCCCCTGGACTCGTCTGACTGGCTTTTCTACCACCCGCCGTCTCACCGCTTCCTCCACTCTCGTGACGTCACCTTTGATGAGTCCGTCTCCTTCTACCGCCGCTTCCCTCACCGAGGTCTCCCAGTTGCCCCCCCCCTTTTCCTTGCTCCCTCTCCCCCGGTAGCCCCTGCCCCTCTCCCGCCTCGTCCTGCCCCGTCTGGTGTCTCCCACGTCACTCCCCTCCCGTCGGTTGTCCCCGTTGAGGAGTCTGCTGACTCTGGTGGTACCCCCGGTCCGTCCTTGCCGCGTCCCCCTTCCCCGGTGCCTCCGCCCCCACTGTCGCAGTCGCCGACCCCGCTGCCGCCGCCGTCGCCGTCGCCGCCGCAGCCGTCGCCGCTGTCGTCGCCGCCGCCGCCGCTGTCGCTGCCGCAGCCGTCGCCGCTGTCGCCGCCGCCGCAGCCGTTGCCGCCACTGCCGCCGTTGCTCTCGGCCCCTGGGGGTGCTGGTGTGGAGGAGGGTGTTCGTCCTACGGCTTCTGGGGGTGCCGCTGGTGTTGGAGGGGGTTCTCGCTCTGGGGGTGTTGGTTCTGGGGGTGCTGCTGTTGAGTGTTCTGCCGACGGTCGTTCTGCCTCTGCTGGTCCGAGAGTTCCGGCCCAGCCGTCGTCGCCGCCGCAGCAGCCGTCGCCGCCGGTTTCCGCTCTCCGCCTGCTCGGCCTTCCCTCCCCGGACCGCGCGCCGGTGTCTCCCCCACCGCCTCCTGACCTCCCTGTCTACGGTCCTGTGTTCCCGCCGCCAGACTCGTCTCCGGCCCGTCTTCCTCCTCGTTCCCCTCCTGTGTCTCCTCCGCTGTCCCCTGACCCTACCCCTCCGTCTCACGTTTGGGCTCGCCGTCCCTCCCGTGCTCGTCCCGTCTCTCCTGTCCTGCCCACCCACCCTATGTTGCTCCGTTCCCACTCGTCTCGTCCTCCCCTCCTCCCGTCCCCTCCTCCCTCGTCCCTTGCTGTTGCACCTCCTCCGTTCTCTGACTACCTCCGTGCTGCTCGTCCCCTTGTCCCTCGGGTCCTTGCCTCTCTTGTTACCGACCCTGCTGTTCCTGTCTCGCGCCTTGACGCGCTTGTCGCTGCTGTCGCTGACTTCGCTTCTACCCGCCGCCTTGACTACGCTACCGCTCTGGTCTCTGACCCTGCCCGTCCTCTGTCCGTCGGGGGTGCTCCTGCCCTTGGCAGTGACGTCCTAGAGGACAGGCAGTACGAGCTGGCTTTCCTTTCCGAGGCTGCTCCCCATCTCTGCTCCATGCTGTTAGTCCCTGAGGGTGACCCAGACGCCTTCGACATCCCGACCCCTCGCACCTACGCTGAGGCCACCTCGGGACCTTGGGCCTCTCAGTGGATAGCTGCCATGGAGCAGGAGATGGCATCTTGGAGATCCACCGGCACTTACGTCGACGCAGTTCCCCCGCCTGGGGTGAACGTAGTCGATGGTCGGTGGCTCTTCAAGGTGAAGCGCCCCCCTGGAGAGCCGCCTGTCTTCAAGGCGCGCTACGTGGCCAGAGGTTTCAGTCAGCGCGAGGGGGTTGACTTCTTCCAGACCTTCGCCCCGACCCCGAAGATGACCACTCTTCGGGCGCTGCTACACGTAGCAGCACAGCGTGACTACGAGCTTCACTCCCTCGACTTCTCTACTGCCTTTCTTCAGGGCAGCCTACACGAGCAGGTCTACCTGCGCCGACCACAGGGCTTCACTGGTACCTTCCCTCCTGGGACCCAGTGGCTTCTCAGGCGCCCGGTCTACGGCCTGCGTCAGGCTCCCCGCGAGTGGCACGACACGCTACGTGCCACGTTAGCAGACCTGCAGTTCTTTCCGTCCTCTGCTGACCCTTCACTGTTTGTGCGTTCCGGCCAGACTCCGTTCTACATCCTTGTCTACGTAGACGACCTGGTCTTCGCTACTCCTGACAGGGACGCACTGGCCTCTGTGAAGGCTGAGCTGCTGAAGAGACACACCTGCACTGACCTTGGAGAGCTGCGTCGCTATCTTGGCCTGCAGATCTCTAGGGACAGAGCAGCACGCACCATCACTCTGACCCAGTCACACTTGGTGCGTCAGGTCCTTCAGAGGTTCGGTCTTCAGTTCTCCTCCGCACAGCCCACACCTCTACCCGTAGACCATGGGCTCTCTGCTCCCGTTCCTGAGGAGCCAGTAGAGCCCAGTGGCCCCTACGCAGAGCTGGTGGGTTGCCTCATGTACCTGATGACTTGCACTCGCCCAGATCTCGCATACCCTCTCAGCATCCTGGCTCGCTTTGTGGCTACAGGCAGACACCGACCTCAGCACTGGTCTGCCGCTAGGAGGGTTTTGCGTTATCTTGCTAGTACATCAGGCATGGGGTTAGTGCTAGGAGGACGCAGGCCAGTGGTCCTTACTGGGCACACAGACGCTTCTTGGGCAGACGACGCTGAGACGCTCAGGTCGTCGCAGGGCTACTGTTTCAGCCTTGGTTCGGGTGCTATCTCTTGGAGATCCACTCGCTCGTCGTCTGTGGCTCAGTCTAGCTGTGAGGCTGAGATCTACGCTGGTGCCATGGCGGCACAGGAGCTCCGCTGGCTGACCTTCTTGCTCACAGACTTAGGTGAGCGGCCTAGCTCTGCCCCGGTCCTGTACGCTGACAACAGGGCCATGATACTCCTGTGTCAGGAGCCTCGGCTTGAGGGCAGAGCGAAGCATATCCAGCTGCGGTACTTCCTCCTGCGCGAGCTACAGCAGCGCCGCCAGGCCCGCGTAGTTCACTTGGCCTCAGGTGCCAACACAGCTGATATCTTTACTAAGGCGCTTGCGCCTAAAGATCATCAGCGGCACTGTGTACAGCTTGGTCTTGTTCCTATAGCTGCTCCCCTGTTAGGATCCTGATTGTGTACTCTCTATTATATATGCTTGTCAGACTGGCCTTGTGGCCTTACCTCCAGTGGCTGGACTAGTAGTGCCACCCTGGCTTGCTTCAGTTTTGGTTGTATTCTTGCTGACTGGTCTCCAGACCCCTGCCTCAGTGGTTGGACTAGTAGTGCCGCCCTGAGCTGTTTGCTTCTTGTTTAGTTTCACCCCTTGTCTAGCCTAGGGGGTGTGTCAACTTATACATATTATCTATGTAGAAGTTATAGGCTAGACTGAGGTATGCTTCTAGTGAGTACAACCAACTAGTATTTGTTCTAGGTTTCCACCTCTAGTAATCATTCGTTTCTACGTTAACAAGCTTCTGTATGATTGATTGTCTTTGGTTTGCTAGAGTTGATCAAGTGGAATGTATCAGAATTGAATAATAGGTAGAAGACATGAGCACAAGGGTATATGACCTAAGGGTTGTACCCTCGAAGGCACAAGCTTATGCAGTCTATACAAACATAACAGTATATGTTTGACACAACCCCTACATTGCATAGGTGCAGTTCCTGACACGAGAATGAGCAACTCAGGGTGGCACTACTAGTCCAACCTCTGAGGCAAGGGTCTACAGACCAGTCAAAAGAGTACAGACCAATGCAAGAGCAAGGCCAGGGCGGCACTGCTAGTCCAGCCACTGGGAGGGCCACAAGGCCAGTCAAGGGTAAAATATATATAACGGTTTGTACATAGTCAAGGCCCTAGCAAGTCAGCGAGCAAGAAGGTCAGCCAGCGGAGCTCCTGTGACGCCATGGCACCTGCGTAGATCTCAGCCTCATAGCGGGACTGGGCAACAGACGACGAGCGAGTAGCTCTCCACGAGACAGCACCTGAATCAAGGCTAAAGTAGTAGCCCTGCGAGGACCTGAGGGTCTCGGCGTCGTCTGCCCAGGAAGCGTCTGTGTGTCCAGTAAGGACCACTGGCCTGTGTCCTCCGAGCACTAACCCCATGCGTGATGTACTCGTGAGATAACGCAAAACCCTCTTAGCTGCAAACCAGTGCTGTGGTCGGTGTCTGCCTGTGGCCACAAAGCGAGTCAACATGCTGAGAGGGAATGCAAGATCTGGACGAGTGCAAGTCATCAGGTACATAAGGCAACCCACCAGCTTTGCGTAAGGACCACTGGGCTTTGCCGACTCCTCAGGAACTGGAGCAGAGAGCCTGTGATCTACTGGAAGAGGTGTGGGTGGTGCGGAGGAGAACTGAAGACCGAACCTCTGAAGGACCTGGCGCACCAAGAGTGACTGGGAGAGAGTGATCGTGCGCGCTGCTCTGTCCCTGGAGATCTGTAGGCCCATATAGTGGCGCAGCTCTCCTAGGTCAGTGCAGGTGTGTCTCCTCAGCAGCTCAGCCTTCACGAAGGCCAGCGCGGTGGTGTCTGCAGTGGCAAAGACCAGATCGTCTACGTAAACAAGGATGTAGAACGGAGTCTGGCCAGATCGGACGAAGAGCGAGGGGTCTGCAGAGGACGGAAAGAATTGCAGGTCTGCAAGGGTAGCACGCAGCATGTCGTGCCACTCGCGGGGCACCTGGCGCAAGCCGTAGACTGGGCGCTGTAGGAGCCACTGGGTGCCAGGAGGGAAGGTACAAGTGAAACACTGAGGGCGGCGCAGGTAGACCTGCTCGTGTAGACTGCCCTGAAGAAACGCAATGGAGAAGTCGAGGGAGTGTAACTCGTAGTCACGCTGTGCTGCTACGTGTAGCAGTGGCCGAAGAGTAGTCATCTTCAGGGTCGGGGCGAAAGTCTGAAAGAAGTCCACCCCCTCACGCTGACTGAAACCTCTAGCCACGTAGCGCGCCTTGAATACAGGCAGCTCTCCAGGAGGGGGTTTCACCTTGAAGAGCTAGCGGCCATCGACTACGTTCACCCCAAATGGGGGAACTGCGTCGACGTAGGTGCTGGTGGATCTCCCAGATGCCATCTCCTACTCCATGGCAGCTATCCTCTGAGAGGCCCAAGGTCCCGAGGTCGCCTCAGCGTAAGTGCGAGTGGTCGGGATGTCGAAAGCGTCGGGGTCACCCTCAGGGACTAGCAGCATGGAACAGAGATGGGGAGCAGCCTCGGACAGGAAAGCAAGCTCGTACTGGCGGTCCTCCAGGACGTCACTGCCGAGGGCAGGAGCACCCCCGACAGACGGAGGATAGGCAAGGTCTGAGACCAGAGCGGTGGCGTAGTCAAGGCGGAGGGTAGAGGCAAAGTCAGCGATTGCAGCGACAAGAGCGTCAAAACACGAGACCGGAACAGACGGGTCGGTAACGAGAGAGGCAAGGACTCGAAGAACAAGAGGACGAGCGGCGCGAAGGTAGTCAGACAGAGGGGGAGGCGCAACAACAAGGGAGGACGGAGGAGGCGACGGTAGGAGAGGAGGACGAGACGCGTGGGAACGAAGCAACATAGGGTGAGCGCTCAGGACAGGGGAGACGGGGCGAGCACGGGAGGGACGGCGAGACCAGAAGTGAGACGGAGGAGTCGGGTCAGGAGACAGAGGAGGGGACACAAGAGGGGATCGAAGGGGAAGACGAGCCGGAGTCGAGTCCGGGGGAGGGAACACAGGGCCGTAGACAGGGAGAGGAGGAGACGGCAGGAGAGGCACAGACTCGTGGTCAGGGGACAGAAGGCCGAGCAGGCGAAGGGCTGACACCAGCGGTGACTGCTGCTGCGGCGGCACGACGCCGACACCGGGAACGCAAGCTGCTCATTGGCTACCTCTAGAACACTCCACTCCAGCACCCCCAGAAGGAACACCCCCAGAACCAGAAGCTCGCTCCGCACCGATCCCACCCCTAGGCCCGCCGGGACAAGCCACGACAGGAACCCCAGGACTAGAACCCACCCCAACGCCAGCACCCCCAGAGTCAACGAACTGCTGCTGCGACGGCTACGGCAGCGGTGGCTGCAACGACGTCTGCGGCTGCGGCGGCTGCGACAGCGGCGACGACGGCGGCTGCGGAGGCGGCGAAGGAGGAGACACCTGGGGAGGGGCAGGCGGTGAGGACTACGCCGCAGGGCCACCAGAGTCAGCAGACTCGTCGACTGGGACAACCGACGTGAGGGGGGTAACGTGAGACACACCAGACGGGATAGGACGAGGAGGGGGAGGGGGAGGGGCAGGGGCCACCGGGGAAGAGGGGACCAGGAAGAGGGGTAGTGTAACCGGGGGACCACGGTAGGGGAAGCGACAGTAGAAGGAGACGGACTCCTCAAAGGTGACGTCGCGGGAGTGAAAGAAACGGTGAGACGGCGGATGGTAGAAGTGCCAGTCAGACGAGTCAAGGGGGGAAACCGAGGAAGACACAGGGGACAGTGCGAGCAGTGAGCTTGTCCGTGCCAGAGGCACGAACGTGAGCAAGGCAAGCCCAGACGTGGAACGCAGACGCGTCACCCTGAGACCCGGACCAAAGAAGGGTCGGCGAAACCTGCGGCTGCTGGGGGTGCGGCCACAAGTTAGGCTGGTGAGCGGCGCAGCGAACGGCGAACGGCCATAGAAAATGGGGTGCACCGGCATGGATCATGGAGGTACGAGCCACCTCCATGACCAAACCGATGCGTTGCTCAGCGACCTCATTTTGCTGCGGGGAGTCCGGCAAGGTGAACGTCTAGGTGATGCCCTCCGCACGACAGAAACGACCAAGGACACCAGAGGAAAACTCGCCACCACGGTCGGAGTGGAGACGCAAGACAGGGAGACCTCGGTGGACACGCGCAGAGACAAGCCACGGGATGAGAACGTTAGGCACGTCGGCCTTCCACTGTAAGGGAAACACAATGGTGTAGCGCGTGTAGTCGTCGACAAGCACAAGGAAATAGCGCTCTCGACGCGGCCCATGGACGGGGGCGGGGCCCCAGACGTCCATGTGCAGGGTCTGTAGCGGTGCGGCGATGGGGGGGAACGAGGAGGAGTGAGGGGCATGGCATCATCGCAACAAGCATCAGCATCAGTAACAACGACTTTTAGTGGCATGAGTCTTGATGGTTCCAGTTATGCAAGAGCTGCAGCTGCTCCAAGCTCTAGTTCTTCATTTGCATTTACACCTGCTCAACACCAACAGTTCCGATTTCTGCAACACCAGCAACAAGCGCAACAACAGTTTCAGCAACAACAGCAACAACCACAACAGCAACAGCAACAACAGCTTCCGCAGCAGCAGATTCCTTTTACCGGACCTATCTTTCAGGGGGACACCAGTGGCGGCCTCGGTACAGACAGCGTACCGCTCATGACTAGGAAACGTAGTGGTGACGCCAAGGTCCTGGAGGCAGCCGACACCAACTAGGGTGCAGAAGATTAAGTATAGAATCTGCAGACACAAGTACTTGAAATAGAAAATAATATTGGAAGTACCTCCAGTGACAACCAGTATTAACAAGTTGTAACCCCAGAATCATTATTACAGCCTTGTGATACTTCAAGACTTGAGCAAAAATCTTTGCTGGAATGGTAGACTAGTAAGACAGCGGAAGTCTTAAGAAATTGTAATTGTTGACCAGAATTTACTGAAGAACTAGTTGATGACTGAAGTCATACAAGCTACTCTTATATCTGCTAGAGGTACCTGTTTGGTAATGTACTCGCTCAAAACTACTTCTGTTATGTGTTAAATTATATGTTTGTAATTGTAGCCTTGATAGCTGTTAACAAAACCTACTGTAGAGGACACAACCCTCTTCTTGTATCCCTCTCTTTTCTATTCTCGATCTCTTTTCTCTCGTAACTTTCTCTCATGGCTGAACCCTTTCGTCCCGGCCATGGCTGCCTAGCCTATCATTTCGTTGACTTCGTGACATGGTACCAGAGCAGGATCATCCTGCTAGACCGTCGTCTCTCGCTTCCGCTGTGTACTTCCTCTCGTCCTGCCGCGTCTGCATGGCGGCCTCGTTGCGCTGCTGTGACAGCACCGCCGTCCTGCCATGGCGATGGATGGCTGTGGCCAGGGCGCTGGTTTAGCGCCGGCTAGCACGCCCGCATGCAGCCAGCGTGCCACATGGGGCGGTTCGCTCCATGGCTCTGCTGCTGAAACCCCACTCCCTGCGTCCCCTCGTCCTTGCCGCAGCTGACGGCCGGATCGTGGGTGGATCCTCCCACTGTCTCGATGGTCGGCCACGCCGCCGAATGGTGCGGGCTACGTCGCCGCCGCCGCTGTTGTCGAAGCCACCGCCGCAGTTGTCGAAGCCGCCGCCACTGCCGCTGTTGCCGCTTGCCCGTTTTGCCACCGCACGCCGCCACCGCTGCTGCTGTCGTCACTGCCGCCACCGCCGCTGTCGCCATCGCATCCCTCAACGCGGACGTCGCCGCCTCGCACGTGGAGAGGTCTGCTGCGCTGACGACCGTCGCTCCTGCTGCAAGGCATGGGGGTGCAAGGGTGTAGGGGTGCTGCTTGTTGGGTGGGCTTGCCGCTACCAAGCCTAGGGGGTGTGTTGAATTATATGTTTGTTATACAGCGACGGAAAGTATTGCCCGGATAAAGTCCAATTTTAGGTTCAAAACATGATTTGAATGCTTTCACCCGATGTATCGTTGAATGTTCATTGCTGACTAGTAAGTTACGCGTGCCAGTTACAATAGGGTAACACGATTGCAATTTGAATGGGTCGCACTAATAGCGTGGACAAGATTTCAGTCGCGTGAGTGCATCCGGACAGTTTTGGCCAAGCAGCGGACTAGATCCGTTTTTTACTAGCGCATTCTCTCCATAGTTCCTAACGCAATCGTCGAGTAGTCAGAATAGAGTTTATACCCGAGGCGTAGACTACGCCAAGATGAGACCGATAGATGAGGCTCGTCGCGCCCGGATCGTGGCCCTGTTGCGTAGGGGGTTCAGCACGAGGCAAATCGCAAAAACAGGTTGGCGTTGGGAAAAGTACAGTACATGATGTCGAGCTCAAGGCGATTTCAGAGACTAGTCTCGAGGACATACATCCTACAATGCCCACTGCTGGTCGTCCACGTGTACTGACGAGTAGAATTCGTCGTGGGATCGTCAGGGCGATCACTAGCGGCGAGGCGAAAACCTCGAGGCATGCGGCCCAAATCGTCGAATCCCAGCACGGCATCACGGTGCATCCTCGGACGGTGCGTAATGCGCTCAAATCCAGCGGCCTTATCGCAGTTCAGCTGCCTAAGAAGCCGCGACTCTCCAAGAAAAATATCCGCGATAGGCTGGCGTTCGCACGAGCCCACGCGGATTGGACCATAGATGATAGGCGACGGATCATATGGTCGGATGAGACGAGGATTAGTAGGTTCGGCTCTGACGGCCGCGCGTACGCCTGGGTTCGTGAAGGTACGACTCTCCAACACCACCAGATCAAGCAAACCGTCAAACACGGGGGCGGCGGCTTGATGCTCTGGGGATGTATGACGTTTGAGGGGGCGGGTTTCATGTGCAAAATCGATGGTCGGATGAACGGGCCGCTGTATCTGAGCATTTTGCAAGACGAGCTGAAAAAAACCATCGACTTTTACAAGCTAACCCCCTCGGCTGTGATCTTCCAGCATGATAACGACCCCAAGCATAAGTCCCGTGTGGTGCAGCAGTGGCTTCAAGAGCAGGAGTATGGGGTCCTGGAGTGGCCGGCAGGAAGTCCTGATCAGAACCCCATTGAGCATCTGTGGGCTCAATCTTAAAAGGGAGCTGGGAAAGCATGAGACACCTCCCTCTGGTATGGTGGACCTGTGGGAGCGTGTACAAGAGGAGTGGGAGAAGATCCCATCAGAGGTGTGCTCCAATTTGATCGCCAGCATGCCCAGGAGGGTGAAAGCAGTGATTAGGGCTAAAGGGCGGTGGACCAGGTACTAGTTTAAGGCTTTTTCAAGTTGCTGCTTCCGCCTGGAAAAAATTGTCCACATGCACCGTGTTTGGTTATGTTTACTGTTTACTGTTAACGATAGTAGTTTCATCAAATGAGTAGCATTTTTATGTCTCCCTAGATTGGCCTGCATATAGTGGGTAATGCCTCCAATTAAGGCTTAATGTTCAAATGCCCTTTAACGGAGGAAATTCCAAAAATTGCCAAACATGTGGACAATTCTTTCCGTCGCTGTATATAATTATAGGCTTGGTAGCTGTTACCGAAACCTACTGTAGAGGGTACAGCCCCCTCCTTTTATCCCTCTCTTTTCTATTCTCGATCTCTTCTCTCGTAACTTTCTCTCCTAGCTAAACCCTTTCGTCCCGGCCATGGCTGCCTAACCGCCTATCATTTCGTTGACTTTGTGGCACTATGTGCTCTAATCCCTACTGAAAGGGGCGCAACTGTTCGCGTGACTGAAACGGCCTGCTGGTGTAATCATCCCGGGCGCTATTTGCTGACGTCACTCTACAGATGCCTTTGTCACAGGCAAATGAGGCTTTCGTACGAGCACACAACGAAAAGGGTGGGTCTTTGTGGGGGGGGGGCTTGGGTGGCGTTGTTTGTTGCCAGTATGCGACTCTTGTGAGGCAATCAGGCGACTTCGGTGCACAGTTCCGTGGCGACGAACCACATCGGCAATGACTTGTCCCATGCTTTATGATGTTCGCAAACTTAATCATGAGTGACTCAAACGGATCTCCTATTGCCCGTATATCGAGGATTTTGGAAAACCCATTCAGATTAGGCGTTGGGTTGAGCTGCGATAAGGTTGGGCATCGTTTGTATCGCTGGCTATCGAACAATCTGCCAAAGGTTCCTCTGATGATGACGAGGATAAAGATTGCGTTGTCCAGCTCACAACACAAACATCTCCACAACTGGCGGAATTGTCTTTTGGGTAATTTGCTGCCAGATGGGCAACATTGGGCTGCTGATCTGTACGGACAAGATTTGTTCTCATAACTAGAATACGTCATCTTTCCGATCTGCATCATTACGAACAGTTCTGAATCATCAAAATTTGTGAGGTTTTCCGTTCTGATCGACGGAAAGATATATCGACCATTCAAAATGCGACACAAAGGCACAAACGTGTTTCAACCCCCGAGACACAAGCCAGCCCCTCGGTTTTCGTTAATATTTTCGTTAGTGGCCCTCCTCCGTTATCCGCGCGACAAATGACCCAGTACTACGATTCATATAAATACATAGTAGATTAATTGAACTTACATTTTTAGCCTTTTGCATAATTGGATCTATGTCGACATATTTTGTGAAATATAAATCCAACCAAAAAAACTGAGGCTAATTTACATGTGAAATGGCTAATTTTTATGGATAAAAACACAATTTCAACATATCTTAAAACTTCAAAAATTATTCAGATGACATCTACGGTGTCAAAAACAAGAACACATATGTGGCCCAACATGATTTTGTGGTACGATGGTTTTAGTTCTCCTGATGGCAAATCTGATTTATTTTTTTCTCTCGACCACAAAATTGCGTCCACTTCATCCACTATTTTATGTTCTTGTCTCTGGTTTGTAAAGCATAATATTAGCAATATTGTATAACTATTCTTGAGAATATATGGCCCACTTAGTTAAATTATCCGTAGTAGTGTGTCGTTTATGGCGCGGATAACGAAGAAGGGCCACTAGCGAAAAGATTAACGAAAACCGAGGGGTTCAGTTGCGTTTGGGGGGTTGAAACAGGTTTGTGCCTATGTGTCGGGTTTTGAATGGTCGATACATCTTTTCGTCGATCAGAACGGGAAACCTCGCAAATTTTGATGATTCAGAACTGTTCATAATGACGCAGATCGGAAAGATGAAGTATTCTAGTTATGAGAACAAATCTTGTCCGTACAGATCAGCAGCCCATTGTTGCCCATCTGGCAGCAAATTACCCTTGTCTTTTCACACCCAAAAGAAATCTTTGCCTTGCCTCGCTTCTCTTGTGTTGTGCCTATCGCCGCCACTCACGAATGAACGGCAAAAAAATCACGACTAACGAGACAGTGACAGCCAGCTGGGCGGACTAACACTTATCCCAACATAAAACGCAGGAGAGTCATGTGTGGTGGAATTTTCCTTTCGTCTCGCTCACACGCGCCGCATTACGCAACTTCCCACAGGTAGCGTTTTTTGCGCCAGCAGGGCTGAGCCGAAATCCCGTTGACTAGGCGGGGCCTGCCTGCGTGGCCCAATTGTCCCAACTGTGTCTGTTGTCGGCTCGCGCGACACCCCCAGCTGGGTGGCCTGACCTGAGCTTTCATTGCAAGCGTGGCTGCGGGGTGTGCTGGTCGCGCGTGCGGTGCAAGTGGCGTGTTCCTTCCTGACAACGCAGTACAGTGCCGCTTGACTGCTGACTTTCAACTGCTGCGCCTTGTCGAGGTCCAACTGGCGGCAGTCGTCGTTGCTCCAGCTGGGAAAGCCTTCAAGACCCATCCTACCCTACCACATCGTATTTCACCGTACTGCAACCCATCGCATGGCACGTCTGCCCTCCTCTCCTCACCCCTCCTCCCTCTCCCCCCCTCCCCCCTCACAGCACATTCACCTTCTAAGGCATATCCCCTCGTCACCTCTTTCTTGTCACTCTTTCTCAGAGTTGGCACATCGACTCTTCATTATCTCGAGGCATATCACCTTTCAACCGTACTTTCGCCTGCAGTGCTCTTTCCTTGCAGATAGCACCTGCCCTGTTGGCACCACGGAAGGTTGCAGAAACCTGAACTTCTTCGGACTAGGCACATCTGTTTATTTTTCCCCATGGCGCCCACCTTCACAACGCTACAAATCGAGATTCCCCAAGATGACGATCGCTCTTCTTCCTCCTCGTCAGCAGCCCTCGACAGCTCCAGCAGTGATTCCTCCATCGACGACTCTTCCTTCTCCGAAATTGACGGATCAGATGGAGCGACAGCAGAATTCGACGCGACCAACCTCCCTAACGGCCGAATTCCTGTCGACCGGCACATTCGGACGGCCAGCGGGTCCGTGACGTGGATGCCGCCGTCGCCGGTGGCGGTGAAAAGCCCGCACGCGAGCGCGATACGGAAGAAGGCGGCGATGGCGAACGGGCGCGCGACGGCCATGGAGTGCGCGTGGGCGGAGGCGGAGGAGGACGCGAAACCCATTGTCGCTGCGGCCTGCGCCGCCGCCGCTGCTGCCGCCCCTGGCGATTCTTCGATGTCGACTTCTCGTTCGCAGGCCAGATCTCCGACCCTGTTTGGGTTCCGAGTCCCGAGCCACGAAACCAAGGCGGCGCCGTCGTTCCCGCTCCAGAAGCCGTCGCGGGTCCCGGCACGCACCAGCAGCGGCGGAATCGCCGCCGGGGTTTCTCCCCGCGGATTGACGCGCACGTGGTCCATCTCCACCCTGCCGTCGATCTGGCGTAAGCCGCCTCACGGCGAGTGGCCGAAAGATGTCGCTGCTGCAGACTCCGCGACTCACGCATTCGTGCAAGGCGGTGATGGAGCGGCGATGCTCCGTCCGTCGCAAAAGCCTCGGCCGCGCCAGTCGCGGCAGCGCGGAGAGCTCGCGCGCAGCCTGACGACGGACAGCGCGGTGCTGTCGGGGTTCAACGCTGACGACAGGCGGAGCAAGGGCCGGCCCGCGCGACAGGCGGAGCAAGGGCCGGCCCGTGAGGCGAAGCCCGCGCAGTCAAGTCATACGATTCGCAACCAGCTTTGCGGTGGTGGCCGCGCGCTCGTGCGCACCGCGTCCGCGCCTGTTGCCGCGCGCACGCCGCCCTCCCTTCCCCGTCGCGGACTTGAGCTAGGCCGCGATGGGCGCTGCCAGATGGCTGAGGCGGGCAGACAAAGCAGTGCTGCGCGGAGCTGCGTGGTGGCGCAGGCAGTGGCGGAGGAGGGGGAAGAGGAGGAGGAGGTTCCGGTGGCGCATGCAGCGACAGCGGCGAGTATCGGCGCGCTTGAAGGAGGGACGAAGCCCAGGTGCTTTCCGCATGCATGGACGCATGCGGTGCATGTCAAGCCCTTGTACAGGCAGGCGCATTCGCTACCAGCTATCTCGATACAGTCACCCCCAGTTCAGTCGTACACACCGCTGCAGCGACATGCATCACTGCAGCCTCGGCCGCAGCAGCAGCAGCAGGGCCGAGCGTGTCTCCCGCCCTCTCCCTGCGCCGACGTGCACCCGTCGCAGCGCCTGCCTGCTGCCAGCACCCCCCCAGCAGCGCACCCCAGCAGCCCGGCCCTGGAGCTCGGTGCCTCCACTGTGCCGCCCTTCACCCCCACGCCCTGCGTATGCCACGCGTCGCCCCGCGTCTTCATCCCCCGCCTCGCCTCCTCCCCGTGCGCGTGCTCCTCCCGTGATTCCAGCTTCCCCACGCCGCATCCCTCTGCCCTGCGCCCATCCGCCACGTCCCCCTCCCTTGCCTCCCCCTGCCTGCTGCCCTCCCCCTCTCTTGCCCTGCCCAGTCCCCGCCCCGCCTCCGCCCTCCCATCATGCCTGCGCTCACCCGCTAGCCCGTCCCCGCACAGCAAGCAGGCTCGGCGCGTGGCCTTCAGCCCTGTGGTTCGGGTCCGAACCTACTCACACTCGGACGAGGACTGGCCCGCACCCCCCGAGCACACCACCGCAGCTGTTGCTGCTGCCGCTGCTGCTGCAGGCGGCACTGTAGGAGGTGCAGCAGCAGGAGAGGGAGGAAGGTCCAAGAATATCCCAGACAACAACACAGACAGTACTCTGCTGCAGCCCCACCTTGAAGCAGAAGGGTTTGCGTCAAAGGCTCCCAAGGGAGAGTGCATCCCCAGGCAGCAAGTCTCCCTGCAAGCATGCTGACACTAGGTGGCCATGGGCACGCACAGGCGGCAATGCATGTATACATCTACCGTATGTTCATGTTGATACAGGTACATTGAACAAATTTCCCCAAGAACGGTGGAGCCTTTGGGAAAGCATGTGTAGCCTGTGTAACAATTAGTGATGATTAGATAACTGTGAGAAATGATGTAGGACCATGCTGCCCTTTACCAGTCTCAACAGCCTGCCGTACATAATGTCTCACGCCTGTTAGTGCCATGCCACCCCTGCCTGTTCTAGTGCCGCCCATCACCAGCACACCTATTGACACGGCCCAGCAGCATGGGGAGGGTGGTGTTGGAAGGTCTCAGCATGAGTGTCCCTGAGTGCCACACCGGGTGACCCCTGCAACCACACCCTTGCCCAATCTCCTCGCCCTCACAGCCACAGCTGCAGCCGGCATTTCAAGCATCACACTCACACTCCATCCCTACTCCTTAGCCACCAAACTCCTCCCTCACTTCCATCACAGCACCCTACTTCCTCCCAGCAACACCAACAGCAGCAGCGGGCACGGCGGGCGCATGGATGGCGATCTCCCCCACGCCCACAGGCAGCCTCCGCCTCACGGCCGCCACCTCCTCGCTCTCCCACGCCGGCACCTGCCTCGACACCTGCGGGCTCAGCGGTCCTGAGTATGCGTGGGCGCCCTCTGAGCCGTGACCTGCAGGCTTGCCTTTGGAGCGGGGCGAGGGGTGTGCGAGGGACGCCAAGGAGGGGAGGTGCAGGGAGGGCGAGCGCGGGGACGAGAGGGAAGCCGCGGCGTGGGAGAGCGAGGAGAAGGAGGGGAGGTGCAGGGAGGGGGAGCGCGAGGAGGAGATGATCCGCAGCCCGGAGGACACCACAGCGGGCATGCAGCTGTGCCTGCCGGCCGCAGTGGGGGAATCCGGGGGGGAATCAGCGGTGGCCTCTCCTGGCACGCACGACATGCTCTGTGACACGGGGAAAGCCCACTCCGAGGAGAAGAAGTCGAGGTCCGAGGGGTGGTCAGCGCTCTCACTCGCATACCGCACGTCAATGGTCAGATTGCGAGTCATCTTAGGGCTCGACGCAAGCTGCTGCTTCCTCTGAGACGCCACAAGCAGTTCGCCCGACCAGTCCACCCCTTCAGCACCATCAACACTCACTCTGAGCGAGCCGGACCGCCGCCTACTCTCGTACCCGGACGCTCTCCCCTTCCCCTCACTCTTGCTCGAGAACTCTCCGCCGCTGCTGGCTTTGCGCGATGCCGCGGGCGACAGGAGCATGCGCCTGAGCGACTTCGGCGACACCATCTTGACGCCGCTGGGCGACCGGCACGGCGACGTGGGCGTGCTCTGTGCGACCTGTGCGACGTGCAGGTCCTCCCACGCGCTGTCCATCGTTTCCGCCGACTCCATTGCGCGCCGAGCGCGCTGCCGAATGGCCTCCGCGTAACGGCTGCGGACGCCGACGGGCGAGCTGGGCTGCCAGAGAGGCGGCTGCGACGCCGAGTGGAACAGCTCTAGCGTGCTCCGCGGGTCGCGCATCGAGTCGTTTAGAGCGGCGGAATCCGTGGGTGGCTCTGGCAGGCTCTGCGACACCGGCAGTTGCGGAACGCCATCGTCCGGGATCTCGATCTGGACTGACCGGCCGAACGACGCGAAGAAGCGGAAGCTGCTGCTGGGCTTCGGAGATCGCCGCTTACTACTGGTAGTAGCACTGCCCCCAGTGGGCGTGTCTTTAAGAGGGGAGAGGACTGGCGACGATGCGTCTTTGCTGCATATGCACACCGAGGCCTCGAGCGCTCCGCATCCGCAGGAGTTCCCTCGCGACGCAGAACGATCGTCTTTGATTGATGCCAGATCAGCACCCACCAAATCCCTGAGAAATGTCGACCAACAGAGAATCCCGGGAAGAGGAGAGGGGTAAGGAGGGGAGTGGTGGAGATGGAGCGAGAAAATAATTTCTGAGACTATTGACAAGAAGCAGCTAAACCAGTCAAGGAGAGGAGATTGCGTGTGGGGATTGCGATGAAGCCATGTTTTCCACGCCGTACCTCATCGATCCTCCATTGAAGGATGCGCCTCTGGAAGATGACGGGTGCTCTCGCAGACAGTCACTGGCCATCCCGAGAAACCTTACTAGGAGCTCCGACGTAAGTGTCACGCTATGCTGATACCGTAGCTTATGAAGAGCAAAGATACGCGGCTCAAAGAGCAAAGTCGATCTAACGGACGTGTCACGCGAGTCATAAGAAGCTGCAGTACCTCTACTCTCGTTGCGCCAAGAACCATTCGCATAAGAAGGCACAATGCTGGACCCTTGAGTTCACACAAATGGAATGCAGCTGAGAGCGCTCTCTGCAAATATCTTCTCAGCCACAGCAGATGGTGAAGTTGATTCGTGTCATGAGGGGGAGGAGGGGAGGGAGTGAGATGGTGATGCCCCCCGCAGTGGCCGTGGCTGCTTCTGCCCACATCTGCCCGTTTTTGCCCACATCTGCCCGTTCTTTCCCAATTCTGCCCGCTCCCTCCAACCTGGGACAGAAGCTCCCAGAGACCGGTCAGGTGGACATGAAAGTCCTTCATCACTCTCATTTGATTGGTCGAGCTGTTCTTTTCAGCTGGACTTCGGTTACCACTGCCCGTGCTAGGGGAGCTCTCGGGAACATCGCGGTGCTGTGATGATCAGGTCGGTCAGTCAGTGCTCGTCCAGCGCAGCCATTCAGCGGCACATCACGAATGTTCGGCACAGCCCAGCCGCACGGCAATTGTCGCAGCAAACGGCGAGCAGCAATGCCCCTGGTTCCGCGGCCTTTCCAGGCCAGCCAGTGAAATGAGTGAAATCAAAATGCGTTGACCCACCTGGCAGTACACCTGTTGCAAAAAAGTGCACGCCTCCTTCCTTATGGGTGCAATTGATCCAGCAGGATATTTCTTTCATGGTGCACACAATATCGCACTACAGATCTTGTGCTGCCTGAGACACGTTCAGGTGCTTACCCGTACTTGAACAGCCAATATGTTATAATAACAAATTTCAACAGACTAGGATCCTGGGTTTCGTCTAGAGCGTGGGGCACGCCACCATGGAAACAGCTTCTTCAGATTCTGCATCTGCATCTTCCTCCTTTCCCTGCCATCCGGTTCTGATTTTTCAGGCCCTGCACATTTCCACGCTATATCCCACATGCTGGGCTCACTCCCATCAGAGCAAAGCCTGTGAAATGCCTTGTGATCGGACCTGCTTGGCTCGTCCCAGGATGAAATTACAGGAGAGGCACCCGGTGAAACGAGACGACCGGATGGAGATGCCGGCGCGGATCTGAGCTGTCGGCCACCAGCAGGCTCCCACGACAGGGACTCAGGACTCAGTGACACTTGAAGGACGGGTTTGCGCTGCCACCTGCTTGGCTGGTCCTGGTACTGCCTGAAGTAAATGGGAGAGGTGGCGCTGGGTGCCATGGCTCCTGAAGGGAGTTGGCGGGGAGGCACCCTACCCTGATGATACTGAGATGAACCCCGGATGACTGTGCTGGGCTGCTTCTCACCATCCACAGCCAAACGCAGCTGCATCTTGTCCTCCTCCCGCCGCTCATGGGGCTCAGCCGCTGGGGCGCATTGCTGCTGCGTCAAAGTGTGTGTTCCAACAGTAGGCGGGCCATGCGACACACTGCAGGCTGGCTGATCGTGCACTGGAGCAGACGGCATGTGAGCGGGCATGGTTGAGCGGGCAGAGATGCAAGGCGGGCAGGCACAGCAGCATGGAAGCACTGATTTGCATGGAGAGGGCTGTGCGGACCACTGCTTGGCTTGCCCAATGCTGGGAGATCCTCTGGGTGAGCCTGTAGGTGAGTGCACACGGTGTGCTGCTGGAGGAGACAGCGAGTGCGAGCAACGCACCGCTTGACGTGAACAGGTTGACTGAGGCGAATGCTTTGACTGAGGCGAATGCTTTGACTGAGATGAACGCTTTGACTGAGGGGACTGCCTTGACTGAGGGGACTGCCTTGACTTAGGGGTCGCTATTGGCTGCACGGGGCTCAAGGACGGAGCAGAATGGACCGCTGGCAGGCGCGGAGACAGCGGCTGTAGAGGAGAAGGGGCGGGCCGGGCCACTGGGATGGCCCATCCATTCTCAGACGCCTGCTGCCCGTCCTGCGCTGCATGGGGGGCCAGTGCCACACGGAAGGAAGGGCCCTGCGAGGAAGACGACGAATGCTGCACGGATGCTATGTTCGCCGCCGCCCGCTCCCAAGCCGAGCTCAGGCTGATGGAGTCCATGGAGCCTCGCCGCCGGGGTCGGCCTGAATCCCGCGCTGCCCACCTGTTCTGCTGCGAGCCGTCCTCATTGATAAGGTTGGGCCGTGAGATGCTATCCCGGCTGTCGCGGCTGCCTGAGCTGTCGTGGCTGGCAGTGCGGTGCACGTGCATCGAATCCCGTCTGATGGACAGAAGGCGCTTCAAGGCGGGTAGCCCTCGCCGTGACTCGTGTGGCGAGGTGGGCAGCGACTTGCACTCCCTGAGCACGTACTGCTCCTCCCACACGCGGTCCATGTCCATGTCCATGTCCGCACACTCCACATGGCCCGCCTGCCCCCCCGCGCCTCCCACCACTTGCTTGGAAACCCCAAACGGGCTTTGCACCACCGCAACAGCCACTGGGTGCCAGAATGGCGGCTGTGGTGCGCCATTCCCGCCCTGTGCTCCCCCCTCGCTCCCGCCATCCCCCGTTGCTCCCACCACGTCCCCCACCTCGGCCTCGTTGGACGGCCCCTGCCCTGCCATGGCCCCTCCTGCCCTCCCCTGCCCTCCCTTCCCCACCGCGTCTCCTCGCATTTGGCTGGTCTGGGAGGCGAAGAGGCCGCAGGAGGGAGCAGGCGGGGACTCCAGGGCAGCGGGACTGAGGAGCGCCAGTGAGCTGCTCGTGGGAAATCCAACCGTGCTGCTGCTTCGCGCTTGGCTGCTCGGCGCCGCCAGCCATAGGTCCATGCTGAACTCCTCCGCGTCTGTGCGCCTCAACTCCCTCTCCCCCTGCCCTTCCCCCTCCTCCTCCCCCTCCCCCGTCCCGCGCTCCTCGTGCCCCAAGCAAGGAACTACAAAAGCCACTTCCCCACTGGCAATGCTGCTTAAAGCGGGGTGATCCGAGGGAGCAGGGAGCTGAGCGGGTGCAACTGACGGCTCTAATTGGTCGGACGAGGGGATGATGCAATCACATGTTGCATGCGCGTCGGATTGCTCCTCGTCGGATGGCTCGCGGGCAGAGGAGGATGACGGTGCGGGGTTGGGAGCAGGGGCACAGAAGGCCGTGGGATGCGGGGGGGTGGAATCAGAGGGGATGGAATCGGAGAGGACAGAATCGAAGGGAACGGAATTGGCGGGAATGGAATCAAAACCGGAGGGGCTAAGACGGCTGGTGGGATGATCGCGTGGTATGTAGCGATCCACGTCGGACCACAGCGAAGGATACGCCATGCTCCGAGGACTCGTCCGCCCCTGCCGGTGCTTCGACGGGCTCTGAAGAGGCGGTGGGAGCGGCTCCAGCGAGACAGCGTCCTCCGTGCAGCCGCGCTCTGCCTCGTCAGCGCCTATCTGCGTGCTGGTGGATCGAGTTTGGCAGCACAAGATAGCGGGATGATCAGGGAAGGGAGAGTGAAGCCATGGAGGAGACGGAGTGGGTGGAGACGGAGTGTGTACGGGGGGCAGGAAGATGCGTGGCGCTGGGGAGGAAAGATAACTACGTTCGACTGCTTCAGCTGCGGCCGGTGCTGGAGCTGACAATTAAGGACACCCTTTTGCTGGGATGATCCAGAAATGAAAAGAAGCTCAGGAATTGCAAGAGATCCACGTTTCTCTTCAAGGGGACAAGGCATTTCAGAAGCAAGGCAGGTGAAAGGTGGGGGACAGAGGGTAGTGGGCCAGCAATGGCCGATCGATTGCTAGGAAAACATATGCTTACCTAGTGGGGTCTGGACGATTCCCCAGCGACGCGAGAGAGAGCTTGACGGCTTCCTTGAACTGCGCTGTTTTCGATAAGACCTCCTCGGTCATGTTCACTGTGCGCGACTTGATCTCCCCCGAGACTACCGCAGCCTTTTCTCTGAGCGCATCACGCATTGCTTCGGACTTTAACGCGATATCTGCACTCACGGCTTTCGTTCTCGACGCCATTTCCTCGCCTAAGGTCGTTGTCTTCGATACCAGCTGCTTCGTTATCGTTGCGACGCGATCGTTGAGCGAACTCGTCTTTTTATAGGCCTCATTGTCGGCTGCTTCTGCCTCGAATGGCGACCCCATGGCTGCGGCTGCAGATTGGGCCACCGACTCAAAGGGGGCACGTTCGTCCATTACTCGCTAAGATCGAGATCAGTGTTGAAATTGCCTCTCTTCTGTTCTGGTCGATGCGCGTTCTCAGATAATCTAGGTGGTCGGAACGTATCGACCAGTTTACCCGGACTCGTGCTTACGAAAATATAGCACGTGTATTATCTTCCCTACTTCCTAAGCAAAGCTCCGGTTTTTCTACGACTGTATCTATCCATGGCAGTCCGGTGTGGTGACAGTGGAGAAACAATGCGTGGCGTTTTTCGAGGTGGGAGGGAATCTCAGAATTACAAGAAACTGGCAGCCTGGGAGGCTGAAGGCAGGAGGCTGGAGGAGTGGAGGTGAATTCCCAGGGTGGGCGAAGGGCGCGTCCAAAGTGCAAAAAATCTCATATTTAGTTTCTGGTGCAGCTCGGTTGGGCACATTTGGTGGTGGTCTGTGCGCTTTAGTAGCCTTCAGTGCGATACTTTTTCAAAATTGGCACTCAGGACGCGCCCTAGCATGACGGTCTCCAGCGGTCACAAGGGGACGCCAGTCGCTAAGGGCGCAGTACACGACCCCGTTCTTGGGATTTTCGGTCAAAAGGCCGGCCCTCAGGGTTGGGCAGCCAGGGCCGGCCCTGATGTGGAGGCCTGGGGGTTTCCCTCAATCCTCATGTATCATAAGAAGGCAACCCTCGCCCTGGAGGCAAATTTGCCCCAGGGTTGCATCCACCTGGAGCTGCCAACATTTTTTCATGGCAGCCCTGGGGATGGGGTGCTGCTGTCTGTGGTACAAACGAAGTTTGCCTTAGCGAACCATGCCTCGAACCCGACCTTGGGACCCATGTACCGCGCCCTAAGATATGCGGGTCGCAACAAGGCTCAGCTGTGAATTAGACCGGGTAAGAGAGACAAAGTTTGTCAGCCGCTGATTCGTCACGCAATTTCACAGGCCGTAAGATCGGCACGTGTGATTGGCGGATCGATTTTGTGCGATCAGCACGACCGGCGAAGGTGTACGACGTAAACGAAAAGGTAACCCTGAAGATAACTAGGATGTGAGGGATGTTTCATTCCTTACCGAGCTGTACTGCGTCGCGTACGCTCGAAACCTCGTGAAGCCAGCTTCGGCCCAAACTTCCCGCACTCGAACCTTAGGCTCGACTCCAAACCTCTCTCCGGAGCTTCGACACCCTTCGATATCATTCTCGAACCATCTCATCTCACGGCTAAGACTAGCTCTGGTGTTCCTATATATTGCCTCCTCATTCCTTGCTTCGGCACTGGATTATTGGGTATGATATTTGATTCGGCGCAACTGTACTCTGTAGTTGCACCCATAACACAGGACTTCTCGCAAACCTGCCTTGTCCATTAGAGAGTCGAGACCTCCGTGCACGCCTCCAGCTCGAAATACACAATCGAGCCTCGCTTTGCACTTGCACAACAACGCACCTTTTCCCGTGGCCACGCCTGTGATCCTCGTTCCTCAGACAGCTCGCGTCGCGATCATGCGGTCCTTAGGATCCGCTGTGGGTCAGCCTATCGTGCAGGATAAAGTCTTTCCTTGCGTGCGCCTGCCGTCAGCGCGCCGGTGCGCTCTCCCTCGTCCATCCGCCTTCTTGACAACTCATTCACGCTCTTCCCAGTGCTCGCAGCATGCGCACGGAAGAAGGCGCCGCGATGTTCTCAAATCACGAATCACTCCTTCGACATCCCACGTCTCCACGTTTCAAGGTGAAGGGACCACGTGGCCGAAGCTGTTGGCGATTCGAGCCGAGGCTCTGAACCCAGGTAGCGCTGGAGGCTCGGCAGCGGACCTAGCTGCTCTGGAGGAGAGCGAGCCTTGGCTCGGCGCGGTGGTCTACCGCCGGAGTGCGGCTCGTCAGGAGTTTGTCTTCGTGACCACTTTAGAGCGCCTCGCGCTTCCGCATCTCTCCTCCCCCGCGTCCCGCGCCCAGGCCGCGGAGACACTGATGGCGGAGATGGCGGAAGCGGAGAGCGAGGGGGGCAGCGGAGAGGGGGAGGAGGCGGGTACTGCTGTTGTCGTGCGCATGAGTTCCTCTAAACAGGGCCGCGATATAAGGCTGGACGGCACAGCGGAGACAGTGTTCGCCATGCAATGCCACAGGTGAGGGTCTAGCGCGGGACAAGGGATTAGCTCCACCTGAATACCCTTCTCGCCCTTATTCCCCGCCCCCGCCTCTCTCCCTCGCTCTTCCGCCTCCCGTCACCTAAAGCCCCCTCCTCCCCCCTCCCCTCCAGGTGCCTGTGCGCCGTTACCGAGCCCATCTATAGCGAGTTCAACCTGCTGCTCTCCGCCTCGGCCCTTTACGAGCCCACCAAGCGCAGCCTCGGGGTCATCCTAGACCCCTCCCCGGGCGACTTCAACTCGCTGCCAGCGGACCACGACTATGGCGACGAGGGCGACATGCTGGACCTAGACCTCGACGACAAGCTCTTCTTCCCCGCGGACCAGCGGAGTATAGACGTCTCTAAGTACGTGCGTGACACGGTGCACCTGGAGATCCCTCTCAAGGTCCGGTGCAGCCCCAGGTGCCAAGGCATGTGCCTCGGGTGCGGGGCGAACCTGAACGTCAAGGAGTGCGCTTGCGGGGAGGAGGAGTGGGGGAGCGGGAGGGGCGGCAGCAAGGGGTCAGTGGGGGGGGGGCAGAGGCTGGATGGGCTTGGGGCAGGCAAGGGGAAAGGGAAGGGGAAGGGGAAGGGAATGGGGATGGGGATGGGGATGGGGGGGAAGGCAGGGGGCAAGGGGTCGCTGAAGGAGCAGCTGGAGCAGCTGTACAGGCAAGGGGCGGATGATGATGATGGGGATGAGAGGCAGGAGGGGCCATGACATGGGGCACGGCGAGCAGGTGGCATGGGGCACACATGGGGCGAGGCAGCAGTGTTTGGTCTATGCCTTGAGATTGTGCTGGCCGTGCGTCTGAATCAGCCGTATGTCCCTGTGTGCTTGCATTGCTTTTGCTTGGACTGTTCTACATGATCAATGCTTATTCATGCCATGTCATTCCACCACATATCTATAAGCATTGCAAAACTGCAACCCCTGGTACTGTACATGCCCTGGCATGGATACACCTTTCTCTGCCGACATACACGTGGCAAGGTGCCACATTATTCCTTTCATATGTTCAACAGCCGTAACACCCGCAAGATACGGTACGTCTGGGTGGTACACGTCACATCTCGTGAGCAGTGTGCGTCACATCATCTGCGGGTACGCGTGGTACCACGAGTCGAGGCCGATCCAGGCCTTGTTGAGAAAGTAGCGCCGTGAGGCGGGCGTCATGGTCTTGAGCCAAGGCACCCTGCCGTCCAGGTTGGCGCCGATGCCCGTGTTGTTGTACTCCGCGTAGAACGTCGTCCACTCCCTTGATCGCACGTAGAAGTTGTTCCACGCTGCAGGGGGGGACAGGGGAGTGCGAGGGAGCGAGGGTTCCAAGGGAATTTGAGCGAGAGCAATGGGCTCCCCCGGTGCATTCAGCAAACAGGTAGCCCATTCCCATGGCCGCACGTACACGTCGTTTCCCCCGACCATGCAGTTGAGAGGCAGACATGGCGTGCGGCAGACATGTCGTGAGGCACATGAGGCAGGCATGGATGTGTGGAAAGACGTCATCTGCTCTATCTTGCAGCAAGTAAGTGTTCTCTTCTCACCGTCGGCGTTGATGATCTCGTCGATGTACGAGTGTGCAAAGATGGTGCACGCGTATTGCCCCCACGACCGCCCCAGCCACCCCTGCAGCCACCACACACACACGTGAAGTTAACAGGGAGGACACGTTGGGTCATGGGCCCGTGGCTCCCTTGTTGCATGATACATGGAGAGCAGTGAGTACGCTGGTCTGCTCAGCACCTTGTCTCACGTCGCATGCTCCTCGCTCCCATCCATCGCCTCTCGCGTGCCCCCATCTGCTCGCCTCCATGTGAGGTCGCAGCCCCTGTGATGGGCTGCTGCCCGATCGCTCTACTCCGCGCCATCATGAGCTGCGGATCATCATCATTCCGCACCTCTCTCTTCCCTCCCCTTGCCCCCCTCCCCCCCACCCCCTGATCCCCCCCATCCCCTTCCACAACCGCACCTGGGCAATGATGGGTCGTTGCCGTATGACTCTCTTCTGCACCATGACAAAGCGGTTGTCGTCGCCCTTGATGTCCCCCTTCCCTCTTCCCCCATTTCCTCTCATTTACCTCCCCCCGAGCGCACCTGGGCGATGATGGGTTGCTGCCCGATGACTCTATTCTGCACCATGACGAAGCAGTTGTCATCGCCCTTGATGTCTCTCTTCTGCGCCGTCACCGACGCGAACCCGTAGCTCGACATCTGCAGCACGCACGACTCGAACCGCGCCTTGGCCTGTCCGAAGATGAAGTCCACCGTGCCGAAGATGTAGCCTGGCGTTTGGCAAGGGGGACACGGGCGGATAGAGGGCATGAGGAAATGGGGGGCAGGAGGGGATGGGGGGGAGATGGGGGGGAGGATGGGGGGGGATGAGGGGATCGGGGGCATGAGGGGATGGGGGGGATGAGGGGATGGGGTCCATTAGGGCGTGGGTTATGGGGATATGATGCGAGCAGGGAGACGCATGGTAGCTGAATAGAGGCCACGTGGCGCTGCAGCAGAGCAGAATCAGGGGGCGGCCCCAAGGCAACACAGTCTGCTAAGTCCAAGCCCTATCGCGCTTTGCCTGAACACGTCAGCCTAAACTCTATCCCGCGCGCCCTACGCTTCCTCCCACCCACAGCCCCCCCCACACCCAGCGAGCGGCACTCACAGTCCTTGTAGTACTGCCACCCCTTGTGCGCGTACAGCGTGTCCTGCACGGGGGAAGGGAGGGATGGCGTGGCAGGGAGGGGATGGGGGGAGAGACGCGGGAGCGGGAGGGATAGGTGTGTGTGTGTGAGTGGTAGTGGTGGTGGTGGTGGTGGTGGTGGTGGTGGTGGTGGTGGTGGTGGTGGTTTGCAGAGAGGAGTCAGCCCGGTGATGACGATGGCACTGTGACGGACTCGTCAACCTACCTGGGACGACTCGATCAGGACCAGGCATGAGTCCGACCAGCGATGACCCACCTGGTACGATTTGATGGAGCAATTGTAGAACGCCGTGCGATTGGCCGTCACTCTGACGGCCACCGCCTGGTAGATGTAGCTGTTAGGCGGCGGCCGTGGCGACGCGTTCTCGAAGTTGACGTTGACGGCCGTGAAGTCGTCGGCGAATACGACAAAACAGCCCGTGTTCACTGCGGGAGGGAGGGGAGGAGGGGAGGAGGGGAGGCGGGGAGGAGGGGAGGAGGGGAGGAGGGGAGGGGGGAGGAGGGGAGGAGGGGAGGAGGGGAGGAGGGGAGGAGGGGAGGAGGGGAGGGGGGAGGGGGGGAGGAGGGGAGGAGGGGAGGAGGGGAGGAGGGGAGGAGGGGAGGAGGGGAGGAGGGGAGGAGGGGAGGAGGGGAGGAGGGGAGGAGGGGAGGAGGGGAGGAGGGGAGGAGGGGAGGAGGGGAGGGGGGGAGGGGGGGAGGAGGGGAGGAGGGGAGGCGGGGAGGCGGTGCAGAAGAGGGAACGAGTGAGCGCAGGAAGGGGCGCGGCGGGACGATGAAATCTCAAGGCTCGTGATGGCGGCAAGCGCGGCGGTGATGCGGGTGATGGGTGTGGGGGGTGATGGGGGGACGACGGGCGGGGGGAAGGAGGGGGGGGGGGGGGGGGTGGGGGGGAAGGAGTCCCGCTGTGGCAGGAGGGATGGAGAAGAATGCGCCTTGGACGGCGAGCCAATGCGGCGCTTACACGTGGAGAGCATATCGCCGTTGTCGTTGAGCATGCCGCTGTAGCGGTTGCACGACATCGTGCTGCCGCCACCCTCGGGATCGCCGATCAGCGACAGATACCGCTGGGGGGAGAGCGGGCGGGTCGGGGGAGGGGAAAGGGGGGAAGGGATGGGGGCGACGGGAGTTTGAGATGAATGGGCGACGGAGTCATGCGATCACGCGGAGACGCGTTAGCTGAGGATGCGACAATGCGGTCGCGCGGGCGAACGGCGTACCATGTACGGTCGGATGATGATCGTCTCGTTGTACCAGCCGGCCTTAATGAAGATCTTCGTGCCTTGATTCGGCAGATACGCCGGCGGCACGTAGTATATTGCCTCCTGCCACGTCACACAGCACCAGCATGCCACGTCAGTAGGGCACGTCATATGGTAGCGAAATACAGCGCGCGACGTGCGAGCTAGCAGCACGGGGCACTAGAGCAGGAATCGCGTTTGACATTTCAGAATCGAGGGCGCGCTCGTCTAACTACCCCTCCCCCTCGCGTCCTGCTTGCTGCTTCCCTGCGAGAATAGCCTCGCATACGCGACCCCACCCTCCCACGTCCATCCTTCCTACCGTCGGATCGTCTACTTCGCCGGCTTCCGTCAAGTCACCCGGCCAGCCGCCTCACACGACGGCCGCGAAGCCTGCATACTTGTCTAGCATCCTCGCTACCACCATCGAGGCTCGTCCCTCTCTCCCACTCTCGAATTCCGTCGCAACTGTGGCAGTCCCACCCGCGGCGGCCGGACCGCCACAGTGCACTAACCACGACCTCATTGTTCGCATCTAGATAGGCAGTCGTGCCGTACGATGCAAAACAACCGTGGGTATCGTACGGATCGTACGGACCGTATGCTCCCAGCAAGCGCACAGCCGTCGGCCGCACCTGGATGGTGGTGAAGTCGCACCTGGATGGTGGTGTAGTCGCCCGAGCCGTCCTGCGCGACGACCATGTTGGGCACCACCGGCACGCCCTTGAGGTTGATCGTCATGTTCGTGCGCGACACCACGCCCGCCACTCTGCTGGGCGCGATGGCAACGGTCAGGACGACGAGGAGCGCTAGTGGGAGCGAGGACACGAGGGACGCGGCGAGTCGGTGTCTTCGCTGTCCCGTGCGGCTTGTTACTGTTGCTCGACGTTCTCGCGACTCAGTTTCTTGCCTTAGGGAGCCATGTCTACGCAACGGCTGCGAGGCCATCCTCTTCGGGAGGTCTGGTTGACTAGCGCGACTAGCCCGCGTGATCTCTCGATGCCCTAAGCTTCCTTCACGACGACCTAAGCTTCGTTGTGTCAAGCGATCGCTGTCGCACGACATGACGACACCGTCGCCACAGGCCTATTTCTGAAACTAACTACTTCGGCGGCTGGAGTAAGCGTCTCGGAGGGAGAAGAATAACTGGACAAGTCCGTGTGAACGAGGACACGAGAGAGGCGATGCGATCGGGGTAGATGATAGAGCTACGCTGTCGCAATGCCTACGATGACGCTGAACCGAAACGGTAGACTGGAGATGGATGAAAGCTAGGGTCGGCGGCACTCGCTAGTTCAGGGAGGCTGACCTCGGGCGCACGTCTCTAAGCTGCACAGCTCTAAGCTACGCAGCGGGTCGTGGAGAGTGCAGCGGAGTCGAGCAAAATTTTGACGACTTCACTACCGTGTACATCTGCCCATCTTTCACGAAACAGTGACTTTTCGGGCCTCAATAGATACCGCCTGAGTCTCGAAACAGGGAGGTAGGCAGTCATTTTCGCGCTGGCTGTGCGCCGTCCATCCACCACGTTACGCTACGACTTTCCGCCCGGAGAAAGAAGCTGTCGAGCAGGCAGGCGCAATGCAACTCGCTTCCTTTCTCGCTGCTCTCCTCCTCATCCGCAGCTCGGCCAAGCCTCGCTTTGCGCCGACACGCGGGAGAGTTGGAGCTGGGAGAGAAATTTGGGAGGGAAGGCCTGTATGCCCGCAACCAGCGCGGCTCGCACAGACAAATTCTCCGCGCAGCGAGGCGCGGTTGAATTGATGACAGGCGGCTGGCAGATGATGGCGGTGAGGTGAAAATGCAGATAATGTACAGGCGAGGTTGGCATGTGATGTAAACAATTCTACACTACCTTTCCATCCTTCTTACATGCCTAGGGTAAGTATGTTAACAATTCATTTTAAATGGGTTCTATGTGGTTCTCAGTGGTCAAGTGTGGTGGCGTGCGGAATTCTTTCCTGACAGCGATGTACCGTACGTACTGAAGCGGTGTATCATGAACTTATGCGCTGGACAAGACCTAAGACACCAACATCAACGTGATGTGGCTTCAGTAAGGTTCTTCATACAGAAAATGGGTTTAGGCAACAGATAAAATCAAGTTAATATCCTCAAAATAGTGTCAACACACATCACGACATAGCATGCAGAGGTGCCATAGGGGACTGCATGTCTGGAAAACTGGAACCCGAGAAGGGCTGAAGTGCGTATTTAGGGGCATTCACGCATTGCGTACGCATGCTAGGCCCAGTTGGTGCGGCTCTTGAGGCAGCAATAGCAGGCCTAAGAGTCTTCATTGGGGCAGGAATAGGAGCAGCTTGCTGACTGACAGAAAGTGGCGTATTAGGAGCAGAGAGCCCCCTAGCGGAGAGCCAGTCCTTCAGCCGCGTCGAGCCATTGCTCGAAGAACTCAAGGTGGTCACACAAGGCATTGCACCACCAGGAGAACTCGCATAACTGCCTGCTTCAACCATTGCTGCGGCATGTGCTAGCTTCCCTCCACCAGGGCTGGGTACACCATCAGTAAGTACTCTTTCCATCGGCTCTCCTGCAGTTGGTGCTGCCGTCGCGGCTGCTTTCCCTGCTGCATGCACGCCAAGGACAGCGGCAGCAGTGGGGCGGGCCACCTGCAGGCGGAGGGACTTGAACAGAGAGAGGCGGTGAGAAGCTGCTTGCAGCCGACCCGTGCTGTTGCTGGTGCTGCTGGCGCTGCAGGCGCTGCTGCTGCCAGCGGCATGGGGCTGGCTTGCGAGGGGTCTCGAGCCGGTCCTGTCGCCGCCATTGCTGCTGCAGCTGCTCTCAGTGCTCGTGCTCCGCCCAACGCCCCCTATAGTGCCTTGGCTGGCCACTCGACGCATGTATTTCGTGGAGTCCGCACCCATCCGCCGTGGCTGCTGCTGCGTTCTCTCGCCGCCTGCCGCTGCTTGGTCCACGGGCGACAGCAGCGGAAGGCCGCGGGGCGTCAGCCCGCCCGACCAGTTCGCGTGCCGCGCGCTGCTGCGCGCACTCTCCGAGTATCGCTGCCTTCTGAGGCCGTCCGCCCTCTCCTCGTCACGGGGGGTATGAGAGCGGGAGACGTTGAGGTCGCTGATGGCGCTCTCCCACCAGTTTATGTCGTCGCCACCAAGACCATCGTTCACATGCCACGCGCCCGCGCCGCCGCCGCCTGTCGGCGAGAGGAGGTCCATGAGCGACCACGGGCCCGACGCGCCGTGGTTGCTGACGTCACACGGCACCTGGCTCGTATCCGAGCCGTCGCGCTCGCGTGCTGCCGGATTTCCGGACCTTCGCGGGCGGGGGAGAACTGTCAGTGCGCGCGCGAGCTTCCGCGACCCGCTGGAGAGAAGCGCGCGGGGAGAGATGAGCGACGAAGCGGCGGCAGGGGGAGCGCGTGGGGAAACGAGGGCAGAAGCGGAAGTATGGGGCGCGCGGGGGGAGATGAGGGCGGAAGCGGCGGCGGGCGCAGCTGCGCGCGGGGAGACGAGGTTGGGGATGGCGGTGACCGCGCCGGCTGCTGTCGGGCGAGCGTCGGCTCCGCTGGAAGTCCGCGAAAGCGGCGTCGCATGACGCGGCGTTGGCGGCGCTGGCGGGATGATGGTGGACTTCCGCGGCGTCGTGGGCATGAGCGCTGCGGGCAGTGACTGTATCGGGGGCATGGACGCCGCGCGTTCCAGGCCGCCGGATCTACCAGAGGAGCCGCCGTGATTCGCCGCTGCGAAGGCGCTGCGTTGGCGAGTCGACGAACGGGCAGCGCGCGGCGTGAAGCAGCTGACGACGACGGCGTTACCCGACGGCGAATCCGAGTCGTCGATGCAGGCCTCCGAGGCGGCATCGCCTGTTGTCGCACGCTTCGTCGCGTCAGGGTTCTCCAGCAAGCAGTACGTCCCTCCCGGCCGTAAAAACCGCTCCGGCGGAACAGCCACCGCGTTTGGCGGCCGAGACGGCCACGATGGTGCGAAGATGCCGGGGGACGGGCCCGACGGCGGGCCCAACGTGGCGGTGTGGTTCAGTGAGGCGAGGCCGTGACTAGGGAAATCCTTGAGGACATCTCTAACTTGCATGAGCTGTTCGTGATACAAACGAATGGAGCCATCAGGAAGGAGGACGATGACGGGATCCGTTTGCGCGGCCGGCTGCATTGTAGTGAAGGCCATGCGTGCATTCGACGAAGGGACAGGTTTATCGAAAGCTGCGTGAGTGAACTGAAGCAGGCCTTCTTGGGAGCAGAGGTGAGAAGCTGGACAGCAGGAAGGCTCGACGTTGTGAGGAATAGCTCAGACTAATCTGAGCGAGGCTGGGAATGAGTTGACTGTTGGCTTGCAAACTGTGTTTTCAATATCACCTCGAGAATCTCCAAGTCTATAATCGCAGAAAAGGTGCGATGTCGTGTGGTGATACGAGGTGCCGCGTGGTGCAACGAATTCTGGGTCATGACGTGGTGTGGTGTGGTCTGGTATGGTGTGGTGTGTTGTAGTGCAGGCGTTCGACATAGCCTCGGCGCGCCGCTGACGACAATGGGGCAATTGCCCCGAGCCAAGCCGACGGTAGGGGACAGGGTATGAGGTGCAACAAGGTAGTACACATGTTTTTCTTTTCAGGCTTAAAGTTTTTTCATGCGATTTCTCCAAAGTCTAGCACGTAGCTTTCACGGGCGAATTGGGCCAATATAGCGTCTGGTTACCTCGTTGGCATTTTCCAGTCTAAAGCGGGTGACCATTGTGTTCGTTTGCGTTCCTCGGGCAACAGTGTAAGGTTTGAGAACGTCCAGTCTGCACGTTTGGAAGTCTCCGTATCAGATTCGGTAATTTCTGCAGATCTTTGAGCCTGTATCGTCTGGTCCGTTTTCCGTGCTTTCAGAATAATAAGCCTGTAATGAAATACATGGCATATAATGAATAAACGTTTTAATGGAATTTAAGTGTATTAAACCAAATCAGTCAAACCTGCCTGACTCCAGCCAGAACCAGGCTCCCAGCCTATGCAGCCCGCCGAGTGTAGGTACGGGACCGTGGCTTCCGGCCCACACATCAATGCCTCCTTGGAGACTGACAAACTGTGCAGTGGAGCGACAGAACACGACACGAACGGAATCGAACGCTCTAAGGTCGTGCCGGCGGGGAAAAGGTCGGCCAATGAGAGCGGCACCTGCAGGCAGCTCATCTCACCCAACCGTTTCCAGTACAATACAGCACGCTCCACTGGCGCTTGAAGGTCAAGCACTATTAGCGAACCACAGCAGGGCAAAAGGAAAATCCAGCTCGGTACATCGTCGCACTGTAGTGTACACTCATGCGTGTCACAGTGCGCGTACGGTCTCCGCCGCTCCAATCCCGCGAGGAGGCTGCATCTGACGGGGGAAAGGAAGGAGCAAGCACCCTGCCCAAAATATCATACGAAGTGTAGAAACGGTGGCTTGTCCGTTGACCAAGCAAGTGCCCCTTGAACAGTGCTGAACAGCCAGCTCATCGACTGCTCTAAGCCAAAATTCCAGTGTCAGAAAGCACACACTGTGTACAGTATCTTGCCAGTCGGAGTACGGCACTCCACCCACATCATTCCCTACAAACTCACATAGAACAGTGAATTATCCTGAACGTTTACTAACATTACTTGAAGTTGTGACATACATGCCTATTTCACACATAAATATCCATTCCTAACTTTGTCCGCTAGCCTTTTGCCAATCATGAACGCCACCGACTCAATAGAAACCATTGGATTCACCCCCACAGGCGTTGGGAATACGCTACCATCACCCAGAAATAGCCCAGACACTTCCCAACTCTCCCCGTTTTCATCCACAACTGAGCTCTGGAGGGAAGTACCCATGGGGCAGCTGCCGGTCTGGTGTGCTGAGAACAGCGTGCAGTCATTGAGCTTGAAGCCCGCGGCAGCCACAGACATTAGATATGCCTCAAACTCAGCATCTGACGAGCATTGCCATCCATGCGTCTCCCCTGGGCCACCGCTACCAACCAAGTTGCCACTGGTTGCACGGGCATCGTCGGCAGGCGGGATGAGGCAGCGGAAGGGCTTGAGTGACTGGTGCAGGGTGCCCACCTCCACTGCTCCCGCTGCTCTGAGGATGCGCAGCGAGAGCAGGAGGGCGTCCTGGTGGCGGGCGGCAGATGATAGGCAGGCGAGACAGAGCAAACAGGTGGGGAAACAAAGTGGCATTAGTATGCTTAGAAGCTTCGGCGTGAGAGACAGAGAAAGGTGAGGCAAGCACTTATCCTCATGCGCACCTGCTCATGCGAATGGTTGCTTCTCCAGCAATTCCCTACATCCTTGCTTCCCCCATCTTGCCCGCACCCTCCCCTCATCTGATCCCCCCCCCCCCACTCCTCATCTCACCTGCATGCTCTTCTGGTCCTCCTTGCACAGCCGGTACGACACAACGGGCCGCCCGCTGCCGTCCATGCCCACCGTGCCGTGCCCGCGGTCGCGAACAATGGCGATGAGTGAGGCTGTACGGTCGAAGCGCGCAATGGACTGCTTCACGAGGGCGCTGCCCAGCCAGGGGACGGCGCAGCCCAGCAGCCCGGGGTGCATTGTGGGGGTCTGAAAGGGAAGGGCGGGGGAAGAGGGAGGCCGAGGAACCACAGGGGTGGGGTGAGGGACATCGTATACAGAAGATGGTGGACGATGGTGGACGATGATGGACTGCTTTGTCACTCCGCTGTGACCTGGTCTGCACGACCTGTGGCATCACCTGGATCATGGCGCCGTATCCAGTGCTCTCCCAGTTGGCCACCTCCCTGGAGTTGACACTCATGATGGGCCCAACGTAGCCCGGGCCGGGCGGCAGGGAGGAGGGCAGGGAGGGCGCGGCCTCGGGGAAGAAGCCCCAGGCGGAGGTGACGGGGTGCAGGCGCAGGGAGGCCCCGATGGCGCGGCTGGTCAGCCCGCTGGCCAGCAACAGAGGGGGGGTGCGCAGACTGGTGGGGGGAGAGGGAGGGCGGGGGGAGAGTAGGCTGATTATGGGCGAACAGAGCACCAAGGCAATTGTGGTGAGGGTCTTTGAGGCGCAGCAAGGCGCCGATGGCTCAGTTGGTTGGGCCACTGGCAAGCAGCAGAGGGAGGTGTGCAGGCTGGTGGGAGGACAAGGGAGGGCGGTGTGTTAGGAGCAAAGTGGGCGCATGGAACAACACACGACTTGCAGTTGGGGGCTCCTGTCACGCAGGGAGGCGCCGACGCTGCAGTTGGTGAGTGAGCCCGCTGGTAGCAGCAGGGGGGGTGTGCGCAGGCTCGCGGGGAGAGCGGGGATGGGTCAATCCCATGGTAGGGAAAGATGAGGAGTGGTTGAGTCGGAGAGCAGCGGGTAAAATTGAGTGGGCAATGGCGAACAGAAGGGGCGGAATGTGAGTGTCGGGGAACGCTATGGTACGGCAGACAAGAAGGGAGAGGCTAGGCGACGTGGGCCCGCTGTGGGTGGGGAGCACGTGAGCCTTGGGTGGGTGGAGTGAGTGAGGTGAACGTCATATGCGCAGTGTGGAAAATAGAGAGCTTCATGCCCCTCCCACCCGCCACACGCCACCCACCCGCCAAACGCAACCCACCCGCCACACACCACCCACCTGCCGCACGCCACAACCACCAAATCGGCCTCCACCACAATTCTCTGAGGCCCGCTCTCCCCTCCTCCCTCTATCCGCGCCTCCACCCCCACCACCCGCTTCCTCCGCACAGCCCCCCCGGCGGTGCTGCTGCCAGGAGAACTGCTGGCAGCGCGGTTGGGGGAGAGGAGGAGGCGGCGGGCGGAGCAGCGGGAGAGGATGAGGGCGCCGTGGGTAACGGCGTCTGGTAACCAGGTTTCGAGCATGGACTGCTTCTCGCCTGACCAGCAGCCAAAGGTGCACCAGCCACCTGAGAGGGGGTGAGCAGAGGGAGAGGGAGGGGATGCGGACATGTGTAACAGCACCTGGTAACCACATCTCCAGCCAAAGGTGCACCAGCCGCCTGAGAGGGGGTGAGACGAGGGAGAGACGAGAAGAGGGGGGCTCAGCAGAAGAGTGAGTGTGTGGATCAGCACCCAGTGGCTCTGCCAGACATGCAGAGGGAGGCACCTGGGGATAGAGCACTCACAGGAGTGCGGCTGGTTGGTGTTGCGGGGGGTGATGGCGTGGTGGAGGCTCAGAGCAGAGCACCCGGCCTTGAGAGCCGCGTTGCTGAGGCTGTGCGGGGTGATGGCCTCGTCTGCTGTCACCTGCACAGTGGCAATGTGGGATGGCAGGGGGAACAGGAGATCAAGACGAAGTCGCGACACGAACAGGAGAACAACAACCAGAACAAAAGAGAGCGAGTTGCCCATGGATCCAGATTCAACCTAAACAGATTTTTTCCACAGGCACCTGAACATTCTGCCTGCGTTGTACACACGCGGCTTTCTCATATCTGCCGCATTCTCATGCGTGCCGCATTATTTTCACACGAACCTGGATCTTGTCGCACACGGAGTCCATGGCTGATGCATACTCCGGCGACTCGAATTGCTGCGGGCATTGCGGGCAGGGCAGGCAGTTCGGGCAGAGAGGAAGAGGAGAGGATAGGAAGAGGGAAGGTGAGAGACAGGGAAGGGGGAGAGAGCCGTAGACATGCACAAGTGCAAGATGGGATTCACATGTGATGTGCCACAAGGTTACTGCGTGTTTCACGACATCCATTATTAGCCTGCTCTTGCCGCCTGCACACCTTGAGCCCGTACTCGTCCGCCCACTCCTTGGTGACGTGGGGAGGTGTGCGGAATGACGCAGACCAGTTGACCGTGCTGCCGCCGCCCACTGCCTTCCCCGCCAGCAGCGCCACCCCCCCATCCTCCGTGGTCAAAAACCCCTGGGTGTCGTACCTGGTAAGGAGGGGAGGGGCGCGAGCGGAGAGAGGGTGGAGAGAGAGGAGGGAGGGAGGAAAGAGGGAGCGAAGTGGAGCGAAGAGGAGGGAAAAGGAGCGCACCTGACCCGAGGCGTCTCGAGGGCAGCACATGCTCATCTGTGGCAGCACTTTTGAGGCGCCTCAAAACTAGACTCCTATCACATCTGTGGCAGCAGAACGCGATGCGGCGAGGAAAGCGAATGCAGGAGAGGATGAAAAGGGGGGAGGGAACAAGTGAGAAAGAGAAGGAGCGCGGCTACTCACAGCTCAGCAGCGGAGGGTGCTTCTAAGAGTGACAAGTCAGAGCGGTAGAAGTAGCCTCCTGCTTCCAGCACCAGCACCCTCCTCTGCCTTGTGCTGCCATCCGCACCATCAGCAGCAGCTGCTGCCTCTGCCAGCTGTGCCGCTATGATGGCTCCGCCACAGCCAGAACCGATCACCACCGCATCGCACCGCACCACGACAGGCTGCAAGGAAAGCAGCAGGCGGGGTGAGTTGAACGAGGGAGAGCTCGCGACAGCAAGAAGCGATGGGAAAAAGCTGCAAACGAAAAGAGCGCAACTTCTAAGGTACCACCTACGCACATCTCTGCTCCCCCCTCCACATCGCCCCATGCACCCACCTCTCCTCCCCCTTTGTCTCTCCTGCCCAGCAGCCCTATGGTCTGCTTCGGCCCAGCCAGCACCTCCACGCCCTTCCCTTGAAGCGCTGCTGCCAGCGCCGTCCCCTCGGCCGAACAGTCCACCACTGCATCATCTAGCGGCCTCGCCTCCCCTCCCCTGCCCGCGCCCTTCGCCGCACCCCCACCCCACCCCCATCCCCACCCCCACCCCCACCCGCACCTCCTCCGGTCGTTCCCTCCTCAGGCTCTGCTTTCCCCTCGCCACTGTCAGATCGCTGAGCTGGACGCTGTGCCACGTCAGGCTCACGGCCAGCTGAGCTGTCTCTGCTGCAGTGCTGGCCATTACTGCTGCCGCACTTGTCTTGCTTCCCAGCCGCAGCAGGCATGTTGGGATCGGGCCCGCAGTATCCCATGGCCCGCCACACTTTATTATCGCCAGAGCCGTCATCCTGTGACGCATTACAGGCGCGGGCACGGAGGATACACTATAAGGGTGGGTCCTCCTGTCACTCGGACCTTGTCCCACCACAAGCAAGAGGCTGGTGCGCAGGTCAGTTAAAGGGGAGCTACGAGGAGGGAGCGAGTGAGTGAGGGCGGGGAGGGGTGCGATGCCGTGCGGTGCGAGGTGAAGCGAGGGAGGGGCATTGCGGCGGGGTGGGAGGCTCACCTGCGCGCCCAGATGGAAGAGCGTGAAGCTGCGGAACGTCTGCCAGGGGAGAGGGGGGAGGGGAGAGGGGAGAGGGGAGAGGGGAGAGGGGAGAGGGGAGAGGGGAGACGGGAGAGGGGAGTGGGGAGAGAGGAGAGGGGAGAGGGGAGAGGGGAGAGGGGAGACGGGAGAGGGGAGTGGGGAGAGAGGAGAGGGGAGAGGGGAGAGGGGAGAGGGGAGAGGGGAGAGGGGAGAGGGGAGAGGGGAGAGGGGAGAGGGGAGAGGGGAGAGGGGAGAGGGGAGAGGGGAGAGGGGAGAGGGGAGAGGGGAGAGGGGAGAGGGCAGAGAGGAGAGGGGAGAGGGGAGAGGGGAGAGGCAAGGGGGTGCGAGGGAGAGAACTGCCAGTCAATTGTATAAGAGAGGATATCATGCTTGCATCCTTGACACTGAACCCTTACCCACACGAATGCTTCGCCATATGAGACACGCATGAGCGCTCAGGCCTCCTGCTACGCCAGCAGGCACAGCCTTGTGGCAAAACCCGCCAGCACCCTCCCAACCGCCCCTCACCGCCCTGCATCCTACGACTTGCCTTGAAAATCGTCCGGGACACGAAATTTCTGCTGACCGACCACCTCAGCAGCACAGCCTCCCGAGCCTGCGGGGACAGCTTCGGAAAGGGCTGCAGGAATGGGGGCCGGGGCGTGAGAGCCCTCCTGCCGGCCAAGAGCAGCGTGCCGAGGCGGGTGGTGAGGAGCCATAAGATGGTCTTGAAGAAGCCCAAGGCCAGCGGCTTGAGGCAATGCTGCATTGTCGCCGCCACCTGCACGCGTGGCGATCATGGTGGTCGGCACGCAGAGAGATGAGGAGGCGTCGGGCGGGGAAAAGGATCAATACGCAGGCAGAGGCAGGTATTGCGGGATAACTACCTCCATAATGCTCACACAGGGTTTCGAGAGGGAAGGAGAGCGGGGTAGTAGAATGTAGCAGAGTCGCAGGAGGGTTGGCCGGCGAAAACAACGACGCGCCTTATCGGCGAGGACCGACGCACCTTGTCGACGAGGGCCGACGCACCTTATCGACGAGGGCCGACGCACCTTATCGACAAGGCCGAGGCTGGACGCGGATTCCGCGAAGTACGCAGCGATTGCCACCCTCCGAGGCTCGCCGTAGAACTCGCTCCATGGATTCTCGTCAGCCTCCGAGCCTTCCTTCCGCTTCCCGACCAGCGGGAAATACAAGTCGTCGGTTTCCGTGGGAACCGGCAGGGCGCATACGAGCGTGTCGCAGATGGCGGTCAACGCTTCGAACTGACGAGGCGACATGCATTGCTTGGGAGACGAGCCTTTGTCCCTGGGCTTCCTACCGCGAAGCGGCATCCTGGTCGAACGGTTCGGGGCAAGCGACTGTGGTAAGGGAGCGAGAGGGACTGGATGCGAACAATGCAGGCGGCTGAAAGCTGCTCTTATATAGTTTAGACGACCGGGAGCCGGAGCAGGAATGGCGGACAAGAGCTGGGAGACGAGCCGGGCACATGTCTTTCTTGATTGCCAAGTCGGTGAAACTCAGCAGAAACCTGCGCGTGATTGTGAATATGCCTGATAATGAGGCATGCACTGTTGTGCTTGATTGAAGATGATGATGCCACCAGGCTCGGAATCCATGTCAGAGCGAGTACTGTACAGTACATATATTCTCGAGGTGTTTCCACGTTTCAAGAGAGCACAAGAGAGATTACCCATTTGTAGAGATCCGATATAACTTTTACAATAGTTCTGTATGAGACAATGCACAGAAGAGTGTACGCCAGGGCAATTTCTGGGGAGTTTGTGCGACAAATTGCGAATGTGTGGGCTACAATGCGACAACCCGTAAGACCCTGCATTGCAACCTGCGTCGAGAATTACTTGTGAGCAAATTATCGCCGTTGGATGCGAAATGCTTTCGGATGAACGGCTGAATTTTCCTGAAAATTCACCAGGTTTCGGACTCCTCGTCAGCGACGACCGGTTGGGTCGCATAGTCCAGGGTGCTGCGACAGAAGCTTGGTTTGGCCTGGTTCCCTGACCAATCTGGGGGTGTGCGACTAGGCTGCACCTGGATGCATGTGAGGCACACTGTTCTGCGAACCGTTCAACCGTCCTGTCCGCTCTCCCCTCCTCACTTTGTTTCGCCGAACTGCTTGCTACAGTAGCACACCCCACCCTTGGTTCCTCGTCACCCCACCCTATCCCCATCGCCACGCCCGAGGCTCATCCTCCCTTATCCTCCCTCATCCTCCGCCATCCTTCCATTCACGACCTGCTAATTTGCCGCATCCCCTGTCACGCGAGATAACGCTGCAAGTTTTAGGTCGCAACGCGGAACTCACGGAAGCACTCAGGTGGAGCCCCTGCGGTTCGTGTAGAGACTAGGGGCGGCCGAATCTGTTCATTAGAGCGTGCAATCTAACGTCCGAATAGCCTTAGTCCGAACTTCCACCACACTTTACCACGCGAGTTATTAACCTCTGTACCACCCTGACCGTCAGAACTTTCAGAAGTTCGGACGCTAGGCTACACGCCCTTAGTTACCGACAAGTCGTATTGATAGTGATTGCAGCGTTTGATAGCTATCTCTCGATAGTTCTTAAAGTTTTGGTAGAGGATCCGTGGAAGGCAAGAGGGAGCCAATCTGGTGGAGTGATGCTTCAGACGGAGGAGTTCGAGGTTGGTGCATTTCGCCGGTCTTTCGCACGTATTTCATTTCCGCCATCGTCGATAGCACTTAAGTGTTTTGTGAAGTTTATCGACTGCTTTTGCGACATCTGTCTTGGAAGCATCGTATGTAGAAGATTCCTTGTGTATCTCTACGCGATCACGTCGACTGTCCACCGCTTCTCATTCATTCTCCAACTTCTGCCCCATCTCTTTTCGTCGCGCTTAATCTCTCGGACGTTTCCCGGCACCAGCGGGTAGGCGATGCGAGGGACATGGAGATGGACGAACAGCACGAGGGCGCGGACGCCGGCTACGCGGAGCACCGCCTAGAGTACTACGACACGGACGAGTCGCTCGCGGCGAGCGACGACGAGGACAGCATCATGGACGACGATGACTTCGGATTCACGTGGCGCCAACCAGGCGGTTCACGTGGCGGTACCCGGCCGTTCCAAGACAACTCGGACGACGATAGTGATCTCGTAGGTTTCCGGATCACTGGCTGGTAGGTAGATACGTGGCCGTGTATCGCTTGCTTCGTCGCCCCGTTTCGTGCTCGATGCATATTCGTTGTACATTTCACTGTGCGAGCGGATAGTTGCGCGACATCTGTTCAGCGACTATGTATCCAACAAAGTAGTCTTGGCCCGTTGCCTTCATTCGTTCACTCCAAATCTCCGTCTGTTACATCCGCACCCTGCTTCATATTGGTCCAGGTCCCACAATTCTCCTTCGCCGCGCATCCTGCCTTATCATCTACCATTTTTGGCGGGTTTCGTAGCTCCTTGTAAAATCCCTTCGCAGATGCATCGCCATCCTTCTCACCCCTCCCGGTTCCTTCTCCCCCCACCCCGCCCACCCCCCTCCCCCGCCCTCCCTCCCCCCCCCCCCCCCACCAACGGATCCTGCTCCCCACAACGGCAGCTGGAGGGCCCGGAGGACGTGAGCGCGCGGCAGGTGCGGCGGGGGCGGGACGTTCAGGGCATCCCGTGGGAGCGGCTGCACCTGAGCCGGGAGAAGTACCGCGCCATGCGCCTGCAGCAGTACAAGAACTACAAGAACCTTGACGTCTCGCTCGACGCTGTCGATAAGGTGAGCGCAGTGGGGGCAGAGGGCAAGCACGTGCTCTAGCGCGTGTGCCGTGCGGCTGCAGGAGTACGAGAACCACACGAACCTCGACGTCTCGCTAGACGCCGTCGACAAGGTCAGTCTTGCAGCGAGAGTGGTTGTTGCAGGGAGGGACACGCATGAGCGGTAGTGCGAGCGATCAGCGTCAGGAATGCTGCTCTGCTTCTTTCACCCCCACCTCGATCTACCTCTTCTTCGCCCCTCCCTTTCCCCCCCCGCTCCCCACACCGGCTCCCCTGTTCCGCCTTTGTCTGTCAACCGCCAGGAAGTCCAGCAGCTGACGACGGGCAGCGGATTCTATGAGTTCGCGTACGACACGCGAGCTGTCAAGCTGACCGTCGTGCACTTCCAGCGTGTCTTGAATCACCCCTCCTCTGCCTCACATTCTCCCCCCTTCGTCTCTCAGGAAGTCCAGCAGGTGGCGACGGGCAGCGGATTCTACGAGTTCGCGTACAACACGCGCGCTGTCAAGTCCACCATCGTGCACTTCCAGCTGCGCAACCTGGTGTGGGCCACGTCAGCGCATGACGTGTATTCGCTGCACCACCACGTCATCAATCACTTCTCCCCCCTCACCCGGAAGTCCTCCCAAGTGCTCGACCTGGCAAGCCCTCTCGTCGCCCGCCCCCACACTCACGTTCACGCAGCCACAGGAGCCGCAGGCAGCGCAGCAGGCAGGGTGGGGCAAGGCAGCCGAGTGCAGCTAGAGGCCGCGGGACGGGCTATCTACACGGGGCCTTCGCCCTCCGCTGCTTCTGCAGCAGCATCCCCCGCTGGCGCTGCCACACACACAGCCCCTGGCTCCGGCAGAAGCAGCAGCAGCAGCAGTAGCAGCACGAGTGAGGGGAGAGGGGCGGATGCGGGGGGGCGGGCGCAGGCGCAGCAGCAGCAGGAGGGGATATGGGAGGCGGTGGACCGGGTGCAGGTGAGCACCATGTGCGTCAGACACGGGCTGCTCGTCGCGGGGGGCTTCCATGGCGAGATGGTCTGCAAGAGGCTCGGCACAGGCTCGGAAGCTGGGACAGGCTCGGAATCCGAAGCAGGAGTGGCGTTCACGGGGCGGATATCGCGGGATGAGAGCGCCATCACGAATGCCGTTGAGATATTCAGAGCGAACAGGTGAGGGGCCAGGGCGAGGGGGCAGGGTGACGGGGGACGGGTGAGGGGGCAACGGTGACGGGGGACGGGTGAGGGGGCAACGGTGACGGGGGACGGGTGAGGGGGCAACGGTGACGGGGGACGGGTGAGGGGGCAACGGTGACGGGGGACGGGTGAGGGGGCAACGGTGACGGGGGACGGGTGAGGGGGCAACGGTGACGGGGGACGGGTGAGGGGGCAACGGTGACGGGGGACGGGTGAGGGGGCAACGGTGACGGGGGACGGGTGAGGGGGCAACGGTGACGGGGGACGGGTGAGGGGGCAACGGTGACGGGGGACGGGTGAGGGGGCAACGGTGACGGGGGACGGGTGAGGGGGCAACGGTGACGGGGGACGGGTGAGGGGGCAACGGTGACGGGGGACGGGTGAGGGGGCAACGGTGACGGGGGACGGGTGAGGGGGCAACGGTGACGGGGGACGGGTGAGGGGGCAACGGTGACGGGGGACGGGTGAGGGGGCAACGGTGACGGGGGACGGGTGAGGGGGCAACGGTGACGGGGGACGGGTGAGGGGGCAACGGTGACGGGGGACGGGTGAGGGGGCAACGGTGACGGGGGACGGGTGAGGGGGACGGGTGAGGGGGCAACGGTGACGGGGGACGGGTGAGGGGGACGGGCGAGGGGACGGGCGAGGGGGACGGGCGAGGGAGGACGGGTGAGGGGGACGGGTGAGGGGGGGCGGGTGAGGGGGGGCGGGTGAGGGGGGGCGGGTGAGGGGGGCGGGTGAGGGGGGGCGGGTGAGGGGGGGCGGGTGAGGGGGGCGGGTGAGGGGGGGCGGGTGAGGGGGGGCGGGTGAGGGGGGACGGCTTATTCGTGCTAAGGAGTGGCGTTCGCGGTAGCAAAGTGGGATGGTGCAATCCGGCTGGTGTGGTCACAGGCAGGTGCTGCATCAACTGCGGGGTTGTGGGAGTGTGAGGCACAGCCTGCCACCCTTCCCAATGCATAAGTGTCTGCGTTGCTCCTTGTCTCATCCATCCCGTCCCGTCTCTCTCTCTCCCCTGCAGCGGCGCACTGAGCGTGCTGACGTCCAACAACGACTGCGTGGTGAGGGACTTCGACGTCGCCACCTTCTCCATCCTCTCGCGCCATGCCTTCCCCTGGCCCGTCAATGTGAGCCATGCCTTCCCCTGGCCCGTCAATGTGAGCCATGCCTTCCCCTGGCCCGTCAATGTGAGTCACCATGCCATTTCCTGTCCTCTCACCATGTCAATGTGAGCCAGTCACCACGCCATTCCGTCTCCTCTCACCATGCTGCAACACATCCCTTAGCACTGTGCGTGTAAACCCATGCCTCTGTGCGTTCAAACCCATGCCACTGTGCGTTCAAACCCATGCCTCTGTGCGTTCAAACCCATGCCACTGTGCATTCAAACCCAGGCCTCTGTGCGTTCAAACCCATGCCTCTGTGCGTTCAAACCCATGCCACTGTGCGTTCAAACCCAGGCCTCTGTGCGTTCAAACCCATGCCTCTATGCGTTCAAACCCATGCCTCTGTGCGTTCAAACCCATGCCTCTGTGCGTTCAAACCCATGCCTCTGTGCGTTCAAACCCATGCCTCTGCTCCACCCATCCACCATCTCTCATGTCTCATTCTCCCTCTCCCGAGCACGCATCCCCACCAGCACACGGCAGTGTCGCCTCACAGCAGCCTGCTGTCGGTGGTGGGAGACGATCCACCAGCGCTAGCCTACCCATGTAACGTGTCTCGCCCGTTGTTCTCCGCCCCCTCCTATTCCCATCCCACCAGCACACGGCAGTGTCGCCTCACAGCACCCTGGTGTCGGTGGTGGGGGATGATCCCGAGGCTCTGCTGCTGGACCTCACCTCGGGCAAGGTTTGTGCCCCATGCTCTCACCTCTTTGCTCAGTCGCCCCGTGCACTCTCATTTCCCTCCTCTCGCCTCGTGCTGAGGCATCCTTAGGCCCCTTCGCATTCTTTCTCTGCCGTGCCGCATGCCTCCTTGAGCATGCTTTCCTTCCTGCTAGCTAGTGATTGCCACCATTCCCTCGCCCCTTCCGCAGCCTTGTCATCGCCATCCCCCCTCGTTCCCTGCATTCATCGGCAGCCTTGCCATCCCCCCTCCTTCCCTGCATTCTCCGCTCTCCCCTTTCCTCTCGCACCTACTCATATTTGCCTCCCCCCATCTCTTCCTCTCTCTCGTATGCCACATCCCCCCTTACCCCTTCACTTACTGTCTCAACTTGACCTTCTCAGGTTGTAGCGCGCATGTGCGGCCATGTGGACTAGTCTTTCGCTACAGCCTGCTGCCCCTCTCTCTCTCCCCCCTCTCATGTGTCATGTACCCGGCTCCCCTCACTCCGACCTTGTTCAGGTTGTAGGCCGCATGCGGGGCCATGTGGACTACTCCTTCGCTACAGCCTGGCATCCCGGCGGCAATCTCTTTGCCACAGGCAACCAGGACACCACATGCCGCGTGTGGGATAGACGGCGCCTGGACTCCTCCCTCTTTACCCTCAAGGGGCGCCTGGGGGCCATTCGGTCACTCAGATTCACAAGCGATGGCAGGTGCGTGTGTGCGACTAGGGGGTGCCTATTGTGGTAGGCTAGGGCGCGGTGGGATGTGGATGTATGCAACCAGGACACCACCTGCTACGCGTGGGGCCGGCGGCGCATGGGGCGGCTGGGAGCCATTCGGTGGCTCCGATATCACAAGCGATGGCAGGTATGCGCTTGCATGGGAGCTTCGATCACTTCACTCGCTACTGTCTCCCCATGTTTCCCCCTTCCCCTATTCCACCTAACCGGTTGCTTCTCGTCTCTTTCCGGGTTCGTGGCGACGGCAGAGCCGGCAGGCTTTGTACGTATACTCGACACGAGCAGCCTCCCGCCCTCATGACCCCATTCTCATGTTTCATGTCACTCCTCCCGTCTCCTCCCCCCCCCACCCTCCCCCCCGCCTCCTCCTCCGTCTCCTCTCCCCCCCCCCCCCGCTCCCGCCTCCTCCCTCTCCCCCCCCCCCTTGTCTCCTCCCTCCAGGTTCATGGCAATGGCCGAGCCGGCGGACTTTGTACATATTTTCGACACGAGCAGCGGGTTCACGCACGCTCAGGAGATTGACATCTTCGGGGAGATTGCGGGTGTCTCGTTCTCGCCCGACACGGAGGCGCTGTTTGTGGGTGTGGCGGACCGCACGTACAGCAGCCTCCTGGAGTACACGCGCGCGCACTCGCACAGCTATCTTGATGCATGCACATGAGTTTCGTTTCTTGGGTGCCATGGCGGACCACAAGTTGGTGAAGATGAGTTGGGCAGCAGGTTGAAGGAGTGTACTTGTGTGCACTCGTAAGTAGGGTAGAGCAGCAACCTCATTGGCTTGGTTTTGTATTCAACTGGAATAATCATCAGCAGCAATGCTCTGACTGCATTCTTTAGACAAGGTGACGTCAGCTGAACAGCCTGCTTCGCGTGTTGTCCATCTCAGTGCTTGTGGGCATCATCAGAAGTACAGCTACACTCTGGTGCATGGGGAATACTGTAAGCTCCACATGTAAGCTCCAGCATTTTGTGTTCAAGGCTTCAAGCTTAACATCAGCGACATGATCATACAATCAAGCGACACTAGAGGAGAGATACTGTACTGCCGCACCAAATTTAGATGCACAACGTATCTACATGCACCCAGCACTACGACGCCTGCACGAGCGGCTTGAGAAAGGACTCCTGAGCGGGGATTTCGTCCCAGAACAGCTCGAGCTTGTCACCCGGATGGAACTTCTTGGTGGCGCCGTCCTTGTCAATCTGCAGGACAGGATGGAACAGAGGGTCGAACAAGTCAGTGTGCGGGAGTGCTGGGCTCATCAGGAGCCACCATCCAATAGTGACATGCATAACATGAGGATGCATGGTGTCTCTGACGAGGAAAACACGACCCACCGTTACTGTGCGCACGCATCCTCCACTCGCCCCATCGCGAGCCATAGCCAGCGATACTGCCTTCACCACAAACGCCTGGCAGCACCAGGGGGGGGGGCAGAGAGGGAGAACGGTGGCAGGTGAGGGGAAGAGCAAAGGAAGATTGAAAGACGTACAAGACTGTCCCTCCCAGGCCCGAAGCGAATCCCGCCACAAGCTTTTGCACCATCAAGTGCGCACACAGAGAGTTGCAGCGCCTTGGACCTTCCATTCTGACAAAACCCTCTCTTCCCTTTCCTGCTCCCTCCAACCCTCACCTCAGCCTCCTCTTTGCTCATGCCCTCTCTGAAGTGTGCGTCGCAGAAGGCAAAGAGGTATGAGGAGCCCGACCCCCCGATGGCGAAGGGCGCCCTGAGCAGCGTGCCGCCCTGGGGGAGCGCGTACACGGACGCCCCGTCGTACTGGTCCCACCCGCCCACTATCATGCCCGCCGACAGCATGTTCTGGTGGGAAAGAAGGGCGCTCAACGAGGACAAAACAAGGAAGGAAGAGAGGAAAGGAGCCTTGAGCAGTGTGCAGAGCGATACGGACGTCCTCACGTATTGGTCCCACCCGCCTATCATGCCCGCCGACAGCATGTTCTGGTGGGAGGGGGATTAGGGAGCTACACGGGATTGAGTTAGAGGCTGGAGCTGAGTTACACCAAGAGCACAAAACAGGATGTTGATAACCTGGGTGGGATACAAATTGATGATTGGCACAGACCAATCCACGAGTGGCCCACCTTGTTGTGGTAGCTGATCTGCTTCACCACATTGGCCACCGTCTTCACATCCGTGGGCTTGCCCAGCTCCATCCTGATGCCATGCCAAGCCATGCCATGCCATGCCATGCCATGGGATGTGACGTATGCAGAAGAAGACACAATCAGGCAATAAGCCATACTCAATTCACCAAAATTCATGCTTAAGCCATGATCCACGCTTAATTAGCCATACGCCATGCACAAAATCAATTTCCATGTAGAAAAATCAGATGCGAACAAGCAGGCGAAGGAAAACCGCTGATAGTACCCTTAGGGTGCCAGGCAGGCACCAGAACGACACAGGCATACCGACGCCATGGTAGCACCCCTCTCGATTCATCGTGCACTCACTGGTGTTGCGTGAGGTAGTATCGCGCATATGTAGAGACAGTCTGCGTGTCGGCGGCCTGCAGGGAGAAGAGGGCTTGACAACATGATTTCAGAATGCACGCATCAGCCAGGGTGGCTGACAGGTGCGCTGACATCTAGGGTGGCATCCAGGCTGGCTAGATTGGCATGGGAACAGGGCATCTGCCTTCGTTGGAAGATGCTTTTGCCGCCTCACGGCAGAATTGGGATCACTCACAGATCCCGAGCGGCAGAGGTAGGCAAAGTCCGTGAGTGCGGTGATCTTCTCCGAGGCTCTGTTGCTGATGTACGTCCCTGGGGGGCGCACGAGGGAGCGGCAGAGACGGACAGAGTGTCGACAGAGTGTTGAGCCGAGAGGGAAGAATGATTGAACACGACACACAGCAGCGCGATCCTAAAGTGCAACCTGACTCTGGCTTCTGCAATAACTTGGATTTACCTGTGGTAACCCGAGTATCTGCTCCTAGCACGATGCCCCCGTCATAGGCCACTCCCATGATGGTTGTCTGGGGGAGAGTCAGGCGAGGATTGAAGAGATTCTTGGTGAAAGAGGAAAGAATGGCTACACAAAAAGAAGAGAGAAAATAATACACGAAAAGCAATTATTACGAGAAGAAAGTGCCTCACTGCAAGATTAACTGCCGGAAAGAATGCACGGAAAGGCCTCAAAATTAGAATCTGTTGGTTCCAGGTCGCGTTACGCCCACGCTCGCAGTGCTGGGTCCAGAATCGGGATCTATAATCATGACACGACGAGAAGAGGAAGCATGTGGATAGGAGTTCCCACCGCTTTTGAGTCGACTCAAAAGCAGCATGTGGATAGGAGTTCCCACCGCTTTTGAGAAGACTCAAAAGCAGACACGAAGAGAAGAGGAAGAATCTGGATAGGAGTACCCACCCCGGTTGATACGGCCCCTGTCAGACTCCCGCAATCCACCTCCATGACGCGACGAGCCTTGAAGACCGACTTGAACCGGATCGAATCGAGCAGAACAGAGACCAATTCTGCCGCCTGAGAATAAAGGCAGAACCGACCAGCTCGTCTCTGGATAAGGAGCAGATGGTAGATTCGTAATACGCGAGACGACTAGGTGCCAGAACGTGAAGTCGACATACTCTTGGATGCGATGCTCCGTAGCGTCCGTGGAAATAGCTGGAGCCTGGAGGTGCGCGAGATGCGAACGCGCTAGACGCGGATTCACTTCCGGTGGTTTCAGCACTGCGTTGGCTGAACGAACATTATGCTAACCCTTTGAACTGGTCTACACAGGTTTAACGAGGATACTTCTAGAGAGATTGATTCGCTGGGAATCTGAAGCATTTCTCATTTTAGCGAGGCTTCCAGTTACACCACCGATCCAGGTTAGTCAAACAATAGGCCACAACAATCCAGCATTACGCAGCATGCGCAACCAACATACAGCAGCACACCCTGGGTGTATCACGCTTTTTGCACCCATGTGGCCAGTGCTTTGAAACCGCACTTGCACCGAGTGATCTGATCAGTGCTTGATGGAGCGCTCAGTGCTTGATGGAGCGCTCAGTGCTTGATGGAGCGCTTGTACTCCTTGAAGGTGCCGGAGAAGGGCTTGGCAACGCCCTTGTCCACCGCCCACAGCTGGTCCACACTGCCGCTGATCAGATGCTCGTCGTGACTCACCTGGCAAGGGGGGAGGGGGGAGGAGGGAGGGGAGGGAAAGGATGGGGGAGGGGGAACAGGCATGCATTTAGAGGAGGGCAGCTGGTCCACACAGCCCCGTCGTGACTCACCTGGGGAAGGGGGGACGAAAAGGGGGGGGGGGGGGAAGCTTTGTGAGGAAATGAGTTGGAAGCTAGCGGCATGGCATGGAACTGGTGAGAGGCACAGCTGCACTGTAGAAACACGACACGTCATTGCACACCCACCCATCTGTCAAACATGTGTATCTCTTATGTTTGCATAGACTGTATAGGGTCACCTCTTCAGCCTTGGTTCAGGTGCCGTCTCATGGAGAGCTACCCGCTCCTCGTCTGTTGCCCAGTCCAGCTGTGAGGCCGAGATCTACGCTGGTGCCATGGCGGCACAGGAGCTCTGCTGGCTGACTTTCTTGCTCACTGACTTAGGTGAGCGGCCTAGCTCTGCCCCGGTTCTGTACGCTGACAACAGGGCCATGATCCTCCTGTGTCAGGAGCCTCGACTCGAGGGCAGAGCGAAGCATATTCAGCTGCGGTACTTCCTCATGCGCGAGCTACAGCAGCGCCGCCAGGCTCGCGTAGTACATCTGGCCTCCGGTGCCAACACAGCTGATATCTTTACGAAGCCGCTTGCGCATAAAGATCATCAGCGGCACTGTGTACAGCTCGGTCTAGTTCCTGTAGCCTCTCACTTGCTAGGACCTTGACTTTGTACTGCCCTATATATCTATATGTACTCAGATTGGACTTGTGTCCTCTACCAGTGGTTGGACTAGTAGTGCCGCCCTGGCCTTGTTCTTGCCTTGCCTGTATTCCTTCTGACTGGTCTTTAGACCCTTGTCTCAGTGGCTGGACTAGTGGTGCCGCCCTGAGCTGCTTGTTCAGGACCTGCCCCTATGCAGTCTAGGGGGTGTGTCAAACATGTGTATCTCTTATGTTTGCATAGACTGTATGGGGTCACCTCTTAGAAGGTACAACACTTAGATATATTCACCTGTACTCTCCCACTCTACTATTCGATTCATTCTGTTCTAAGACCATCCCCTCCCATCGTGAAGCCATCTTGCAACAATCGCATCGCACTCACATCTCACACCCGTGCATGCGAGGTGACTTTTGAGTCGACTCAAAAGTCAACCCATCTTGCAACGATCGCAGTCACATCTCACACCCGTGCATGCGTGGCAAGCTCACCATGAGAACGCCGCCCTGGAAGAGAGCGAGCCCCTGAATGAGCGCCTCCACCGCGTCGATGTCCTGATGGGGCGGATGAGAGGGCAGGGGGCGATGCGAGGATCACAGGAGGATAAGGGGAATCGAGCATGGTGCCGGCGGCGAGAGCACGGCCCTGAATGAGCGCCTCCACCCCGTCGATGTCCTGATGGGCAGACGAAAGGGCAGGGCGGATGAGAGGGCAGGGCGGACGAGAGGGCAGGGCGGACGAGAGGGCAGGGCGGACGAGAGGGCAGGGCGGATGAGAGGGCACGGCGGACGACAAGAGGGCACGAGGACACAAGGATGTGAGGACACAAGCCGAGGACACAAAGTGCATAGGGTCATACCTTGGACATGCACTATTACTCGTGTCAGACACATCGGGGAGAAATTGGGGAAAGGGATGTTGGAGGTGGCACAGGCGAGTGGCAAGACACAGCTGCACACAGACGCGCACCAGATGGTTGGAGGGCTCGTCGAGCAGCAGGATGTGCGGCTTGTGGAATGTGATCTTAGCGAAGGACACTCGGCTCTTCTGCCCTCCTGCCAGGGCGGAAGCAAGCAGGCAGCAGGACGACAGGCAAGCAGCAGGAAGACAGGTAGGGCATTAGTTATGGTCTCAGCAGACAACGCTAAAGTTTCAACTTCGGTGCTGGAAAAAAAGAAGAAAAGATACAACAAAAAAGGCTACGCGCGAGTGTACATGGGCTGTAGCGCACCTGACAGAGCGTACATGGGCTGTAGCGCACCTGACAGAGTATACATGGGCTGTAGCGCCAGGTTGCCTCCAAGGCCAAAGGAACCGAGATGCGACCTCAGCTTCTGCTCCGGTACTCCCTGGCAGAACAAGAGGGTGCAGTGGGGCGCATGTGCCGTGGGAGGAGAGGAGATGGAGGCAAAGCTCCACATGGGCAGACGGACGTGTGCTCATTCATTCACCGATATGGAAAGGGGGGCGGAAGGGATGTACCGGGAAAAGGGGGGCGGAAGGGACGTACCGGGAAGGAGTGCGCCATGTAGAGCAGGGGTGACTTGGAGAGCTCAAGGCCGTCCACGTGGTGCTGGGCGAACACTGCCATGCGCACCTGATGCATGGGGTGGCGGGTGGGGGGGTTGTATGCATGGCACGGGGCATGCATGGGATGGCACAGAGGTTACATGGCGGCCATGTAGGGCCATGGTGCTTGGAGAGCTCACGGTCGTCCATGTGGTGCTGGGCGAACACTGCCATGCGCACCTGATGGGAGTGCACGGAGGTAGGATGCATGGAGGAGGGCTGCATGGAGGTAGGATGCATGGAGGAGGGCTGGGGGGAAAGGCCGCAGGGGGCTGTTGGGAAAGACCGCAGGGGGCTGTGGTGTGGGGAAAGACCGCAGGGGGCTGTGGTGTGGGGAAAGACCGCTAGGCGCCCAAAAGGCGAGCCGAGCACGGTTTGGTCTTAAGCCCATGTCTACCGAGGGGAAAGCCAGCAGTGGGTGCATGGGGAAGGTCGTGAGGGGTGCCATGCCATGGTGGGAGGTGCACGCCTTGGGGGAGCGGAGAGCACAGCTCGGGTGGGGGAGTGGAAGGCAAGCACACCTTGGGGGAGCGGAAGGCAGTGCCTGAGGTGGGCTTTAACTCCCCCGATATCAGCTTGAGCAAGGTCGTTTTGCCAATGCCGTTGGGCCCAACGACTGCATTGGGGGGGGGGGGGGGAGGAGAGGTAAGTGTGAGAGCGAACATAAGAGTGCGAGCAAGAGCGTGCAGTCGCTCCATACTGGCAAGAATAGAGTAGAGAGGTGGCACATGGCAGCATGGCAATGGACTTGCCAGCATGGCAATGCACTTTGCCAGCATGGCAATGCACATGCCAGCATGGCAATGCACTTGCCAGCATGGCAATGCACATGCCAGCATGACAATGCACTTGCCAACATGGCAGGTGGCACGTACTGGCGAGTCTGCTATCGAGGTCGATGCCAAAGTTGAGGTTCTTGAAGAGAAGAGGCCCGCCGGGGTAGCCGAAGGACACATCCCTGCAGGGAAGCGGCAGCATGGAGGGGAGATAAGAGGGAGACAGAAGGGAGACAGAAGGGAGACAGAAGCGAGATGAAAGGAACAGAGGGGCTGATGCGGGATGAGGGGGGTGGGTTATGGAGGGAGGGCAGGTCCATGGATTCATCACTACTGCATCGCATCGATGCGCAATAGTGAGTGAGTGGCTCACAAATGTTCAAGCAGCCACCACGAGGTGACATACATCGCACATCCCATCGCGCCCCCCTTGAGCTACAATGCAACAGGCACTCACGTGGTTGGTGGTGCACTCACAAGATTGGTGCGTTCACTAGCAGCCAATAACCGGTGCCACTCACGTGAAGCTGATGATGGGTGCCTGCGGCCGGTCCTCCGGCGTGGGGAACTCAAAGCGGTACCTGCAGAGGGAGTGGGCGGGGCAAGGGAGATGAGTGGGGCAGCCAGGCTTGCCACAGCTGGACGCGGAACTAAGATGCGTTTCGCAGGGAGAGCTGGTATGGGAGACTAGCAGGCGCAGAGGAATGTTTGAAGTACTCAGAACGTGTGGAATGTGTGCGCAGTGCACCCACTCCAAGCCCCAACACACTCCACGCCCCCCACTCATTCCGTGCCCCCCACTCATTCCGTGCCCCCCACTCACTCCGTGCCCCCCACTCACTCCACGCCCCCCACTCACTCCGTGCCCCCCACTCACTCCACGCCCCCCACTCACTCCGTGCCCCCCACTCACTCGGGGTCAGCAACCACTGAATCCACGGTGCCGATTCTCTCCAGAGCCTGCAGCGAGGAGGGGGTGCACGAGGGGAGCGCACAGAGGTGACAGGGGCTCAGAAACGGAGGGGGGAGGGGAGCGGTTTGCGAGTGGGAAGGTCACAGGAGGTGGGTGGGGGGGGGTCACAGGGGGGGAGGTCGCACGGGGGAAGAGGTGGCAGGGGGGGAGGTCTAAGTTGCACTAAACGCTCAGAATCCGCAGCGTATAGTGTATATACGCTATACGCTCGGCTGAAATTTCGGGGGCAGCCCGTAGGGAAAAAAATAATCGATCGCCACATCGCGATGTGGCGAAGCCAGCCACACTATCGCGAAATGTCGAGACCCCAATTTTTTGCCCAAATCCAACTTCCAACCAATCTGCCCACCCCAACCGCACTGCATCCCGAGGCATCTACCAAACCCAACCAAACGTCAAATGTGCTCTGTCTACCTCTACCACCGAACGCGCTAAACCTAAAACAGATTGCGTAACTTACCAGCCGAATTAGGCGGCAGACTAAGCTAGAATCTTAGCTTAAGGAGCCCCAAGTCGCCTCGTTTTTTAGGCAGCGCCATGTCAACATGGATGAAACATTGACATGGCGGTTATTTATGCCTAAAAGGCTTAACTATGTTCTCTGGTTCATGCTGCTATGAAAAACTATGGCCTGCACCACATTCCCCCTTTCCCCCCTCCCTATACACGGTTTTTTTCCCTGCCCGGAGAGAAGTTTTCGCCTGCCCCGACAAGCGTATACCTAGCGTATACGTGGCCCCAAAAAAGCGTATAGCGTGTATACGCTAGCGTTTATACGCTAGCGTATCAAACGCCATACGCGTTTAGTGCAACTTAGGGGGAGGTGAGGTGGTAGAGGTGGTGACCAACAAAGACCCGGATGCACGACTAGAACAAGAGGACTAGATGGCAGTTGAACCCAGGAGAAGTTGGCACAGGCAGTGAGAGTGAGAGTGAGGCACGTGGGTAGTGGGACGGAGGCAGAGAGGAGGCAGAGAGGACATGGGGACAGCGACAGGAGGTACCTTGATTCGTGACTGCACGAGCGACGCGCGCTTGGCATTGTAGCGGAACTTGTCAATGAACGCCTGAGGCAGAGGCGCGGGGAGGGGACACGGAATAGGTTGCAGGGATACAGGAACGGGCCAAGAAAGTGATTGGAAAACAGATTGAAAGGTTTGAAACCCAAGTGGGTTGCAGAGAGACAGGAACAGAACATGGCATGGCATGGCAAGGCTTGGAGTGCGCACCTGGATGCGCACGCACCTGGATGCGCACGCACCTGGATGTGCACGCACCTGGATGTGGACGCACCTGGATGTGCACGCACCTGGATGTGCACGCACCTGGATGTGCACGCACCTGGATGTGCACGCACCTGGATGTGCACGCACCTGGATGTGCACGCATCTGGATGTGCACGCACCTGGATGTGCACGCACCTGGATGTGCACGCACCTGGAGGTGCACGCACCTGGATGTGGACGCACCTGGATGTGCACGCACCTGGAGGTGAACGCACCTGGAGGTGCACGCACCTGGATGTGCACGCACCTGGATGTGCACGCACCTGGAGGTGCACGCACCTGGATGTGCACGCACCTGGATGTGGACGCACCTGGATGTGCACGCACCTGGATGTGGACGCACCTGGATGTGGATGCACCTGGATGCGGACGCACCTGGATGCGGACGCACCTGGATGCGGACGCACCTGGATGCGGACGCACCTGGATGTGCACGCATCTGGATGTGGACGCACCTGGATGTGGGCGCGCTTGGCGTCGTTGGCCTCTGCGGCCTTGTTCTGGTTGCGGATGCGCTCGTTGCGCGTCTTCTCAAACGTGTCGTAGTTGCCCTGCCAGCGCCAGAGGGAGGAACGCCAGGTATGGCACAAGAGGAGTTGGCAGTGCACGGGTGGGTGGTGCACGCATGACCGCACTGATCAAGCAAGTTGGGGTGCATCACTGCACTGCACACCAAGATCCTCAAAGCGGACAGAATCAATTAGGGAGTCACTCTTGTGCAACACACACCTTGTACGTAATGAGTTGCTCAACACAGACCGTGGGCGTGAGTGGCGGTGCACACCTTGTACGTGGTAAGCTTCTGGTTGTGCAGGTGCACAATGTCCGTCACAACGGTGTTGAGGAACTCCCGCGCGTGGGACACCACCACCAGCGTCTTGGGCCACGTCAGTAGATGGTCCTCCAGCCACAGCACCGCGTGCAAATCCAAGTGGTTCTGGGAGGATAGAGAGAGCGCAGGAGAGGAAGGGGGGAGAGGAGGAGGGAAGACCAAAGGGGAGAGAGAGAGCATGACCCGTGTGTGTGTGATGAGAGAGAGCATGACCCGTGTGTGTGTGATGAGAGAGAGCATGACCCGTGTGTGTGTAATGAGTCGATTTTAGAGTCGACTAAAAAATGAGTAGACTCATTACACACGAGAGAGAGCATGTGGGCCATGTCAGTGATTCAGCCATGTCAGCAGGTGGTCCTCTAGCCACAGCAGCTGGCCCCAGAAGGACGCATGGATGGGCGAACAACACCCAGCGTGGGTTCATCGAGCAGCAGCAGGTTGGGCTAGATGAGATCGGCTCGGCACCTTGGTTCATCAATCACAACGCACAACTTCTGCTCATTCACCTCCGCGCTGCACTGCACCCACCGTGGGCTCGTCCAGCAGCAGCAGGTCGGGCTGGATGAAGAGGGCGCGGGCGAGCGACACTCGCATCCTCCATCCGCCAGAGAACGTCTTGGTGGCCCGGCTCTGCATGTCCGTCGTGAAGCTCAGGCCCTGCAGGAGGGAAGATGGTGTGGTGGGGCATACAAAGGGCAGTAACGCCTTGTCACAACATGTGGTGTGGGAACTTTGAGGACACTCGCATCCTCCATCCGCCAGAGAACGACTTTGTGGCCCGGCTCTGCATGTCCGTGGTGAAGCTCAGGCCCTGCAGGAGGGAAGATGGTGTGGTGGGGCATACAAAGGGCAGTAACGCCTTGTCACAACATGTGGTGTGGGAACTTTGAGGACACTCGCATCCTCCATCCGCCAGAGAACGACTTTGTGGCCCGGCTCTGCATGTCCGTGGTGAAGCTCAGGCCCTGCAGGAGGGAAGATGGTGTGGTGGGGCATACAAAGGGCAGTAACGCCTTGTCACAACATGTGGTGTGGGAACTTTGAGGACACTCGCATCCTCCATCCGCCAGAGAACGACTTTGTGGCCCGGCTCTGCATGTCCGTGGTGAAGCTCAGGCCCTGCAGGAGGACGGCGTGGTGGGGGGGGCAGAGAGACAAGGCAAGCAATGGGCAGCAAAACATGTGGTTCTGCCTTGCTCTCTGCATGTCCGTGGTGAAGCTCAGGCCCTGCAGGAGGACGGCGTGGTGGGGGGGGCAGAGAGGCAAGGCAAGCAATGGGCAGCAAAACATGTGGTTCTGCCTTGCTCTCTGCATGTCCGTGGTGAAGCTCAGACCCTGCAGGAGGAGGGTGCAGCGCAGGGAAGAATGCTTTGAGTGCGAGAAAGGGGTTTGAGACACAACTTTATCTCCTCAACCGCTTGCCTTGCACCCCTCCGCCTTTCCGAACCCCCTTACATTCCATCCACCCCGTCCCCTCCTTTCGCCCTCTCACTCACGGCAAGAATGGAAGCCGCCCTCGACTCAGCCGAGTAAGCATCGATATCTTCCAGCCGCTTGTACACCTCTGCCAGCCTCTTCGCCGCCGCCTCGTCTTCCCCTGCCCCCGCCTCCGCCCCTCCCGCCTCCCTCTTCTTCCCCTCCTCCTCACCCGCCTCCGGCCCTGATTTCCTCGCTAAGAGCTGCTTCTCTTCTTGCAATAGTGCAGTGCGTTCGAGGTCGGCGCTGAGCACGCATTCGAGCACGGTGGTGGCGTCGCCCACCACCTCCTGCTCCACGTGCAGCACCTGGCACGACCTGGGAATGCCGTCAATGGCATGCATTGCCATGTGCTTCAGGAGGGTAGTTTTGCCCGTGCCGTTGCGACCAATGAGGCCTGGAAAGAGGCACGGAGAAAGAGGAAAACGGGGCTAGGTTGAAGCGCGTCAAAGCACATCCACCTCCTGCTTGCAACACCTGACACGACCTGGGAATGCCGTTTATAGCATGCATCGCCATGAGCTCTAGAGAGTGGGTTTACCCGTTCCAATGTGGCCAATGAGAGCAAACAACGTATATCAGGCGGGGAAGGGGGCGTGTCAGAGGGGGAGGAATGCCATAAATGGCGTGCATCACCATGCATAGCCGTCACCATGCATAGCCGTCACCATGCATAGCCGTCACCATGCATAGCCGTCACCATGCATAACCGTCACCATGCAAAGCCGTCACCATGGACTTGTTGGCGTGGATGTCCCTCGCTCTCGCATCCCCTGCTCCCCCTTCCCCCCTCCCCTCCCCCCGCCTTTACTGCACTAAAATCCCTGTCAATGCTCACCGTATCGCCTGCCAAATGCCAAGGTGATGGAGGCATCGCTGATGAGGTCCTTGCCCGCCACGGTGACGGTGAAGTTGTTGAGGTGGATGTCCCGCGCGCCACCCTCCGTCCCGTCGCCCCCATGGGAGACCGTCACCAGCGGCATGGACGCCAGTATCTCCTCGCTCTCCTGCACGTGCGCCTCGTACGCATCCTGCAAACAGGACGCAGCAGGGACGGCGGAACGGGAAAAGGAAAGGAATGAGAGGAGGGAGAGAGTTTCACCAGCGGCATGGACGCCAGAATCGCCTCGCTCTCCTGCACGTGCGCCTTGCACGCATCCTGTAACGAGAGGAGGCGGGCGGAGGGGGGAGCAGGGAGGCGGATACGGGTAGGGGAAAAGGGAAGGGGAGGGGAGAGATTGTCACCAGCGGCATGGATGCCAGTATGGCCTCGATCTCCTGCACAAGCGCCTCGTACACATCGTGCAGAGGCGGAGGGGGGTGAATGGGAAGCACGATAAGAAACACAACGAGTTGAGACGAAAGCGAGAGGTGCCTTGGTGGAGAAGAGTGGAAGCAGCCGTTTCGCCGAACCCCGAAGCCCCTGAAACCCACCATGCGCTGGCGCTCCTCCTTGCGCTTGTTGCGCTCCAGCTTGCGCAGGTCGCGCTCCGTCACGAAGTACATGGGCTCGTCCTCCCCCTCCGCCGCCACCGCCTGGATCACCCCCGTCTTCCCCTCCCCCAGCAGCACCTGCTCCGCCATGCCCTCCCCCATGCGCATCGGCGCCTGCAGGCTGCGCACGTTCTCCGCCGACGCTGCGGCATGGGCGTCGCCGAACCTGGCGGCTAGGGTTTGGAAGAAGGCTCGCGCGGAGGAAACGTCGGGGAAGCAACCGACGTTGAGGAGCAGCGGGCCGACGGCGTCGTACGCGAGATCGCCTCGCGGACCGAAATCGAACGTCTCGTCCTGCGGGTGGAAGGGGGGGGAGGGGGGGAGGGGGGAGGGGGGGGGGAAACGTGATAAGACAGGTGGACGTGGTAAGACAGGTGGCCGTTGTAAGGGAAATAGAGCAAATCAGAAGATCGCCGGGTGGTCTGAAAACAAACGGTTCGGTCTGATGAAGGGGACGCGGACAGCGAACAGTAGTGGATTCATGCTATCGCCAAGCGGACCAGAGTCGCACGTCTCGTCCTGGTGAGGGGAGTAAAGCGACAAGAGAAGCAAGACTGTCTAGAAGGTGCTGATTAATCAAGGGAGTGGCGATAAAAGGGAAATCGCCATAAGGACCTAAAAGTCGTGGAATTCAAGAGGCTGGTACGAATGATTATTATCCTACGACGTGCACGGGGTTAGCAGACTAAAGAATACTGAATCTGGCGCAGAATTCTAGAGGGTTATACATTACGAAGAAATATATCACCTTCAAGACGTTAACAACATAGTCGATGATAATAGGGTCCACCTCGTTAGCTGTGGGACCAAGTCCATGACGGATCGCGGTAGCTATTTCGGCCATGGCTGCTAACAAGTGTGTTCAGGAAGCAACATCAGATGGCAAGGGGAGAACAAAAGGTACAAGGCCTGACAACCTCGAGGAACCCCGATAGTGGGTGTTTTCCAGCTACACTTCGTCGTGCTTTCATTTCCACGTCTAGCTGCTTGTTTCTGTAGTCCATCCGTATATGTAGCTCACCTAGTGCTATAAATTCAGCAAGGCTTGGAGGATAGTTATTCACTACAATTAGAGTATAATGGGGGGTTTTTGGGTTGTATGATGATTTTCACTTCCATGTATAACAAAATCTATCTTCATGGTACGTGTATCTATATTCTCATGATCCTCTGTAGTCGGTAATCCCTCGTGGCCTGGCGCGGCGTCCACCCAGTCGCACGCGACTCCCATCGTCTGTCGCTCTCTTCGCAGCGATGGACAGCCTGCACTTCAGCCGCAGGCGAGCCTGGCGACGACCGTTAACGACAATGACGAACGCGAATGGGTGCGCGAAATGGTATCAACAGCTTCCAAACGACAAGCCAAGTACAGTCACATGCTTCGCAAACCGACCATTTCGCATTTCCAGTCTCAAATGCCCAGTCGCATGCTAGTCGCTCACAAGAGCAGCACTTTCCAGAGTCGCTCGCTGCAATGCGCCCCCTTTGGTACCTAACAGGAAACAGACAGTTCCGTACTAGCAGACTCGTTCCCTTCGCTCTACTACTCACCCTAGGCGTTCTTGCCAGACTCAGCTCTGCAAGCGTACTCGATGGCGGCTGGCGAAAGCAGCAGAGCGCGGCATGGGACGCCTGGCGCGAAGAGCTCAGCAAGTGGCAAGGGGGAGATCTCACGGGCGAGAATCAAGAGCGGGAAGAGCAGCCGATTCGGCTAGGTTCAGCCCGATTGAAGTTGGAGGCCTCCGCCAATGGCGACCTAGAAAACACCGTCGGCGGCGAGCTCGCTTCGCTTGTTTCTCCGGCGGTGGCGTCGTCGCGTCGACGGTCGCTTCAAGGCGAAGACGGCAAAGATGGTTTCAACGGTAAGCATGCCACGCACTGCAACTCGCATTCAACGAGTCAAAGCTTCTCGCGTCCTTACTAATCGCCGATTCGCATATCGCAAGTCCACATTCTCACTTCACCTCGCATTCATACGTCGCTCTCTCGTGTCGCAGCATTCTTCCCCGACGACAACTGGGAAATCATCGATCCCCCGCCCAGCGACCTGCCTGAGCCTCCCCCGGAATTTCCCAGCGCCGACCCGCCAGAGCCTCCCCCCGCGGACTCCCCAGACGCCTCCTCCCCCTTCTACCCGCCATACCCCGCGCCGTCGCCCGACGACAGCAGCGACGGCCCGTCGGCCGCGCCCGCGTCGCTTCCCAGCCCGCCTGCAGCTCCCGCGCCCGCAGTCACGGGGGGCGTGGGCGAGATCGCGTCCCTGTGGTGCCCGCGCCTGCCGCGGCTGCCTGCTGACTATATCGAGTCCGCCTTAGAGGAGTTTAAAGCCCTCGACGAGGGTATGAAGAAGCTCTACGCGCCGCGGCCGGGCGGGCAGTCCATCACCATCTGGGTGTCGGGGAAAGACGCCCCTGTGACAATATCGAGTATGCCCTCGACATCCGAGCTCCTGGGGCTGGAGACGACGATGCCGCAGGTGGAGGCGGTGGGAGAGCCGTCGAACCCGCACCTGGATCCTTTCTTCACGTCCTCCCTGCCGCCCTTCCCTGTCATTCCCCTCAACTCCGTGCCGGCCTATATTGCCGCGCCTCCCCCTCCCCCTCCGGGTGCGTACGCGCCTCCTCCTCCCCCAGAGACCTTCACACCAGATTCCGATTTTCCGCCACCTCCCTCTTTCCCCAACGTTCCACTCGCCTCTCCCCCACCTCCCTCCACCCCCAGCATTATGCCTTTCCCTCCTCCACCGTTTTCCCTGCAGTCGCCACCTCCCCCAGATGCACCCAGCCCTCCGGGTGGGAACGGGAGCGAACCCAGCGGGCCTGGCAGCAGCTTCCCCCTGTGCAACCCATCGCCCATCCGGTGTGTGTTCAGGTTCGCGGGATATGAGGACAGGGTACCCACGCTGGACATCAGTGGTGCTCGGGCAGAGGAGGTGATCAGTCCCGCGCTGGTGCTGTTACGCAGTAACCAGACTTACCGGGTGGTGGCGGCAAACAGCGGTGATGGGAGGTCGATCTGCGTCCATGTGGCGGATGAGGTTTACCATGCAACGAGGAGTCAGTTCTATGCCAATGGAGAGGTATGTCTCTGTTTTAGATGCTATCTGGTTCCTCTAAACTAAAGATGAATGCGCTGATTTTTTCTCATCTGAAACTTGTGCAGGTTGTGAAAGTGAGACAGTTCAACCCACCCAGCATGAAAAGAGGTTTCGCAAACTCATTTGTCCGTCTTGACATCAATTCAGCTCAAGTTGAGGGCGCCAAGGGGCCAATCAACATATTTTCTTCAAATGTGACGGACTTCGAGGGATATGCTGTTCCACAAAGGAAGAGTTGCATCATCTTCCGATTAATGGCTTCAGACATTCCATAGCCTCATAAGAGTGTCATAAGGATGGTCAGGGAGCCACTCGCTCTCATGTGCTCGCATAGATAGTTATATATTTTGTATTAATGCTAGATTTCAATGTGATGGCACCTTCTCACTTGTCCTAGAGGTGTCTTCCTACAGTAGTGTGTTTTGAAAGACGCGAATCGTTGTATATCCATTCGCCGTACAGTGAAGATTAAAAGTTTCCAGGGGAAGCTCCAATCGGGCCCTCCGGTTTCGGTGGAGGTACATGGTCAGCCTTCCCTCGAGATCTGCACCTCCCCACCACCTTCCCCTCCACTCTATGGCAAATCAAATCACCAGTCATCGCAAAGCACCAAACTCCAACTCCAATGCTCCATTCTCAGAGCTTGGCTTGCCTGGTTACGTTCCATGAGTGCACCCTACGCTGTCAGGTACTCGTCAGGTGATCGCTGGGAGGACGTTGATCAGTGGCGATTAGTTATTAGCGTATCCTAGTCCTCTGAGTTTGTGTTGATTATTCGTGAACCGTGCTAACAGCCGTTCGTGGGTTAAAATTCTGGCTGTCTGAGTAACTGGCGCGTTCTTGCATTCTAAAGTCTTCCTCAAGCATCGAGCGGAATTCAGAGGGATTACCCTGGTGCTTCTTGATTCTCGACTCCCCGCATTAGCAGGATCCCAACTCCTTAGGTCACACAGAAGACGTCCTTCCAGAAATCGTCGGATCTTGTAGAGAGCGAGCGAATTCTTCTCATGATGGTGGAAGCTGCGGGGTGACATGGCATGGCGCGGCGTGCTTGACCGGATCTGGAGGCGACAGGAGCCGGAAGAGGTAATGGGGATCGCTGTTATGCCTAACCAGGAAACAAGGTGTGGAACCAGACTGGAACATTTCGGAAGGTTGTCGTGTATTGTTCCCACCTGAGCCCTTTTCCGTCATCACTCTCCCTCATTCAATCGAGAATGTACACATTTTGCCGATTTAGCTATCATCGTTGTTCCGTGATCAATCGTGTACGTTCGAAAACGTGGATTTCCGTGAGGAGCCTTGGGATTTCGTTGCCTTCGTTGTTCCTCAATTCGCTTCACGTTTCAGATCGACGAGATGGCCGACGCACAAGGCGCGTTCGTCACGCGAGCATTCGAGAAGCTTCTGCGAGAATCCACAGGAAGGAAGTTCCAGAAACTACACCAGGCGCTTAAAGCCTATCTAGGTAAGCCCAAGCTCTGAAAAAGGCTTTCTCTGTCGCAGCACAGCAGAACGAGCGAGGTATGAATCCGCGCGCATTCTTGAATCCAGACCATCCGTTCTCTCGCGTCCTCTCATCCGCTCTCCCTTGTCCCGCGTCCCGTCTCTGACATGCACCTTGTCTCTTGTCATGCAGATCGACCCAAGGGGGAGCACCTGGTCCTGGTCACAGCAGCTTCGCGGTCAGTTCCCGCGCTCTCCCCTGCCCCTCCCCCCCCCGCATCCCCCCTCTCCTCGCCTCACCATGCGCCTGATTCCTTTGACGTCTTTCTTGGCCAGAGCAGTGCTTGATCGCTGAACTGAATGCTTCACTGTCAAGTAAGCAACACGCCAAGCGCTCCAGATAAGTAGTCGTTTGTCTTCCCCCCGGCAGCGTTGATCCGCGCTATGGCCTGCCTCAGACGGACGAGCCAGGAGCTGCGGAAATTGTGGAGCAGCAGCAGCCGCAGCCGGGCACGGTCCCCCTGGAGCCCGTCGGCAGCGGGGAGGGCAGCGGGCGCGCGCATCCGAACACGGCGAACGCGGCGAACGTGACGGCGGCGGCGGCGATGGCGGAGGCGGGGCACTCGCTGGAGGGCGTGGAGGCGGAGCTGATTCTGTGCCCGCTGCGGCTGGCCATCGAGAGCAAGCAGAGCCGCCTCATGGAGACTGCCCTGGACTGCCTGCATGTGAGTGCTTGAACCACCTCAAGGCAGGAAACACGTGGATGCGAATGCTCACGGGCTGAGGTGCCTCAAACTAGGCGAGGCGGGCGGGTGCATGCGGCTGTTCCCCACCCCCTCCTCTCCTTCCCCCGACTCCTCTCCCCCCCCTCCCCCCGCCGCTCCGTTTCACCCCGAGCTCCCTTATAGCCGCATTCCCCAGCTCTTCCCTGTCCCTTTCCACATGGCTCAAGACGTGCTGTACCACGGATTTAAGTCTCTTCTTAATCTCTGTGGTTCTGCCATTCCCCGTCTACTTTGTGTGTGCTGGCACGCGTCCCTGACTTGCCTTGTATCGGAATGTGACTGCACCGTGGCAGAAACTCATCTCGTACGGCCATCTGGAGGGCGACTGCGGGCTGGAGGGTGGCAAGAACAACAAGGTGCACACGGAGATATTCCACCTCGTGTGCTCCTGTGCCGACAACACCGCGCTGGACAGGTGAGGCTGCGAGAGGGGCAGGGACCCACATTGTTTGGTCACTTGGAGGGTTGGAGGGCGGCAAGAGTAACGAGGTGCACACGGAGATATTCCACCTCGCGTGCTCCTGTGCTGACAACACCGCGCTGGACAGGTGAGCCCACGCCACGATCCACCGACTCATCACCTTCCAGGATTGCTAACTTGCTAACCGGACAAGAATCTCGTCTTCCCGCCTTCCCCCCCCCCCCCCCCCCCGTCTGTTGCTTCCATAATCCATTTCCGCACTCCCTTCTCCAACACCTAACTCACTTTGGTCCCTGAGGCCTTGGCTATCGAATCCAAAGAAAAGGCCTACTTCCTCTCTCACCACCGTCTCCCCCTGTCCTCTCTTTCCTGCTGCCCCGCATTTTGCCTGCACGCGTTCTCTCCCCCCCCAGCGGGGTGCTGCCAGCCATCAAGGTCATTCTCACTGCCATCGCCTCGTGAGGCGCCTCAGAGTTCCCCCTTCCCCCTTCCTCCGCGTGTCCTCCCGTCTCTCCTCCCTCTGCCTGTCCTCCCCCCCTCAGTGTGGTGCTGCAGGTCATCAAGGTCATCCTCACTGCCATTGCGTCCTCCACCTTCCAAGGTACCTATCGTCAACTCTCATCTTATAAGGCACCTTGGCACCTTGGCCTCCTGACCTCCCTTTCTTACATACGGCCCCGTCCTCTCACTCGCTCTCACTTGTTGTTCCCCTCTCCTCACCCTCCGTGCCCCCACCCTTTTACTCCCTCACCCTCCGCCCATGCTGAAATCGACCATGTCGATCCCCCCACATCCCACGCCCCTCCTTTCCTGTGCGTGCTGGCAGTGCACGGAGACTGCTTGATCCTTGCCCTGCGCACGTGCTACAATATTGTGCTCACCAGGTGCGCTCATGCCGCACTGCCGTGGTTAAGTGATTAACAAATAGGCTGCGCGTCTCGGTGCTTTGCAGCAACCATACGTTTCTGGCGCTGGACTGGACTCAGTCGAAGTCTGATTCAGAGCACACTTGATGATGGCTCTCTCTCCCCCCTTGCCTGGCTGCCCGCATGGCAGCAAGAGCCAGGTGAACCTGTCAACGGCCAAGGGCACTCTCACTCAGATGCTCAACATCGTCTTCAAGCGCATGGAGGCCTCAGAGCTCGCAGTAAGCCCCTTGCTAGCAGTATGCTTCCCCCCACCCCCGCTCCCCCCCTTCACATCACACCTTACTAACGCATCTCACGAACGCCTCCTCTCACCCCCCACTCATGGCTCCTCGACTCGTTGTCTCAAAAGCCCGACCCAGGTCCCCCCGGTATCCCTCACCCCCGTTTTCCCCCTTAGCTTCGAATGCTCACCTCGTCCACCCCCTCTCGTGCTTTCACCTCTCACTCGCCCTCCTCTCCCCACCTCCCTATCCCGCCCTCCCCGCTCCCTGCATCTGCAGAGCGCCCCTCAGCGCCCCCACGCCTATCCCACTCCTACCAAGCCCGCTCTGGAGGGGTCCTCCCCAGACCAGCCTACCGACGCTGCTGCCGTCCCCACTGACGCTGCTGCTGCTGCTGTGGTGGTGGAGGGGGCCGAGGGGAAGGAGGAGGATGGGGAAGGGGAGGGGGAGGGGGAGGGGGAAGCTGAGGGGAATGCGGAGAGGGACGAGAGGGCTGGAGTGCAGGAGGAGCTGAGAGTGCTGGAGGGGCCGCAGCCCAGCATAGAGGCGTTGGACGCCGTGCTAAGTAAAACACTTAGGCCGCAGGGAGGGGCTGCAGGGGGTGATGCTGCTGGGGGGGGTGGTGAGGGGGAGAGTGGTGGAGGGGAGGATGGGGGTGGAGCAGCAGGGGAGGGGAGTGGGGAGGAGGGAGCAGGGGCGACCCCTGCCGCCCCAAAGTGAGTTGAGTCATGCTGGAATGACGTGCGCACTTCAAGAGTGTGCGGCTAGCTAAACTGTGCACCCTATGGCTCAGAGCGGTAATCAATTGCCCCGGTCTCCTTTCTGAGTTGGCTAAGCAGTACCCTACCATCCTCCACCATCCCCCACCACTCCCCATCATCCCCCACCACCCCCCACCATTCCCCACCACCCCCCACCATCCCGTGAACCACAGGGGCATAGACCTGAGCCTATTGGCTCTAGCCCAGCGTGACGCGCTGCTGGTGTTCCGCACGCTGTGCAAGATGGCCATGGAGGGCGGCACCGAGGTCCTTGTGCTGCGCACCAATCTGCTCTGACTTGCCTCCAACCACCCCCCGCCTCCCTCGCAACCAACACAGGGGAATCGATCTGAGCCTGTTGGCCCTAGCGCAGCGCGACGCGCTGCTGGTGTTCCGCACGCTGTGCAAGATGGCCATGAAGGACGGCACCGAGGACCTCGTGCTGCGCACGAAGGCGCTCTCACTCGAGCTGCTGCAGGTGGGTGGCACACGTTGCTTACCACTGCCGTGGCTCTCAGTGCTCCCTGCTGTCTCTACGCCCACATCTTCCTCCCGTTAGCTTCTCGCTGCATCTCCAGCCACCATGCAGCTCTAGCTCCCTCAACAACACAACATGTCACGACTGCCTTCCCTGAATTGAAAGTTGTCATGACTGCCTTCCCTGAATTGAAAGTTGTCACGACTGCCTTCCCTGAATTGAAAGTTGTCACGACTGCCTTCCCTGAATTGAAAGTTGTCATGACTGCCTTCCCTGAATTGAAAGTTGTCACGACTGCCTTCCCTGAATTGAAAGTTGTCACGACTGCCTTCCCTGAATTGAAAGTTGTCACGACTGCCTTCCCTGAATTGAAAGTTGTCATGACTGCCTTCCCTGAATTGAAAGTTGTCACGACTGCCTTTCCTGAATTGAAAGTTGTCACAACACAACAGTCACAACATCATCTCCCCCTCCCCTTCCCCCCTCCCCACCCCCCCCCCCAGCGTCTGCTTTAGTGTGTGAGCCATAACGTCACGCTCAACTTTGCCTTCTCCTCTACCCCCCATCCCCTCCCCCCGCCCCCCCCCCCAACCAGGCCCTCCTTGACTCCGTGAGCCGCGAGTTCACGCTCACATTCGCCTTCTGGACTGCGTCAAGATGTACCTCTGCTGCACGCTCGCCCTTGCCTCTCTACATGCAATCATCTCATCTCACCCTCGATTCCGCCTCTCCTCTACCCCCACCCCCCACCCACCTCCACTAATACGCACACCAGGCCCTCCTGGAGTCTGTGAGCCGCGAGTTCACGCTCAACTTCGCCTTCCTAGACTCCATTGAGATGCACCTCTGCTACGCCCTCGTCCTGGCCCGCATCCAAGGGATCCTTCTCACATCTCTTCTCCTCCACTCCCCCAAACCCACCCCATCCCATCGCCCCAGGCCCTCCTAGAGTCTGTGAGCCGCGAGTTCACGCTCAACTTCGCCTTCCTTGACTCCATCAAGATGTACCTCTGCTACGCGCTCGTGCGTGCCGCAGTCTCCCCCGCGGACCGCATCCACGGGCTAGCGTGCGCCATCTTCGCCACGCTGGTCCAGCGCTTCCGCGAGTCCCTCAAGGCCGAGATCGGCCTCTTCTTCCCCCTCGTCGTGCTCCGCTCGCTCGACTCCCCCGATATCTCCCCAGCCCAGCGCCTGGGCCTCTTGCGCGTGCTGGAGAGGCTCACGGCGGATGCGCAGCTGCTGGCAGATGTATTTGTGAACTATGATTGTGACTTGGACGCGTCCAACCTGTTTGAGCGCATGGTCACGTCGCTGGAGCGGCTTGCGCAGATGCCTGTGCCGGGGATTGCGAGTGGGGGCGCAGGGGGGGGTGGAGGGGGAGCGGGAGGGGAGATCAGCCCAGCCCAAGTGGCGGCGATTAAGCTGGCGGCGCTGCAGTGTCTGGTGAACGTGGTGCACGCGCTGGACAAGTGGTATGGCAAGGATAAGCCGCCTGCACCGGCAGCAGCAGCCGGTGGGGGTGAGGCGGAAGGGGATGAGTGGAAGGCGGATGGGTTGGGAGCGGTGGACGAGGAGGAGGAGGATGAGGAGGAGGAGGAGGAGAGAGAGGGCCACGTGGCCAAGTGGGCGGCAGCAGAGTCGCAGGCGGATCAGTTTGGGCGGGCCAAGGCGCACAAGGCTGCCATGGAGACTGCTGTGGAAAAGGTGGGTGGGACCCGAGCCTTCTTGTGTTTTGCCTGTGCCGTGCTGCTGCCTCTCTCTAGAGAAACCACCTACACCCCACCCACACCCCGCTAAAAATTCCAAGGGTCTGGCCTTCGGGCAGGCAGCTAGTCCTAAGGCGCCCTAGTTTCCGTTCCCATGCCCCACATTCCCCACGCCCCACATTCCCCACGCCCCACATTCCCCACGCCCCACATTCCCCACGCCCCACATTCCCCACGCCCCACATTCCCCACGCCCCTCGTTCCCCACGTCCCTCATTCCCCACGCCCCACAATCCCTGTGCCCCTCATCCCGCTTCCAGTTCAACATGAAGCCAGAGAAGGGCCTGCCCTTCCGTCCCTCCCCTTCCCCGCCTTATCCTCAACCCGCCATCTCTTCTCCCCTTTCTCCCGTTTCATCCTCCTCTCCCCTCCCCACCCCCCCCACCTCCCCCCCACCTCCCCCCCGCCAGTTCAACATGAAGCCGGAGAAGGGCCTGGCGTTCCTGCGAGCGCGCGGGCTGCTGGCTGCAGATGCCGCTGCCACGGCTGAGTTTCTGCGCTCCACACCCGGGCTGGACAAGGTGAGGGGTGTGCGGATAGGACTAACGTAGGTGAGCGGGATAATCACAGTGCAATGGTGAGAGGGCTGCTGGCTGCAGATGCCTCTGCCACGGCTGAGTTTCTGCGCTCCACACCCGGGCTGGACAAGGTGAGGGGTGTGCGGATAGGACTAACGTAGGTGAGCGGGATAATCACAGTGCAATGGTGAGAGGGCTGCTGGCTGCAGATGCCTCTGCCACGGCTGAGTTTCTGCGCTCCACACCCGGGCTGGACAAGGTGAGGGGTGTGCGGATAGGACTAACGTAGGTGAGCGGGATAATCACAGTGCAATGGTGAGAGGGCTGCTGGCTGCAGATGCCGCTGCCACGGCTGAGTTCCTGCGCTCCACACCCGGGCTGGACAAGGTGGGCGGGGGGTCACCGGGATGCTTAGAGCTTGACCAGTGAGCCGGCAAGCTCACTGTGATAAGCTAGGTGGGCTGCTGCCTGGCGATGCTGCTGCCTGGCGATGCTGCTGCCTGGCGATGCTGCTGCCTGGCGATGCTGCTGCCACGGCTGAGTTCCTGCGCTCCCCCCCCTGGGCTAGACAAGGTGAGCAGGGCGTGGGTATACCTGCATTAGCGAGCTCATATTTGCACTGTGGCAAGGGAGGGTGGTGTGTTAAGTCAGGATGCGTTGGTAAGGCGAAGAGTGTGGTAAGGCGAGCAGCTTTGTAAGGCAAAGAGTGTGGTAAGGCGAGCGGGACTTGGTTAAGTGAGGAGGGATGATAAGGCTAAGTGAAGCTGACAAGGTGGGGAGGACTTGGCGTGTGAGAGAGCTTGACAGGGTGGGTAGGGGGGGGAGACTCCAAAGTTCCTGGCTATGGGCCTCTCACGCGTCCGCCTCCTTCCCCTGTGTGCTCCCCCTTTCAGACGGCCATCGGCGACTACCTGGGGCACCATGACGACTACCACCTGACGGTGATGCACGCCTATGTGGACGGCATCCCCTCCCCCTCCTTGACTTCCACTATTCCTCCTCCGCCCCCCCGTTTTCCCTCTGTCTCTGTGCCTATCTCCCCCTCCAGACGGCCATCGGCGACTACCTGGGGCACCATGACGACTACCACCTGGCGGTGATGCACGCCTATGTGGACGGCATCCCGTTCCACCGCACGTCCTTCGACCAGGCCATCCGCACCTTCCTCAAGGGCTTCCGCCTCCCGGGCGAGGCACAGAAGATCGATCGCATCATGGAGAAATTTGCTGAGAAGTAAGTATTGGCTCTTCAATTTGCTGAGAAGTAAGTCTTGGCTCTTCAATTTTCTGAGAAGTGAGCCCTGCGCCGCGCCTCTGAAAAGCTCTTTGGTGCTCTGCCTCTGGCAAAGAAGGGCCTTTGCCTCCCGGGCAAGGCACAGCCCACAACCTCTCCTCCTTCTCCCCCCTGTTGATACCCCTTCTCTTCCACTCTCCCAAAACCACCCCCAGGTACTGCAAGGACAACCCCGGCGTCTTTAAGACAGCAGACAGCGCGTATGTTCTTGCATACGCCATCATCATGCTCAACACGGATGCGCACAACCCCGTGGTGACGGCCAAGATGAGCAAAGCGGACTTTGTGCGCATCAACTCGTCGCTGGAGGGCGAGGAGAGCGCGCCCAAGGACCTCCTAGAGGCGATTTATGACTCCATAGTCACAGAGGAGATTAAACTGCGTGATGATAATGGTCCTGGTGCTGGTGGGGGGGGAGGGGGGGGAACGGAAGGGGGCAGGGAGAAGGGGCAGCTGGTGACGGTGCTGGGGCTGGCGACGGCGCAGAAGAGGAGTGCGGGGGATGTGAGGAAGGAGAGCGACGACATCATCAAGCGCACGCAGGCCATCGTGCGGAGGGGGCGGGTGAAGCGCGGGGTGTTCCACTCGGCCATGCACGCTGACCTCGCCCGCCCCATGCTGGAAGCAGTGGGCTGGCCGCTGGTGGCCACGTTCGCTGTGACTATGGAGGAGGGGCCTTCGGGTGACACTGCGGCTGCCGTGGCTGCTGCTGCTGCTGGAGGCGTGGGAGGCGTGGGGCCGCGGAGCCTGGTGGTTGTGTGCATGGACGGGCTGCGCTGTGCGATTCACCTGGCGTTTCTCCTGGGCATGGAGACCCTGCGCTACGCCCTGCTCACCTCTCTCGTTCGCTTCACCTTCCTGCACGCGCCCAGGGAGCTCCGAGTAAAGAACATAGAGGCGATCAGAACCCTCTTAGCCATAGCAGAGCAGGAGCCAGAGGCTCTGCAGGACACGTGGAATGCTGTGCTGGAGTGTGTGTCCAGGCTGGAGCATGTTGCCACGTCACCGGCCCTGCTGGCGGTGCTGGGAGCGCCGCCGGTGCCTGTGCCGGTGAAGGAGGCGCTGCTGGGAGGGATAGAGGAGCTCGCAGGGAAGCCGCTGGAGCAGGTGGGTGAGATTTGAGAGTGGATGGTTGGCTGCTTAGTTATTTGTTTGTTGGAGCTCCTATGCCCATGCGTTAAGGAGGCGCTGCTGGGAGGGATAGAGGAGCTCGCAGGGAAGCCGCTGGAGCACGTGGGGGGGTTGGGACTCGGGAGCTCGTTTCGCTGGGTGGTCGGGCTGAGCTCTTGCAAACGATGGATGGTGCAGCCATTGCTGCTGCCACACATGGATCGCCCTGCCCCCCGTGGGTTGTCATGGCATGGCATGGCATGGCAGGGCGTTGCCTGTTATCTCACCCACTCTCTGCGGCTCGTATGCGCTCCCTGCCTGCCACCCTTTCTCCCGTCCTTGCCATTCCATCCCATGTCACCACGACACATATTTTGACTCCCCTCCAGGTGTTTGTGGTGAGTTCCAAGCTGCCCTCCGACGCGGTGGTCGAGTTCTTCATCGCGCTCTGCGGCGTGTCGGCAGAGGAGCTCCGCCAGTCGCCCCCGCGGGTCTTCTCCCTGCAGAAGATCGTCGAGATCTCCTACTACAACATGACGCGCATCCGCATGGTGGGCTTCATTCCTCGTTCCACTGTGTTGCTACAAGGAATCTCTTGAGAAAGAGCTTTAATATTGTACATTGGTTAAATCTATTCTTCTGCTCAAAGTCACAGTGCATTTTGGTCTCGCACTTACCACCCTTTGCCCACTCCCCCGTTCATCTCCCTTTCCTCCCTCTCCACTTCCCCTCCTTTTTTTTCTCCCACCCTCCTTCTCTCCGTCCCCTTCTCATTCCCCTCTCCACCTCACAGGTGTGGGCGAGCATCTGGTCTGTGCTCACCGTCCATTTCATCACGGCCGGCCAGAACCCTGACGAGCAGGTGGCCACGTACGCCATCGAATCCACTCGCGGTTCCTTATCCCCTCGCTCCCCCCTCTCCCCCTTCCCCCCGTACTAGGTGTGGGCGCGCATCTGGTCAGTCCTCGCCGTCCATTTCATCACGGCCGGCCAGAACCCCGACGAGCAGGTGGCCATGTACGCCATCGACTCCATCCGCCAGCTGGCGCTCAAGTACCTGGAGCGCGCTGAGCTGGCGCGCTTCACCTTCCAGAACGACATCCTCAAGCCGTTTGTGGTGCTCATGCGTACAAGCCGCAGCGAGAAGACCAGGGAGCTCATTGTGCAGTGCGTGGTGCAGGTCAGTTCCTCAGGCTCGAAGTCCGGGTATGGAGTTTAGACTCTAGGTTTTGGCCGTTTGTGGTGCTCATGCGTACGAGCCGCAGTGAGAAGACCAGGGAGCTCATTGTGCAGTGTGTGGTGCAGGTGAGTGAGGAAGGGTTTGATAAGAGTGCGGCAATATGGGCGTGGGTGGTGCTTGTGGGGCTCATGCGCACCTGCAGGACGGAGAGGACCCAGGAGGTCGTTGTGAAGTGCGTTGTGCAGGTCGGTTCTTCAGGGTTCGGCCACTAGGGTTTAGAGACTTGGGTTTGGAGTCTTGAGTTGGTGGTCCCCACCCGATGTGCACCAGCCGCAGCGAGACAACAAAGGAGCTCATAGTGCGATGCATGGTGCGGTCACTGGTCAGTTCCTTAGAACTGGTCACTGGTGCATAGTGGCTAATTTTGCGGGTTTAGAACGTAGGGGTTTGGGTGTGTTCACAATTCAGGATTAGAAGGACGAGGCTGTGGCACTGAGGCACTGGGGCTTGGTGCACTGCGGTGCACGCTGGTGCACGCTGGTGCACGCTGGTGCACGCTGGTGCACGCTGGTGCACGCTGGTGCACGCTGGTGCACGCTGGTGCACGCTGGTGCACGCTGGTGCACGCTGGTGCACGCTGGTGCACACTGGTGCACGCTGGTACACCTACTCATGCCCACACCTACTCATGCCGTGTGTGCTCAGATGATCCGTGTGAAGGTGGGCGGCATCAAGAGCGGGTGGCGCAGTGTGTTCATGGTGCTCACCACCGCCGCCACCGACAGCTACGAGCCCATTGTGGAGAGCGCCTTCGAGACGGTGGAGCAGGGTGAGTTGCTGTGGAGGGCGTCAGTGGGCCAGTCGTTGCTAGTGCCTTGAGGTGGCTCTACCACCGACAGCTACGAGCTCATCTTGGAGAGCGCGTTTGAAACAGTGGAGCACAGTGAGTTTTCGGTGCAGGTTAGCTTCAAGGGAACATGCAGCACAAAATCACTGCACAGTCGCTTTCAAATTTGCATACCGCCACCCCGAATTAACTGCTCCACGGCCATCACGCCAACGATGTCCTTATGCCAACAACGTCCTCTTCCCTTCAAGGCCATCGCGCTGCCCCGCTTCCCCAAGGGCGCCCCCCCTCCCGTCTTCCCGTTCCCTCTCTGTCCCCCTCGTCACCCCCCCTTCTGTCTTCCCCCTCTCATCACCCCCCCTGTGGTGCTGGACCATTTCGAACAGCTGATCTGCGACTGCTTCATGGCCTTCGCCAACGATGTCCTTATGCTGCCCGCTCCCTCCCTCCCTCGCTCCCTCCCTCCCTCCCTCCCTCCCTCCCTCCCTCCCTCCCTCCCTCCCTCCCTCCCTCCCCCCTCCCTCCCTCCCTCCCTCCCTCCCTCCCCCCTCCCTCCCTCCCTCCCTCCCTCCCTCCCCCCCTCCCTCCCTCCCTCCCCCCCTCCCTCCCTCCCTCCCCCCCTCCCTCCCTCCCTCCCCCCCTCCCTCCCCCCTCCCTCCCTCCCTCCCCCCTTCCCTCCCCCCCTCCCTCCCCCCCTCCCTCCCTCCCTCCCCCCCCCTCCCTCCCTCCCTCCCTCCCCCCCTCCCTCACTCCCTCCCCCCCTCCCTCCCCCCCTCCCTCCCTCCCTCCCCCCCTCCCTCCCCCCTTCCCTCCCCCCCTCCCTCCCCCCCTCCCTCCCTCCCTCCCTCCCTCCCCCCCTCCCTCCCTCCCTCCCTCCCTCCCTCCCCTCCTCCCTCCCTCCCTCCCCTCCTCCCTCCCTCCCTCCCCCCCTCCCTCCCTCCCTCCCCCCTCCCTCCCCTCCCTCCCCCCTCCCTCCCCCCCTCCCTCCCTCCCTCCCCCCTCCCTCCCTCCCTCCCTCCCTCCCCCCTCCCTCCCTCCCTCCCCCCTCCCTCCCCCCTCCCTCCCCCCTCCCTCCCCCTCCCTCCCCCCTCCCCCCTCCCTCCCCCCTCCCCCCTCCCTCCCTCCCTCCCTCCCTCCCCCCCTCCCTCCCTCCCTCCCCCCTCCCTCCCCCCTCCCTCCCCCCCTCCCTCCCCCCTCCCTCCCTCCCTCCCTCCCTCCCTCCCTCCCCCCTCCCTCCCCCCTCCCTCCCCCCTTCCCTCCCCTCCTCCCTCCCCCCTCCCTCCCCCCTCCCCTCATCCCACCGCACTGTCTGTTTCACCCCCCCAGTGGTGTTGGAGCACTTCGAGCAGGTGATCGGCGACTGCTTTATGGACTGCGTCAACTGCCTCATGGCCTTCGCCAACAACGTGCTCGTGCCCCGCATCTCCCTCAAGGCCATCGCCCTCCTCCGCATCTGCGAGGACCGCCTTGCCGAGGGCCGCGTGCCCGGGGGGGCGCTGCGCCCCGTGAACGAGGGGGAGAAGATGAGCGACAATGAGGTGGCGGAGTATTACTGGTTCCCGATGCTCGCGGGCCTGTCGGAGCTCACTTCCGACCCTCGCCCGGAGGTTCGGAGCTGCGGCGTGGAGGTGCTGTTCGACTTGCTTCGGGAGCGCGGGCACAAGTTCTCGACGCGGTTCTGGGAGAGCGTGTTTGAGCGCGTGCTCTTCCCCATCTTTGACTACGTGCGGCACGCGGGCACGGATGGGGAGCGCCCGCCGCCGACTGATCTATGGCTCAGGGATACGTCCATTCACTGCCTGCACCTGCTCTGCGACCTCTTCTGCGACTTCTACAAGGTGGGTCCTTAGGCTCAAGGCTTGAGGGTACCCTTAGGCTTTGCTTGAGCGTTCGTGTGGCTTTTACACCACATACCAATGAGCACTGCTTTCCCTCCGTAACACAGAATGCCCCTCCCTGTGCCTGTCTCCCCTCCCTGTGCCTGTCTCCCCTCCCTCTTTCGCCCCTCAGGACGTGGCGTTCATCCTGCCGTCGCTCCTGGGTCTCCTTCTCGACTGCGCCACGCGCCCCGACCAGTCGCTGGCTGCCATCGCAGTGGGCGCACAGCTCAGGCTCATAGACAGGGGGGCGGACCTCTTCTCCTCGCGGGACTGGGCTGTGCTGCTGGACAGCCTCAGGTGGGTGCTGCTGGACAGCCTCAGGTGGGGAGTGTGCTGGGCTGCTAGATTACCCCAGGTGAGATTCTTGGTGGGTGGGACAGCCTCAGGTAACTTCCCCATTCCTGTCCCCTCCTCCCTGCTTATTCAGCGTGTGGGTAGCCCAAGCACTTGACCTCAGAGAACCACCTCCCTCTTCTCTCCTCCCTCTCTCAACCTCGTCCTCACTCGTCCCACCAAAATCTTCGCCATCACTGAAGCCTCCCTTGTTGCTTCTACTGCGTCCACGAATCTCACCCACCTTATCCCTTCCCCCACCGCTCCCACCGATTTGTTGCAGAGTTGCCACCCTCACCACTCGCCCCACTGAGCTCCTCGCAATCACCGAAGCCTCGCTTGCTGCTTCCGCCACTGCCACCGCCACCGCTGCCGCCGCTGCTGGCGACACAGCTGCTGCCACCGCCGCCACTGCCGCCGCCACTGCTGAGCTGTCACTGGACAATGCAGTGCTGGAATCAGGCGCTGCTGACCTGGCGGATCACGCGTCTGGCTCCGTGATTCGCACGAAGATCCCCACTGGTGACGTGGCAACGAATCTCATGGGGCCTAATCTCAGTGAACGTATCGTGGCTGTGACTGTAGTCGAACAAGTGACTGTAGCCGAACAAGTGACTGTAGTCGAACAAGTGACTGCAGGGGACGCTACTGTAGCGAATGGAGGGGAGGAGGGCGGAGGGGAGGGAGGAGAGGGTAATGGGATGGTGAACAGGGGTGGGGTGGGTGGGGAGGAGGATGGTGGGGAGGGGAGGGGCGAGGAGGAAGCGAAGGCAGAAAGGAGCGGGGAGGGGCTGGCAGATGGGGAGGATACGGCCCTCAAGCCGTCAGGTGAGCACAACTGCCGTTGCTCAGGAGAGGCGTCAGCCACATTCCTCTGGTCACTTTCCTTGGGTGACGCTGCTCTTATAACGCCCTACAGTGGCATTCTCACTGACATGCAGCTCTGAATGTGGAGGACACAGCCAGCTTGCCCCCAGGTGAGCTCAGCGCCTGCTCTTCTGCACTAGCACCCTTGGAGTCACCTCACCACAGCCACCACAGGGCAGACAGTCAGACTCGCTGTCTCCACAGCCCGTCCCCCCTTTCACCCTTGTCTCCAGCCTCAACGGGCGACGTGGGCTCTCTGCTGCTGCTCGTTCTTGCTGCAGCCTGGGCGACGTGGGCTCTCTGCTGCTGTGCGTTCTTGCTGCAGCCTGGGCGAGATGGGCACTCTGTTGTCTTGTCACAGCAACATCCTCCTCTCTCCCCTTCCCCTCTCCACTCCTCCTACACTCCAGCCTCTACGGGCGAGATGGACAACTTTGGCAAGCGCCTGATGAACACGCTGCTGCTGCGCAATCAGCGGTGTCAGCATTCTCACAGTAGCATCTCTCTCTCCTTCCGCCTGTCCAACACCCCACACCAGCCTCCACGGGCGAGATGGACAACTTTGGCAAGCGCCTGATGGACACGCTGCTGCTGCGCAATCTCTCCATGGCGCTGGGCGGTGCCCCCACCCCCGCTACCGGCAGTGGCAGCATGAGCATCTGGTCGCGCGCCTCCAATGCCAGCGATGCCGCCCTGCCCACTGCCACTGATTCCGAGGTAAGTTGGCTCCCAAAACATAGGTGCGAACCCCCACCACACCCACCCCTGCTGCTGCTGGCAGTGGCAGCATGAGCGTCTGGTCACGAGCCTCCAATGCCTGCAATGCTGCCCTGCCCACTGTTGCCGACTCCGAGGTGTGATGGCTACAATTTGTCCATCTCAAGTGAGGCTCCCTCTGTCAACCAAACTTATGTGAGCTAAACCCAACGTTTCAAGTCAATGATAAACTGCCCTTATGTAGTTCCTTACTGTTGATCTCGTTTCTCTCTTTGCGCTTGTCTTTCGGTCATTTGGCTGTTGTCAACCCCACAGGAGCAGGGCGAGGCGGGCAAGGAGGAGGAGGAAGAGGAGGAGGACGACGAGGAGGCGTCTGTGTTCCCCGTGGCGGACCCGGTGCGGGTCAAGTGCTACACGCAGCTGCTGCTGCTGGGGGCGTTGAATCAGCTGCAGGTGCGTAGGGGGCACTGCTCATGTGAGGAGAGCGAGCAGGGGGCTGCTAGGAATGTGGCCTGTGTTGGTCAATTGCTGCATGCTGCTGCTGCTGCTGCTGCTGGGGGCGCTCCACCAGCTGCAGTTATGGCATGGTTTGTAAGATTTCTCCGAAAGAAGACCGAGCGTGCTGCATGCATAGTCACCCGCATTGGCGTGGACTTCAATGCCAATGCTCTTGCCCCTGCCATGCTGAAAGCGAGGTGAATTTTGAGTCGACTCAAAAGCCAACTTCAATCCCAATGCTCTTGCCCCTGCATGCTGAAAGCGTTACTCCCCCCATCATCTTATCACTCCCCCAGGCGATGCACTGGCACCGCCTGCAGGTGTCGCACCGCAGGCAGCTGCGTTGCCACCAGCATTGGCGTGGTCCAACTCCTGTCCTAATGCTCGTGCCCCTGCCACCACCTGCCGGTGTCTCCAATGCTCTGCTACTCTCCCCATGTCCATCCCTCCTTTCTCCAGGCGAAGCACTGGCACCGCCTGCAGGCGTCGCACCGCAGACAGCTGCTGGACTGCATTGCCACCAGCATCGATTTCGCCGCCCGGTTCAACTCCGACACGCACCTTCGGATGCGCATCCAAATGCTGCCGCCCGAACGGTGCGTTGCCCATGCCGCACACTGATCCACTGCACCACTGGACCACTGGACCACACTGGACCACTGGACCTAGACATGATCAAAACACGATTGCGATTTAAATCGCATCGCATGCAGGTACGATGTTTAAAAAAGCGATGCGATTTTAAATCGCATCGCGCGATTTATTTTCCAAAAATAAAATAAAATTCGCACATCGCATTTTACCCGCGATGTATTAAAAAATCGCATGCGATATTTAATTAAATCGCGCAATGCGATTTTAAATCGCATCGCGTTTTAAAACATAATTAAAAAAACACCCCCAAAAAACAGGAAAAAACATGGCTGCGGGGAAATTGACTCACGGGCAGTCGTAAGCTAGAGTGCAAATAACCAGTGTGGTTTCGTAGTGGGTTTCAGACTTAGTTGCTACAAACGCTCTGGCAGACGCGCGTTTAGCGTTCAAACGCTTGCGTTTGAACGCAAACGCCAAACGAACCCTAAAACGCAAACGCTCGCTGGGTTTTTTTTCGGGCTGCCCCCTGGAAAAAAAATCGAAAAAGATTAGGGCGAAATTGAGACTTGGCGAATTCAGCGCGACATTCGCCAAGTCCCAACTCCCAACCATCTCGTCAATATTCACCTCCCAACCAACTCCCCCCCCCCCAACCGCACTCCACACATCGTCAACTAGAGCTTCCAACCCCCCCTCCTCACATCTCGTAGTTTCACGCAGACTCCCAATCTCCTTCCCGCGTCAGATGTGCTTTCTAATTGCCGCGCGCCATAGCCGTAGCAACTTTCACACCCCACGCAATACCTTAATTTAAGGGCGCTCTCCCATATGAACCCCTGAGAGCGATGCGGATGTTGCTGTTACAGCGTCCGCATGTTGCTGAACCATGAGGTCTATAAATACTTCCGCGTTCTAGTATGACGGATTTATTTTTCTGGGCGAGCGCCCATAAATGTTCATGACGGATTTATTTTTCTTGGACGAAATGGTTGCTTGCAGAACCCCCATTTTCCCACCCCCCCACAGGAAATTTTTACCCCTGCCCGGGCAAATTTTTTAGCCCTGCCCGGGCAAGCGTTTGCCTAGCGTTCACATACACTATGACAAGCGTTTAGCGTTCAAACGCTAGCGTTTGAACGCTAGCGTTCAAACGCCAAACTCGTTTGTAGCAACTAAGGTTTCAGAGTGAGTTTCAGTGCAATATCGCGCGCGATTTTTTAAAAATCGCATATCGCATTTAAATCGCGTTTTTTAGCGCGATTAAAATGCGATTTATATTAAATCGCGCGATGTTAATCCATCGCATCGCGCGATGATTAAAAAAAAAAAAAAAAAAACATCGCCATCGCAAAAACGCGATTAAATGCGATGCCATACGATTTTTTTTGCCCATGTCTAACTGGACCACACTGGACCACACTGGACCACACTGGACCACACTGGACCACTGGACCACACTGGACCACACTGGACCACACTGGGCCACTGGACCAAACTGGACCACTGGACCACACTGGACCACACTGGACCACTGGACCACACTGGACCACACTGGACCACTGGACCACTGGACCACTGGACCACACTGGACCACACTGGACCACTGGACCACTGGACCACACTGGACCACACTGGACCACACTAGATCACACTGGACCACTGGACCACTGGACCACACTGGACCACACTGGACCACTGGACCACTGGTCCACACTGGACCCCTGGACCACACTGGACCACACTGGACCACACTGGACCACTGGACCACTGGACCACACTGGACCACACTGGACCACACTGGGCCACTGGACCAAACTGGACCACTGGACCACACTGGACCACACTGGACCACACTGGACCACACTGGACCACACTGGACCACACTAGACCACACTGGACCACACTGGACCACACTGGATCACACTGGACCACTGGACCACTGGACCACACTGGACCACACTGGACCACACTGGACCACACTGGACCACACTGGACCACACTGGACCACTGGACCACTGGACCACTGGTCCACACTGGACCCCTGGACCACACTGGACCACACTGGACCACACTGGACCACACTGGACCACACTGGACCACACTGGACCACACTGGACCACTGGACCACTGCACCACACTGGACCACATTGGACCACACTGGACCACACTGGACCACACTGGGCCACTGGACCACACTGGACCACTGGACCACTGGACCACACTGGACCACTGGACCACTGGATAACTAGATTGATCACCGTATCAATGGCTGGATGACTGGATAACTGAATGGATCTCTTCATCGCTGTATGGATCACAAGATCCCTGGATGCACCTTTTGAGGCGCCTCACCCTTTGACCTGAATCGCTGTTCGTGTTCGACCTGAATCGCCTTTGACCTAGCCTTTCCCTCTCTCCCTTCTCAACTCCCCACAGCCCGCGTCCTTGTCTGCTACGCCAGCAGGTGACAGCCACGCTCCTCTACCTGATAATGCTGGCCTCATCAACCCACTGCTTTTCTGCTGCCCCCCTTGCCTTAACCCCCATGCCTTACCCCACTTCCCCCCTCCCCTGCAGCCCCCCCCCGTCTCTGCTGCGCCAGGAGGTCACAGCCACGCAGCTCTACCTGATAGTGCTGCTGCGCTGCCTCAACGACCCCGCAGCCGCTCTGCTGCCTGCAGCCGTGTCGAGCCAGATGCTGCTGCAGTCAGGTGCGGCGCAGGGCGCGGGCGAAGGGGAGGGGGAGGAGCACGTGCATGGGAGGAAACCCGCAGCAGCAGGGGGGGGAGCGGTGGGCGCAGCAGCAGCAGCAGCAGCAGCAGCAGACGCGGCTGCAAATGGAGGATCTAAGCCAGGAGGAAAGGGGGGAGCTGGGGGTGGGGGAGAGGGCGAGGAGGAGGAGGTGAGGCGGTTGGGGGAGGAGGCGGAGGAGCAGCTATTGAGGGTGTGTGGGCGCGTGCTGGAGATGTCGTCGCGCCTGCAGCCTAACACAGGGCAGGCGGTCGAGGCCGAGGTGCACCGCCTGCTGGCCCTCAGGGCGCCTGTTGTGGCCAGGGTGAGTGATGGTTGCAAGAGGAGGTATGATGGCTGCCAGGGCGCCTGTGGTGGCCAGAGTGAGCGAGTGAGAGAGTGAGTGAGTGAGTGAGGGATGGGTGCAAGGGTGGGTGATGATGAGAGAGAGGGGGGGTGGTAAGGGCTCCCAGGGCGCCTGTTTTTGCTAGAGTGGGTGAGGGAAGGAAGGGGGGAAGGCAGGCGGGCAGGGATGTGCTCTGGTTTGGTTGGTGGGTGAGCTTGGGTAGGTGGTTGGGAGTTGTGTCTGGGGAGGCTTTCTGCACCTTCGCTCACCCCTGCTTTCCTCCCTCTTCCCCTCCGTTTCTCCCTGCTGCCCCCTTGCTTCCCTACTCCCCTCGTCTCCCGCGTATCCCCCCTCTCGATATCCGTGGTCATGCCATGGCATCACCATATTCTGTGCTGGGCAACAACCTGCTGATGTGGCATGGCATGGCATACATGCTGCATGGCACATGGGGCACATGATGACGTGGTTGATGTGATGTCACGTGGATGCGTCAGGTGTTGTCGGCGCTGAGTCAGATGGACGTGGCGCGGTTTGAGCGCTTTGTGCCGCACCTCTACCCGCACTGCACCCGCCTCATCTGCTCCGACCAGGTACCACATCCCCCGGTAGGTCTTTTCCGAATACCACCTCCCTGGTACTCCTGCTATGTGCCACACCTCTACCTGCACTGCACCTGCTCAGACCAGGTACACCCTCCCCTGGTACAACCCTGTCTAATACCACCTCACGGCTCCACAGCTCCTCGGCTGGCTGTCTTGCAGTGCACTGTGGACAAGAACCCAGAGCCTGACTCATCTGTGTCACACACTCATGGCGATCTTTCCCTTCTCACTTCCCTTCTGCTCTCCCTACTTGCTCATCCTCTCCCTTCTCCCCCTCCCCTCTCACCCCTCCCCTGTGTGTGTGCCCCTGGCCAGGTGGAGGTGAGAAGGGCACTGGGGGATCTCTTCAAGGCTCGCCTCTCTCCACTCATACCAGGCTCTGACGGACCTTCTCCTCCCATGATAGCCTCATCGTAACAATGTCACTTGTGTAACTTACAAAGAACGGTTTTCCATCACTTGTATACGAGCATCTTCTCGTCAACGTCTTCCTTGCATTGCCTGGATGGCATGAGCATCAGATCTCAGAGTAGTAGAATGAACTAGCAAGAAGGGTACAGGATGGTTCTGACCTAATGAGCTGTACTCTCTAAGGCATGCTGCTGTTTAGGCTATAGTGACATAAACAAATATGTTTGACACACCACCTAGACTGGACAAGGGACAGTGACTGACAAGAGACAAAATAACTCAGGGCGGCACAACTAGTCCAACCTCTGAGACAAGAGTCCGACGACCAGTCAACAAGAGTACAAACTCTACAAGAGCAAACCAGGGCGGCACTACTAGTCCGGCCACTGGAGAGAAGCCACAAGGCCAGTCAAGAATGTATACATAACGAGTAGTTCACAATTAAGGTCCTAGCAAGTGAGGAGCTACAGGAACTAGACCAAGCTGCAAACAGTGCCGCGGATGATCTTTCGGTGCAAGCGCCTTAGTAAAGATATCAGCTGTGTTGGCACCGGAGGCCAAGTGTACTACGCGGGCCTGGCGGCGCTGCTGTAGCTCGCGCAGGAGGAAGTACCGCAGTTGAATGTGCTTCGCTATGTCCTCAAGTCGAGGCTCCTGACACAGGAGGATCATGGCCATATTGTCAGCGTACATAATCGGGGCAGAGCTAGGCCGCTCACCTAAGTCGGTGCGCAAGAAGGTCAGCCAGCGGAGCTCCTGTGCCGCCATGGCACTGGCGTAGATCTCAGCCTCACAGCTAGACTGGGCAACAGACGACGAGTGGGTGGACCTCCACGAGATGGCACCTGCACCAAGGCTAAAGGAGTAGCCCTGGGAGGACCTGAGTGTCTTAGCATTGTCTGCCCACGAAGCGTCTGTGTGCCCAGTAAGGACAACTGTCATGCGTCCTCCTAGCACCAGTCCCATGCCCGATGTACTTGCTAGATAACGCAAAACCCTCTTAGCCGCCGACCAGTGCTGTGGTCGGTGTCTGCCTGTGGCCACAAAGCGAGCCGGGATGCTGAGAGGGTATGTGAGATCTGGGCGAGTGCAAGTCATCAGGTATATGAGGTGACCCACCAGCTCTGCGTAAGGACCACTAGGCTCTACAGAATCCTCAGGAACTGGAGCACAGAGTCTGTGGTCTACTGGCAGAGGTGTGGGCTGTGCAGAGGAGAACTGAAGGCCAAACCTCTGAAGGACCTAGCGCACCAAGTGTGATTGTGTGAGAGTGATGGTACGCGCTGCTCTGTCCCTGAAGATCTGCAGGCCTAGGTAGCGGTGCAGCTCTCCTAGGTCAGTGTAGGTGTGTCTCCTCAGCAGCTCAGTCTTCACGGAGGCCAGTGCATCTCTGTCTGCAGTAGCGAAGACCAGGTCATCTACGTAGACAAGGGTGTAGAATGGGGTCTGGCCATAACGAACGCAGAGCGAGGAGTCTGCAGACGACGGGAAGAACTGCAGGTCAGCTAGCGTAGCAAGCAGCGTGTTGTGCCACTCACGAGGCGTCTGCCGTAGGCCGTAGACCGGCGCCAGAGGAGCCACTCGATCCCCGGACGGAACGTACCGGTGAAGCCCTGTGGATGGCGCAGGAAGACCTGCTCGTGTAGGCTGCCCTGGAGAAACACTGTGGAGAAGTCGAGGGAGTGTAGCTCGTAGTCAAGTTGTGCTGCTACGTGTCGCAATGCCTGAAGAGTAGTCATCTTTGGGGTCGGGGCGAAGGTCTGAAAGAAGTCAACACCCTCGCGCTGATTGAAGCCTCGAGCAACGTAGCGCGCCTTGAATACATGCAGCTCTCCAGAGGGGCGCTTCACCTTAAAGAGCCACCGGCCATCGACTACGTTCACCCCAGGTGGGGGAACTACGTCGACGAAGGTGCCGGTGGATCTCCAAGATGCCATCTCCTGCTCCATGGCAGCTATCCACTGAGAAGCCCAGGGTCCCGAGGTCGCCTCAGCGTAAGTGCGAGGGGTCGGGATGTGAAGAGCATCTGGGTCACCCTCAAGGACTAGCAGCATGGAACAGAGATGGGGAGCGGCCTCAGACAAGAAAGGAAGCTGGTACTACCTATCCTCTAGGACGCCACTGCCGAGGGCAGGAGCACCCCCGACGGACGGAGGGCAGGTAGGGTCAGAGACCAGAGCAGTGGCGTAGTAAAGTTGACGGTTAGAGGCAAAGTCAGCGACAGCAGCGACAAGAGCCAACAGACTAGCGACAGGTACGGACGGGTCGGTAACAAGGGAGGCTAGGACGCGAGGAACAAAGGGACGCGCAACACGAAGAAAGTCAGAAAGAGGAGGTGGGGCTACAACAAGCGACGACTGAGGAGGCGACAGAAGGAGCGGAGTAGCACGAGACACGTGGGAACGAAGCAACATGGGGTGAGAGCGCTGAATAAGAGAGACAGGACGAGCACGAGAGGGACGGCGAGATCTGACGTGAGTGGGAAGCGTCGGGTCAGGTTAAAGAGGAGGAGACACAGGAGGGGAACGAGGGGGGAAACGAGCCGGAGACGAGTCCGACGGAGGAAACACAGGGCCGTAGATAGGCAGGGGAGACGGCTGCGGGGGAGGCGCAGGCGGTCGGTCGGGGGAAGGAAGACCGAGAAGGAGAAGAGTGGACACAGGTGGTGACAGCTGTGGCTGCGACTCCACGCCAACACCTGAACCCCCAGCGGCACCACGGCAACCACCGAGAAGCTCCACGCCAACACCTCCAGAACGGGAAACCTCTCCAACACCGACGCGACCCCTAGGACCGTTGGGACGAGCCAGGACAGGAACCCCAGGACTAGCACCCTCAGAGCCTACACCCTCTCCAGTCCTCGTGCCACCCCCAGGACAGCCGGGACGAGCCCCGACAGCAACCCCAGGACTAGCACCCTTATAACCAATGTTTCTCCAGCACCCGCACCCCTAGAGCACGCGGACCCCTGCGGCGGCGGCGGCGGCGGATGCAGCTGCTGCGACGGCGGCTGCTGTGGCGGCGCGGAAGGAGACACTGGGGCAGAGACAGGTGGCAAACTAGAGGCACCAGAGTCAGCCGACTCCTCCACCTGGACGACCGACGGAAGTGCCAGTTAGACGCGTCGAGGGGGAAACCAAGGAAGACACAGGGGACAGTGCGGGCCGTGAGCTTGTCCGTGCCGGAGGCACGAACGTGAGTAAAGCAGCCCCAGATGTGGAACGCAGACGCGTCACCAGGGGACCCAGTCCAGAGGAGGGTCGGCGAATCCTGTGGCCGCTGGGATTGCGACCACATGTTAAGTTGGTGAGCGGCGTAGCGAACAGCGAACGGCCACAAAAAATGGGGTGCACCGGGATGAATCATGGAGGTACGGGCCACCTCCATGACCAAACCGATGCAGTGCTCAGCAACCCCATTCTGCTGTGGACAGTCCGCAGGGTGTACGACGGGGTGATGCCCTTCGCAAGACAGAATTGGCCAAGCCGGCGGGAGGCAAACTCACCGCCACGGTCGGAGTGGAGAAGCAAGACAGGGAAACGACGGTGGACTCGCACAGCTATGAACCACGGGATAAGAACGTCAAGCCCGTTTGCCTTCCGCTCCAGGAGAAACACCGTGGTGTAGCGCGTGTAGTCGTTGAATAGGACCAGAAATTAGCGCTCGCGACGCGGCCCAGGGACCAGGGCTGGGCCCCAGGCGTCCATGTGCAGGGTCTGCGGGGTTTTAATGGTGGGGGGAAACGAGGAGGAGTGAGGGGCACAGTGCAGCCGGCCCTCGATGCAAGGCGTGCACGGAGGCGCAGGCGAGGGAGGGAGAGCAGGGAGCGACGCAGGGAGACCTAAGACAAGACCGTGCTGGGACATGTGATGCAGACGCGGAAGTGCGGGGTGACCTGGGCGGTGGTGCCACAGTAGCGACGAGTGAGTGAGCGACTGACACGAGCAAGCTGCAGCAACCTGGGTGGACTCAGGAATCTGGGGGGACGCGCCCACCGGGGGGTACGCAGTGTCCAGCGTAAACAGGCAAAACACCGGGTCCCGGGGGAACGTCGCAAGGGGGGCACATGAGGCGGCCTCGGTACAGACAGCAGGGAACGTAGTGGTGACGCCGAGGTCCTGAAGACAACCGACACCAACTAGGTTCCTAGAGAACGAAGGGATGTGCAGGCCTGTAAGAGAACCCGAGGGAACCGCCGCACAGGGAAGGGTAGTGGAGCTACGGGCAACGATAAGACTGGAGGAGGGGTCAGCAAGCGCGACAGCGGCAGGCGCAGCAAGTGGCGTGAGCGCATCGTGGTCGCGGAAGAAGCAGGGAGATGCGCCAGAGTCAAGCGTAAAGAAGAGCGAAGCGGTAGCTGCGGTCGGCGGAGGAGCGAGCGTGGAGCCGAGACTAAACAAGGCAGAAGGTCCTATGCCTGACGCAGCAAGGTAGTCTGTACTACACATAGGAGGCACACCTAAACTAGGCAACACAGGGTAATAAGGTCCGGAAACACTAGAAGCATCCGCATACAGGAAATGCAGAGCAGAACAAATCTGATCCATATCTAACTCAAAGACAGGCACACCATGACGAACCAGACTGGCCCAGTCAGGGAGGTCCGACGCCGGGCCGAAGCGGCGACAAAAGAGGTCGTCGAGGCAGTGGAAGCAGCAGGCGGTAGGGTGCGGTCGAAGACATACAGTGCCGCGGAGGGGGCCGGTCTGGAGCTGGTACTGGCAGCCCCCAGCGCCGAGCTGCGAGGGCCGCCAACGTGGCCACCACCACCAGAGGCACTGGGCCACCTCAGTGGGAGGCAGCCCCACGACTGCTGCTGCTGCTGCGGAGGCTGCTGCTGCTCCTGGGCACCAGCCCCAGTCCCCTCGTTGGATCCACTATCCCCGCCCCCACCTCCACCACCTCCACCACCCCCACCACCCCCACCACCACGCCTCCCTTGGGGCGGCGGCCCTGACGCTGGCACGGACCCGCAGCTGAGGTCTCACCGGCAGGGGCTGTCGCGGCAACCGCGGCAGATACGTCAGCGTAAGTGCACTGGGAGGGCGCACAGCTTTGAAAGTTAGGGACTGCCGCAGTACCGCTCGACTGAGCGATAGTGCGCTGGCGAGTCTCTATCTCAGACCGGGCGGTGACAAAGGCGGTAAGGGTAAGATCACCTGTCTGCTGACTAAGGAAGTGGTCGCGGGCAGTGGCTAAGCGGTCCAGAAGGCGCATGGCAATGAGGTACAGGGTAGCGCAGAGCGGCGAGGGGAAGGCAGTAAGCTGAGCCTTAGTGCTAGCAGTGCAGTAGCTAGCCTCTAGTGCACAGAGGTGTGTAGCTAGGTCAGCAACAGTGGGGAAGGCGACGAGATCAGGAAACAGCATGGGGAGGATCAGGCGACTAGCAGAGCCAGAGGCGGGCATGGAGTAGCACGCAACTACGACATCTAAGAATTCCCTGGCGTTTGCGACAACAATAAAGTGCGGACGCTCACACACGGGAAGGGCGTGACTAATGGCAAGCTGCGCTACAGCACCGCATGACTCCCAGACAATGCGAGCAAGTGCAGCAACAGAAAAGGCCTCGCGCTGAGCAGTGGTGGGGTCAGCAGGGAGGGGATCAGGTGCGAAGGGGCGGGGAAACAAGCCATCGACATGCACAGCCAGGGATTGACCATCCTGGCACTGACCTGTCAGGTGACGGCGTAGATCGACAAGCCAAGCGTTGAAGTCGAGCGCGTGCCCCTCCGCGTCCAGGCGGAGCACAGAGTCCGTCATCGCACGACCTCAGCTACCCGGCAGGACGGCGGCACGGCGGGACAGCGGCACGGCTCCACGACGCCACGAAACCATTGCGGTACGGCGACATAGCGACACGGCAGCACAACGGCACTGCGGCGCGACGACACGGCAGCACGGCGACTCGGCGGCAAGGCTCCATGGCAGGAACGAGGGCGGGCTCGACCGAGGCAAGCGAGGCGCACTGACTGGTGGAGGCATGAAGGGCCAATGGGGCGCTGAAGGGCTGGTGTGGCGCAGAGGCCAGCAGGGGCACGTAAGGGCTGACGGGGCGCGAAGGGCCAGCGGAGCGCGATAGGGCTGGCGGGGCGCGAAACGGCCAGCGGGGCGTGAGAGGGCCTGTGGGGGCGCGAAAGGCTAGCGGGGCACAAAGGGCCAGCGGGGCGCAAAAGGGCCTGGCGGGGCGCGAAGGGCTAGTGGGGCGCGAAAGGGCCAGCACGGCGTGAACGGGCTGGCGAGGCGCGAAGGGACCAACGGGGCGCAAAAACGGCCAGTGGGGAGCTAAGGCCAGCGGGGCGCTAAGGCCAGCAGGCCGCTAAGAGGGGGGGGGGGGGCAGCAAGGTGCTAAGGGAACAGCGGGGCACGAAGGCTAGGGCTAGGGCGGAAGCTGGTGGGTGGACCTAACCTAAGCTGATACCATCTCAAAGTAGCAGAATGACTTAGCAAGAAGGGTATAGGGTGGTTTTGACCTAATGAGCTGTACTCTCTAAGTCATGCCCCTGTCTAGACTATAGTAACATAAACAAATATGTTTGACATCAGATTGCCTACCTGCTGGCATTTATTTGTCCGGGTACAGCGTATACAAACGAATTTGCTTGGTCTAGTTTAGGGTAACGCAGTGTGCACCCCGTCAATATGGATGTATGGGTCCTGGCTGGTGCCTATCATGTACGATGCAATTTTTTTAGACTCTGTTCTACAGTTAGCCACATGAAGCTACGAAAGCACCAGCTATTTTCGATTTTCCTCATGCTTTTCTCATTGACCATTTTCTTAAAGAGCAAGCTCACTTTGAAGGGGGTTTTGCAGTTTTCGGGTGATTGAAATGGGCAGATTCCTGATATTGTAGAGGCAAAGCAGTTGGAACCGCGTGTAACAGTATCGTGAAACCTGTGCACCTCTCGATCTGTAAGGAAAATCCCTTTTCCTTATCGAGCCTCACTAACGTCGAGTACAGCCCTGACTTTCGGAAGTCCAGGCTCGGCCCGACATCTCAGGTCCATACACGCAGCGTCACGTCCAACACTTCCGAGTCCCGAGGCGCCCCAAACCACCTCGCATGCGTTCGTGGCCTTCCTCGAGGCTCCCTTGCTAGGTTATTTGTGCTTGTATTTAACCCTGTGCCTCATTTGTATTCGACACACGTTAATCACGACCTCACTTTTGCATTACTCCACTACTACAGTATCCGGAGATTATCATAACAGCTGGTATCAGAGCTACGTTCCTACCCATTTAGGCTTCCATAGTGAGGTACCGTAATCCCCCGGATAGAAGACCCCCCCCCTAGGTTAGGACTTTGGGTCCTTTAATTGACAAAAGAGGCTTATACGCAAAAATCGATTATAGGCCCCTCCCCCCTTGGAGAGTAGTTTTGCTTTTAAGCCATTGTTTTTTTGGACACGAAACAAACATACAAAAACAGTGAATTTTACAGCTTTTGCCGAGTAGGATTCCCCTGCTTCTGTGCACACCTGCAAAATCTAGCTCCCTGACAGCTTAGACTAGGTTTCATCGAACGTGCGCACGCTACCCAATGGCGAGCAAGCATTACTGTTGAATTTGCGGACTCCAGTACACACAGAAACAGCTTTCCCATTGGACGATTGGTGAACAAACCTGGCATTATCTTCGGCCGAACACGGAACTCACACACGCCAGTGATTTCAATTGGGATCAGGAAACGAATAGTATTGTGCACCTAAATAATGTTTTCTTTATACTTTGGCAAACCATGCATGAGCTTGGCCCTAGGGCTTATATTTAAAAAATCGATTATAGGCCCCACAAGGAAAAAAATGTTTCGTCCTAAACACCCCTAGGGGCGTCTATCCAGGGGATTATGGTAGTTTTTAGAGGGACCTCGCACGTTAGGAGACAGGAGCTGTCCAGCGGTTGTGCAGGAAAATCTTCAGATCCGCCGACCTTGTCGTGTGCGCTCCACGTCTCTAACGCTGCAGGTACCCGTAGTGTCTTTTGTGGAGTTAGCTAGTAAGGGTAATTCATGGTCAATAGCCCTCCTCGCCGTAGTACTAGAAATATGACTCCCGAGCAAATAGCCGAGCTGTCAGAGGCGGCAGCAAACGCGTCAGTGCTGACGACGAAGCTGGGCAAAATGATGGCGAAGATGGAGGCCATGGCTCTGGAGCTCGCCGAGTTGAAAGAGGAGAATGTGAGCCTTCGACAGGTGCGTGGTGCAATGCGTCAGGAGTCGCCTGCTATGGTGGACGAAGATTGTGTGAGGGCGCATCAACCACAGGCGACGTTCGCGACACGTGACGACAGTACGAGTGAGCGACGGGCAATTGTGAAGATAAAACTTGCAATGCCCCCGCCGTTCAATCCAGTGGAGAAACACACTTTGACGAGTAGGTGGAACTGTTCTTCAATGTCGCCGATGTCAACGACGATGAGACACGCGTCAAGTTGGCGGTGTCTTTATTATGCGGGCCTGAATTAAGTTGGTGGCGACAGTACGTGATGTCACGAGGGACTCTGGCATACTGGCAACGGGCGATGGACGGGGAGCAACGATCGGCTTCAACTTCTACAGGATCCTTATTTGGTGTGGCCGAGATCCTTACCTGGCAACATTGGGGTGCACTGCTTCGCAAGCGCTTCGAGCATGTATCCACATGCAAAAACGCTCGTGTGAAGCTGCTCGGGTGGCGTCAAATGGGTTATGTCCTAGAGTACGCATCATCTTAATTTACCATCTGCGACAAAATCGACGACCTACACGAGACGGAGAAAAAATGTTGTTACATTCTAGGGATGAGAGAAATTCGTATGCGCCGCCCGGCGACGTTCCTGCAGATGCAGCAGGTCGCAGAGGCGTGGGACGAGAACAGTGTATGGCCGAGGGCGAATGTCCGGAAGGGAAGTCGTTTTCGAGGGCAGAACATTTACCCATCCATTAACGGCATGGCAGCACTGTCAGATAACATATTTTCTGGCAGGTGTTATAAATGCGGCCAACTGGGGCACATCATGCGGGACTGCCCAGAGTTGCAGAAATCGGGAGCTAACGTCGGAAGGAAGCCGAGAAATGGACAACATCAGTAGCAGTCGGCCCCCCTACTGATGAGGCTTCGTCGCTCGAAGATCACCATTCCCACCGAGTAGTAGTGCTGATCTATGCGATCGACCATACCCGATTAAAGGGGAGTGAACTTGTTGACTGCCCTGTGCTGGTGGAAGGGCGCGTTGGCAATACGAGATTTGAAATATTCGTGGATGGTGGCGCATCACACAGTCTGTTCGATGTGACAAGAGCGAAGAAGCTGCAACTGCAAAGGAAGCGGTGCATGCTCGAAATTGACGCGCGGTTGATCGACGTCACGCCACTTGCAATTGTGGGAGCGGGTGAAATACGTTCGCATTGATTGCGACAGCCAAGTTAGTTTCGCCATGAAGATGCTAGTGACAATATTGGACGGATGCGATGTGCTCCTGGGGTGTGATTGGCTTCGCACGTACAATCTGAGCATCGATTGGAGGAATGGCGACATTCGTTTGAAGTGGGGTGGCGAGTGGCGAAGACTGCCGAAGTGGAAACCACCCAGCCCTCAGTGAACACTGGTGAACAACGTGACTATCAAGCGAGTGATGGCACGTGGCATAGACATCTACACCGTCCGATGGATCGCATCAATGGAGGTGGCTGAACAGACCGACCTGGAGAAGCTGTGTGCTACCGTACCTGAGGACCTGACGAAGATCATGCGCAAATTTGAGAAGATATTTCCCGACGATCTACCTCCTGGCCTACCACCCGAACGACCACACGACCACAAGATTGAGCTCGAACCGGAGTGCAACCAACCTTCCGATCACAATGGAGGCTGCGTCAACTGAAGCTGATGGAGCTAGCGTAACCAATTGGATTATCTACTGGAGAAAAAAATCATCCGCCCATCCACATCACCCTACGCCGCACCGATTATCTTCACCCCTAAAATAGACGGAGGGCTTCGGATGTGTACCGACAATCGAGCGCTCAACAACATCACCATCAAGTCGCTTTACTCGATTCCACGAGCCGATGATCTTATCAACCAACTTCGCGGGGCCAGGATTTTTTTCCAAGATTGACCTACGAGGAGGTTACCACCAAATTTCGTGTCGCCGAAGCTGATATTCCAAAGACTGCATTTCGAACCCGTTACGTAAGTTACGAGTATACCTTGATGTCGCTTGGGTTGACGAACGCACCCGCAACTTTTCAACTGACCATGAACGAAGTCTTTCGCTCGCTACTGGACAAGTGCGTCATCGTCTACCTGGACGACATCCCGGTGTACAGCAAGACTCAAGAACAATATCTGCAGGACCTGGAAGCAGTTGTGACCCTCTACGATCACCACCGACTCATCACCAAAGGCTCCAAGTGCGAATTTTTAAAGGAGGAAATGGATTTCGTGGGGCACGCAATCTCAACCGAAGGCGTTAAAATTGATCCCCAAAAAATCGATACCATTTGCAACTAGGAGCCGCCTACTAACATCAAGGAGTTGCGGAGTTTTCTGTGGTTTGTCAACATCGTGCACAGTTTTATCCCTAACATGGCGGAGTCCACTGCCCCACTAACCGACTTGCTGCAGAAGGGTTTTTTTTTTTTAGTGGGAGGAGAGGCAGCAAGCTACAGTATGTTTGACCAACTGGAGACTTTCCTCATGACACCACCTGTTCTTCGTATCGCCGAACCCGACCGCCCGTACAAATTGGTCAAGGATGCCAGCGACATCCCCGTTGACGTGGTACTTTTACGTGGTGAAGGACTGCAACCAATTGCCTACGACTTGCGAAAACTCCAAGGCACTGAACGGAATTACCCGGTTCACGACGAGGAAATGCTCGCGATCGTCAACACTTTCAAGACCTGACGCTGCTACCTATCAGGTCCCGACATTATTGTCCGAACAGACCACAAGTCCCTAAAGTTCCTCCGAGCCCAACCGACGTCAGGTTCGTGGATTTGAATATCTCGACTCCAACTTCCACTACCGAATCACCTACAAGAAGGGAGCAAATAACATTGCCGACGCCCTTTCTTGCCCTATTGCCCATATAACCGCCGTACTAATCGCCCAAGCTAATCTGCTGCTAACTGGACTATTTACCCACGACTACAATACAGATCCCCTTTTCAGCTCTAACGGCCACCAAGCCTTGACCACTCAACGAGGCCACTACCACCTAAAAACTGGTACTGACCAAATTTAGGTTCCATCCCACCAAATGCTACAGGAATTACTGATCCAGGAGGTTCAGGACATTTCGGGGTTCATAAAACCTTGAAAATGCTCCAACGTCATTATTACTGGCCGAATGCGAGCCATGATGAGCAGCAATACGTGGCCTCATCTCCCATCCACCAACTGATAAAATCCTCTCACCAAAGCCAGCTCGATTAGTGCAACCGTTAGAACCACCCACAAAGCCCTGGCCACACGTGTCCATGGACTTCGTGACCGGACTGCCGGCCGGCGCATCCCAAAATGATTCTGTGCTCATGGTCGTTGATCGACTCACAAAAATGGCTCATTTCACGCCATGCCGAATGACGATAACATCCGAGCAAACAGCCAAGCTGTTCATCTCAACCGTCGTTCGCCTTCACGAAATCCCGAAGGCGATTGTGAGCGATCGTGACCCCAGATTTACGTCCAACTTCTGGACAAAAATGTGGGAACAGTATGGTACACGTCTCCATCTGTCCACGACTTACCACCCACAAGCCGACGGTCAGACTGAACGGACAAATCAGACCATGGAGCAGCTGATACGAATAATCTGTATCGACCCGACCCAATGGGAAGATTCGCTCCCGTTGATCGAGTTTGCGTATAACAATGCCCCTTTGTCCACAACTGCCCAATCACCGTTTTACCCAAATTACGGTCTAAACCTGGGCTTATGTGATCCGGCCATTTGCCCTGACTTGACTGAAATTATTGGGTAGTTTTTATGACGACCCAGAAAATATCAGGGTCCTTTTCGTCCCAGACCTGAGGAATTCAGGAGGGAATTTTATGGGACCCTGAACCCAACGAGGGTCTTTCTGCCAAACCCTGATGCATCCGAGCAGTTCTAAGGGGTATCCACAGCCTGCCACACCCCCACTCCCCCTTGTCCTGTTTCCCGCACTTCCCCCTCCGTCCTCCCATTTCCATCTCACCAAGATTTCCACCTCCCTAGATTTAGAAACCTCTCGCGCTCTCCCTGCCCTGTATACCAAATCTGTCTGGGGACTTACAGTAGCATCGATCTACAACATCTTAGGCTTACATGGAGCTCTGCGATTAGTTTGCTCACCTTCTGGATCCAGGCTGCTTCTTAGCGGAATAATGCTTAGCAGCCACAAATACATAGGCCAGTGCTGCCTTTCTCTAACACCCTCCTCCTCGTTGCCTTAACCGCCAGTCTCTAATACGCACTCTGCTCCACAAATCAGGTTGTTAGGTAGATTCCCAGCACATCAGGCCTGTGTCTGTCAAGGCTAGGCTGCATAGCCAGCAGAGGGAAAATTCAGCCAGCCCTGATTTTTCCATGACGCTATTGCCATAGCCCTGAAACATCAGGGAGGCGCTACGTTTGACCGTGGCTTTCCAAGGCAAATTTGGAGGGCTGCCCAAACCATCCGGGCTGTCCCAAAACCTAATATTAGCCCTGGTTTAAACTCTACGCCTCCCACCACACCCTTAGTTGAGAGTCCCGCCCCACGGTCGCAACAGTTCGTGAAGGACTTACAGACTGCACAGAAAAAACGCTACCGAGGTTATTTCAAAAGCCAACCTTATTGTCAAATGGTACACTGACAAGCATAGATGGGATTTACCCCTGTCTCCTGGGCAACTAGTCCTTCTGGACACCATGAGTTTGGGGTTGAGTTTACCATATAAATTCCGCCTAAGATTCTGTGAGCATTCAGAATTGTTCGCATTATAACACCAGTCACTGCCAAGTTACTGTTACCTGACCATTGGCGTATCCATGATTCATTCCACGTCAGCCTCCTTCGACAGTTCGTCGCGAACACGGCTGATCTCGACCGTCAACAACTCTATCCTTCGATCAAGCCCGTCCCCGAGCCAACCACCGAACTACAGCAGATTCTCTCCCGCCGTATCCGTCGCGACCAAAGTCAACAGGTTTTGGAGTTCCTGTTTCGATGCGTTGACCGTACGTGTGACGACAACACCCAGCCGCTACATTCGACAACAACCCATTGGTGCAGGCCTATTTACACGATCGAGCTGCCCCAGATGTGGGTAGTCTCGTCTAGGAAAATTCAATTTCCTTATCGAGCCTTGCTAACATCAAGTACAAAAACTTTCGTCCAGGCTCAGCTCGACATCTCAGGTCCGAACTGTCAGAAACCCAGTCACTAACCACTGAGTTAATAGCGGGTCAGTGCACCCATAGCCCCCCAGGCTCTGCACCTGTGGCCTTTCCTCGAGGATCTTCTCAAGGGTAACCCCAGCTGGTCACTCAACACCCCCCCTCTCTGGGATAGGTGGAAGACATGAGTGTCAAATGTAACTTCTGTAGTTACTGTAGACCATACTGGATTGTGCTTTAGAGGGTACAACCCCTAGTCTATATATCCCTGTATCCTTCTATTCTACTCAATTACTCATCTTGATATGGTATCATAGTAGGTTCGGCCCCCCCCTAGCCCGCCCACGCTTCCGCCCTAGGCCCTAGCCGCCGTCACGCCCGCCCCTAGCCGTCGCGCCCGTCCCTAGCTGCCGTCTCGCCCGTTTCTAGCCGCCGTCGCGGCTGTTCCTAAACGCTGTCGCGACCGTTCCTAGCCGTCGCAGCTGTCCCTGGTCGTCTCGCGGCCGTCCCTAGCAGCCGTCGCGGCCATCCCTAGCCGCCGTCTCGCGGCCGTTCCTAGCCGTCGCGAACGTTCCTAGCCGCTGCCGTCGTCGTTCCTAGCCTTCGCGACTGTTCCTAGCCGCCGTCGCGGCCATTCCTAGCCGCCGTTGTGGTCGTTCCTAGCTGTCGTCGCGGTCTTTCCTAGCCATCCCGACCGTTCCTAGCCGCCGGCGTGGCCGTTCCTAGCCGTCGCAAACGCTCCTAGCCGCTGTCGCGGTCGTTCCTAGCCGTTCTCGCGGCCGTTCCTAGCCGTCGCGGCCGTCCTTAGCCGTCGTCGCGGCCGTTCCTAGTCGCCGCGGCCGTTCCTAGCAGCCGTCGCGATCGTCCTCCCCGGCCCCCTGTGCCGTCGTGCCTGTCCTAGCCAGCCCTGCTCGCCGTCGCGCCTGCCCCTAGCCGGCCCCTTCTCGCCGCTGTGCCCGTCCTGGCCGTTCCTCGCCTGAGCCGTCGCGCCCTCTCCTAGCCGGCTCCTCGTGCCGCCATGCCCGCTCCTAGCCAGCCCCCTTCATGCCCGCTCCTTACCGGCCCCTCGTGCCCGCCCCTCGTCGGCCCCGTGCCCGCCCCTTGCCGGCCCCTCGCGTCCGCCGTCCGCCGGCCGGCCCCTAATGTCCGCCGTCGTCGCCGGCCTCTCGCGTTCGACGGCCGGCCCCTAGCGTCCGCCGTCGTCGCCGGCCCCGCATTCGCTTCACCGCCGGCCTGCCGCCGACTCGTTCCCGGCCCGTTCTTCCCGACCAGTACTGTCCTACAACCCCCCCTGGTACCGCACTGCACCGCTTTGCACCGCACTGTACCGCTCTGCACCGCACTGCACCGCACTGCATCGCGCTACACTGCACTACACCGCACTGCACCGCGCTGTAACGCACTACATCGCACTGCACCGCACGGCGCCGCACTGCACTGCAGTGCGCCGCTCTACACCACCCTGCATTGTTCCTGATGGCGGAGGTGCTTCGCTTTGATGCTGAGGGCCAGCCGATTGAGTTTGAGGCGTGGCTGGCCGACCTCCGCCGCCACCTCATTGGTCAGCGGCAGGATGGCCACTCGCTGTCTGTCCATCTTGACGGTACGCTCCCCTGCCCTGACCCCCCTGCTGCACTGCCCGCTGACCCCTTGTCTGCTGAGCGTGAGTCCGCTGCGGCCGCTGCCCTTGCTCGCTCCGTCTGGCTGTCGCGTGATGTTGTCGCACAGCTTGCTATCAGCCATGCCCTCCCCCTGTCTGAGCGCCCTCGCTTTAGGTCTGTCACCACTGCCCAGGCTTTCCTAGATGCTGTTGTCTAGCGCTATTCCACGCCGCCTGCTGCCTCGGTAGGTCGCCTGATACTCCCCATGCTCTTCCCTAACCTTGAGTCGTTTCCCACTGTCGCTGATCTGGCCGCCCACCTGCGCACTATAGACGAGACCTGGTGCGCTGCCTGAACTGACACACAGCTTCGCGCTCACCAGCCGCCCCTCTGCTCAGCTCTCTACCTGCTGGCCACCCGCCTCCCTGACCGCCTTGCCACTGCCCGCGACCGCTTCCTTAGCGTCCACCCCGGAGACCTCACCCTCACTGACTTTGTTGACACCCTGTTTGCCATAGAGGCCCGCCACTGCTCTATCGCCCAGACCAGCGGTACTGTGCCGGTCCCTATCTTTCAGGGTTGTGCCCCTGCTGAGTGCACCTTCTCCGACGGTTCTACTGCTGTGGCTAAGACAGCCGCTGCAGGACAGGTCCGTTCGGGAAAGGGTCGCCGCCCCAAGGCTGGGCGCGGCGGAGGGGTTGGGGGTTCAGGTGTAGGTGGTGGTAGAGTTGGGTCACCTAGTGGTGGCGCGGACGAGGGGACCCTGACAGGTGCAGCCGAGCAGCCGTCTGAGCAGCCGCAGGTGTTGCAGCCGGGCACGTGCCAGTCGCTGCAGCAGTCCTCGCACCAGCCGCAGCCGCCGCAGCAGCCGAGGCGGGCGAGTGGTCTCCCGCCCTGGTGGCCTGGCGCTGGTGGTGGTGCTGGACGTGGTGGTCGTGCGCGTGGTGGGCTGCCGGGTGGTGGTTCGGGTGACGCGCGCTGTCAGTACCAGCTCCAGACCGGTCCTCGCCGTGGCTTCGTTTGCGGTAAGATCGGTCACACCTCCGTCCGCTATTTCCATCGCCTGGACGACCTGTTTCGTCAGCGCTTCGGCCCGTCGCCCGAGCTCCCAAACTGGCACAGCTTGCTTCGTCGTAGCTTCCCGATCTTTGATATGGACATGGATGAGCTTGTTACTGCCTTGCATGTGATGTATGCTGATGACTCTAGTGTACTTCCTTCTTATTACCCCTTGTTGTCTAGTGTAGGTGTGCCTAGCTTAGACTCCCCTGCTACGTTAGGCGTAGGATCCCCTGCTTTGTTTAGCCTTGGTGCTTCCGTCGCTGCTTCGACTCCGGCCGCCACTGCCGCGCTTTCCTTCACCTTGGACGCTGCCACTTCCCGGTGTTTCTTCCGCGACTCCACCATGCTGACACCGCTTCCTGTTCCTGCTGCAGTTTCTCTTGCTGACCCCTCCTCCGGCCCTGTAGTCGCCCGCAGTTCCACCATCCTTCCCTGTCCGGCGGTTCCTTTGGGCTCTCTCACATGTCTGCACATCCTCTCGTTCTCCAGGAACCTAGTTGGTGTCGGCTGCCTTCAGGACCTTGGCGTCACCACTACGTTCCCTGGTCACGAGCGGAACGCTGTCTGTACCGAGGCCACCACTGATGCCCCCCTTACCACGTTTCCACGAGACCCGGTGTCCGGCCTTTTTACACTGGACAGTGTGACTTCCCCGGCTGGGACACCCCCTCAGGTGGCTGCGTCTACTCAGGTCGCTGCTGCCTACTCCTGTCGGTCACTAAGCAGTTCGTTGATTTTGGGGGTGCTGGAGTTGGGGTGGGTACTAGTCCTGGGACTCTTGTCGTGGCTTGTCCCAGCGGGCCTGGGGGTGGTACCGGTGCTCGAGGGGTTATGAGCTCTGGGGGTGTTCCTTCTGGGGGTGCTGGAGTGGATTGTTATGGAGGTAGCCGTCCGGAAGCTTGCGGTCCCAACGTCGGTGTCGCACCCCCATAGCAGCAGTCCCCGCCGCTGTCAGCTCTTCGCCTGCTCGGCCTTCCGTCCACTGACCCCGCGTCTGTGCCTCCTCCTCCTCCTCCTCCTCCTCCTCCTCCTCCTCCTCCTCCTCCTCCTCCTCCTCCTCCTCCTCCTCCTCCTCCTCCTCCTGTCTACGGCCCTGTGTTCCCTCCTCCGGACTCGTCTCCGGCTCGTTTCCCCACTCGTTCCCCTCTTGTGTCCCCTCCTCTGTCTCCTGACTCGACGCCTCCGTCTGACGTCTGGTCTCGCCGTCCCTCCTGTGCTCGACCTGTCTCCCCTGTCTCGTGCTCTCACCTTATGTTGCTTCGTTCCCACGCGTCTCTTCCTCCCCTTCTCCCGTCGCCTCCTCCGTCCTCTCTTGTTGTTGCGCCCCCCCCTCTGTCTGACTACCTGCGTGCCGCTCGTCCTCTTGCTCCTCGGGTCCTTGCCTCTCTCGTTACCGACCCGTCTGTTCTAGTTTCGTGTCTTGACGCTCTTGTCACTGCAGTCCCTGACTTTGCCTCTACCCACCGCCTTGACTACGCCACCGCTCTGGTCTCTAACCATGCCCGTCCTCCGTCCGTCGGGAGTGCTCCTGCCCTTGGCAGAGACGTCCTGGAGGACCGTCAGTACGAGCTTGCTTTCATGTCCGAGGTTGCTCCCCATCTCTGTTCCATGCTTCTAGTCCCTAAAGGTGACCTTGACGCTTTCGACATCCCGACACCTCGCACTTACACTCAGGCGGTTTCGGGACCCTAGGCCTCTCAGTGGATAGTTGCCATGGAGCAGGACATGGCATCTTGGAGATCCACAGGCTCCTACGTCAACGCAGTTCCCCCACCTGGGGTGAACGTAGTCGATGGCCGCTGGCTCTTCAAGGTGAAGCGCCCTCCTGGAGAGCCGCCTGTGTTCAAGGCGCGCTACGTGGCTAGAGGTTTCAGTCAGCGTGAGGGGGTGGACTTCTTCCAGACCTTTGCTCCGACCCCGAAGATGACTACTCTTCGGGTGCTGCTACACGTAGCAGCTCGGCGTGACTACGAGCTTCACTCCCTTGACTTCTCTACTGCGTTTCTTCAGGGCAGTCTACACGAGCAGGTCTACCTGCGCTGCCCTCAGGGTTTCACTGGTACCTTCCCTCCTGGGACCCAGTGGCTCCTGCGGTGCCCCGTCTACGGCCTGCGACAGGCTCCTCGTGAGTGGCACGACACGCTGCATGCTACCCTTGCTGACCTGTACTTCTTTCCGTCCTCTGCAGACCCCTCGCTCTTTGTTCGTGCAGGCTAGACTCCGTTCTACATCCTTGTTTTCGTAGACGACTTGGTCTTCGCCACTGCAGATAGGGACGCACTGGCCTCCGTAAAGGCAGAGCTGCTGAAGTGACACACTTGCACTGACCTTGGAGAACTGTGCCATTACCTTGGCTTGCAGATCTCCAGGGACAGAGCAGCGCACACCATCACCCTCACTCAGTCACACTTGGTGCGCCAGGTCCTTCAGAGGTTCGGTCTTCAGTTCTCCTCTGCACAGCCCACCCAGCTGTCTATAGACCACATGCTCTCTGCTCCTGTTCCTGAGGAGTTGGTAGAGCCCAGTGGCCCTTACGCCGAGATGGTGGGTTGCCTCATGTACCTGATGACTTGCACTCGCCCAAATCTCGCATACCCTCTCAGCATCCTGGCTCGCTTTGTGGCCACGGGCAGACACCGACCTCAGCACTAGTCTGCCGCTAAGAGGGTTTTGCGTTATCTTGCGAGTACATCGGGCATGGGGTTAGTGCTTGGAGGGCGTAGGCCAGTGGTCCTTACTGGGCACACAGACGCTTCGTGGGCAGACGACGCTGAGACTCTTAGGTCCTCACAGGGCTACTGCTTTAGCCTTGGTTCAGGTGCTGTCTCGTGGAGAGCTACCCACTCCTCGTCTGTTGCCCAGTCCAGCTGTGAGGCCGAGATCTACGCCGGTGCCATGGCGGCACAGGAGCTCCGCTGGCTGACCTTCTTGCTCACAGACTTAGGTGAGCGGCCTAGCTCTGCCCCAGTCCTGTACTCTGACAACAGGGCCATGATCCTCCTGAGTCAGGAGCCGCGACTCGAGGGCAGAGCGAAGCACATCCTGCTGCGGTACTTCCTCCTATGTGAGCTGCAGCAGCGTCGCCAGGCCTGCGTACACTTGGCCTCCGGTGCCAACACAGTTGATATCTTTACGAAGGTGCTTACGCCTAAAGATCATCAGCGGCCCTGTGTACAGCTTGGTCTTGTTCCTGTAGCTTCTCATTTGCTAGGGCCTTGATTGTGTACAAACCTTTTCTATATATGTTACCCTGACTGGCCTTGTGGCCTCTCCTAGTGGCTGGACTAGTAGTGCCGCCCTGGTCTTGCTCTTGCCTTGCCTGTATTCCTTTGACTAGTCTTTAGACCCTTGCCTCAGAGGCTGGACTAGAAGTGCCGCCCTGAGCTGCTTCTTCTCCTGTTAGGCACTGCCCCTATATAGTCTAGGGGGTGTGTCAAATGTAACTTATGTAGTTACTGTAGACTATACTGGATTGTGCCTTAGAGGGTACAACCCCTAGTCTATATATCCCTGTATCCTTCTATTCTACTCAACTACTCATCTTGATAATGAGCGCCTCTGCAGCGCTAGCACTGGGAATTGAACCCGAGTCACCAACGCTCTGATACCATGTCAGAAACTCAGCCACTAACCACTGAGTTAAAAGGGCTTGTTAATAGCGGGTCAATGCGCCCATAACCTCCCAGGCTCTGCACTTATGGCCCTTTCCCAAGGATCTTCTCAAGGGTAACCCCCTGCAGGTCACTCAACACGAACTACGTTCGAGACCTCCAAGCCTACATGCGGCGTCACATCGACTCTTCCGAGTCCCGAGGCACCCCAAACAGGGCTCTCGGAGGGTAAACATCCGGAATGTCAGGTACATTCCAAGTGTTTCACGTTGGAATCCAGATTTTGATAGGGTCGGTTTTCACAAACCTTCTGACTGTTTCCGAACGCTTTCTTCCGGGACTCGGAGCCATCAGCATAGGCCCGAAAATCATCCTGACAGAAAAGTCACTTGTGATGGATTCGCCCTAGAAGGCTTCAACGTGGCAGCAACTGCATCGTGATTTTCTCCTACAGCTGATAGTTCTCCCACCCTCCAACCATGTTGTTCCGGTTCGATTGCTACTTGTGAACCCTCGCCCGGGAGAGCGCTGGTGTGTAGTGGTGTGCGGGTAGTGTTTCGGGTGGCAGAATAGTATGGTACTTCACATCCAAGGTGAAAGTGTGCTGAGTGTTATCGTGTATTTTGATGCTCTAAGACGCTTCGTACCTAACTACCCTGCCTGCGCAAAGTGGGTAGTATGATGGCTTCAGAGGAATCCTGAAAAACATAGGGATTTTCCTGGGAATGTTGAATTTTCAAGGTCTTCTGTGAGGCAAACCTTGTGCCTTGCGGGTCCCGTATAACAAAAAATTAGCCCTGGCCCCAAACCACTTCGCGTGCATTTCGTGGCCTTCCTCAAGGCTCCCTTGCTATATTAGATGTGGTTGTATTTAGCCCGGTGCCTCATCTGTATTCGACACACTTTAAAGCCCGACCGGCAGGTTGCAAGCCCTCTTTTCTCATAATGCTGCACCTTGAGGCCCTCGTAACCGAGCAGCTGGCATCAAACTGTCAAATGCAGGCGAAGGACTTCCAACAAGGCAGGCATAGGGACCTCTCGGAACTTGGCAGTGCAAACCTGCCAAGTTCTTCGAGGGAAAAAATGGGACAGGTTGGGTGGGGGGTAGAAACCTGAATTTGTAATTTGCAGTGTGGGTGGGAAGCGCGAAACAAAAACGTGATTCGTATTTTTTGGGTCGCACTGTACCGAGCTGTGTATGCGTCAAACAAAATCCGGTTTGTTTTTTCTGAAACCGGTCAGGTCAAAGGGTTGGTTGTGTTCGAAACAGTTGTTCGAAATACCTCAAGGACTTAAGCGTTTCTGAAGTGTAACACCACACTCGAGGAAGATCGTAATGGGTACGCGAGTCAACGGAGGTTACACGAAGGGATGGACAAAGAACACGAAAGGACTCAAAGGGTCGCAATCGGAGGTTGCGACTGACCGTTACAACTGCAAGGATGGTAACCGAAGCGACAATCGAGTCGCTGTGCGACTCGATAACCGCTCCTTCAACTGTATTCTACAACTGCTTGCTTTCCTACTTTCTATATATTGCTGTATGCTTGTTCTTTTAATCAATCACTTGTTCTCATATACTAGTACAAGGGTTCAACTACTCAACTTCCGCTGCACTACTCAAGTCTCCTTTTACAACTGGGACTTAGTCTCTGGAAAGATCCTAAGGGCTTTTCTCAGCCCAACATGGTATGAGAGCTGGTCAGAGACCAAACTCCCAACAACTACGTTCCATCGACAACCAGCACACCAACGACTTCATTGATTACAAGTCATGGACAGCAAGGGCAAGAAAACCTCTACGGGCTCACCCAGTGCCCAAGACACCCAACCCGGCAACTCTGGATTGCACACTTCAGGACTGCAAACCGAGACCGGCGCTGCTCAAGAAACAACAGGAAGAGCACCAGAAATGGTGACCCCATCACCCTCTTCAAGCGTGGACCCGAACCTTATGGAAAGGTTCTTCAGCTTCATGTCGCACTTCGACCAGCAGCAGCAGACAAGGATACCTACGCATTCAACACAGAGCAACGGAGGAAACATGGGATTAGCGCCAATGAGTTTCGACAACTCATCGTTTGGGCGACACAATCAAGCGCCTACCTTTGCGCCTTATCACTCTTCACCGGGGACGTTCGAGTTCATGCCGCCCCGTGCCCAACCAACAGCAGCTGCATCACAACAGACACCAAACGAAATACTTAGTCTCCAGGTGCAGTTTTCACACGTGATCAAACTGCAGACATCCTCACCGTTCAACGGACACGACTTCTTTACCTGGAGCTTTGAGTTCGAGCTGCTGATGGAGGCTGCGCATCTCTTGGGATACTTCAACGGGTCCCTGCCATTTCCAAGCAATGGCACTGCGAAAGAGCAAGAAATTTTTACGTATCAGTCGCTGCTGGCGTACACGGTCCTCCTGCGGAACCTGTCACCACAAGAACAGCAAAGCATCAGAATGTATCGGAGCTATGGAAACTCTGCGGAACTCGCATGGCATCACCTCTTGTGTCTCTATCAAGCAAACGACAGCGTGACACAAAGCAGACTCATGCAGCAACTGACAACAATACAGATGAAGACCGGGGAAAAGGCGATGCAGTATATGAGTCGATGCCGGACACTCCGCGACCGCCTGCTTCGGTGCGGAGGAACAATCACTGAAGAAAGCTTCGTCACGCTTGTCCTCGCTGGGCTCGGGCCAGAATGGAGAACCACCCGCTCGCTCCTTCGCGCCCACGGACGAATCTCGGAGATGCACCTCTGCGCCGAGCTCCATGCTGAACAACAAGAGATGGACCTGTTTGAAGAAAGACAACCAAGGAAGCAGCAACCGTTAGTCTTCTACACTCAACGAAGGAACGACAACAACTACAACCGACGCGGCAAACAAGATCAACGCGACAACAGAGAACTCACCATTGTGCCGCCGTTCTGCCACAACTGCCAAACATCCGGACACTCCAAAGTCAACTGCACACGTCCCCGAGCTTATCGTCCTGTAGACCCACAAGTCGCTTCCACTCAAGAAAGCCCACCGAGACGTTCCTCCTCATCTGCACAAGGCACACCAAACATCATCAATTGCATGGTACACATCGACAGCTGCACACCCGGATCACCACCCACTTACGCTCCAGACGAAGAAGAACTACCGCCGCCACGCTCACAAGGACTTCATGTTAACCCGACATACGCTGCAGTCGCCAACGCCGAACCCACCGGGCGAAACACTTGGTTCTTGGATAGCTGCTGCGGTCAACACATGTGTTCTTCCGGGCGCTTCGTGTAGCAAGAGCGACGCCTCAACCGCGATGTCATCATCACCGTCGCCAACAATGAGAACCTGAAAACAAACAGACAAGGCGTCGTTCAGCTTCAGTCAATGGAGACGAACGTCATACTACAACTCAACAAGGTTCTAATCGTCGACAACTTGGGATACAACTTACTCAGCGTCAGCCAGTTAATGGCAAAAGGGATTCACCTGGAGTGCGACTCGATCTCCAACGAGTTTCGCCTTTACCACGGGAAGGGCGGTCTTTTCATCGGTCGCGCTCTCTTGAAGTCGGGCGTCTTCGTGTTGGATTTCGTCCTCGACCGCGGTATTGCCGACAGCGATGGCATCGTATCGTTCGCCGCTTGGACGCACCCGCCGGATCTTGACCCCGAATTCACCCCAGATGGTTTCTGGTACTCCAACACCATACCTGCAGCAGAGAGAACACGAGCATTAGCAGTTATTCGACAAGAAAGACAAGTACCAGCAAGCGTTCCTTCCTCGATATCACCTGAAGTAACAGCAGCGGGACCCAGCCGAGTACCATCACCAGCAATTCGAGGACCACCAACCGAAGCAGACCAACTTATGCCAATCACACGAGAAGTCTGCCGAAGTCCCACCACGGTCGTCGCGTTCTTCTCCAACACCGACATGTACCGACGCTCGCCCGGCCATCGCGCTCCCGACGACATCTGGCACCAACGCCTCGGGCACCCTGCAAACAGCACAGTACTACAAACCATCCAAGCCGAAATGTTAGAACGAAACGCTCTTCTTACAACGAGCGGCCAAGAACTTCGACGACCACGCGCACGATGCTTCACGTGCCCTGAAGCTGATCTTCCCCACCAACCTTTTCCATCACATCACAACCCAAGCGCACCTGCATACGCACCGATGGAAAAAGTTTACAGCGACATCTTAAACATGCCTCGAGACGACAGTGAAGCCGACTTCAACTATGTCATCATGTTCATCGATGCAGCAACAAGATATGTCTGGCACTACAACCTCAAGACACGCGATCAAGCTTTCGAAGCCTTCACGACGTGGCTCCCCATCGCTGAACGAGAATCAGGAACTAAACTCAAGAGCTTCCAGTCAGACGGTGCACTGGAATACCAGTCACAACGATTCAGGAACTACTTGGTGGAAAGAGGAATCAGACGCCTGGTGTCTCTGCCCTACGCTCACCAGCAGCAGGGGGTCGTAGAAAGAATGAACCGGACCTTGCAGACGACGATGCGGAAGCTGCTCCTGGGGATGAGACTGCCCAACGCACTGTGGCCAGACGCAATGACCCATGCAGTCCACCTGCACAATTTGTTATCCTCGTCCTCGCTTCCCAACAACGCATCACAGCACCTGCTGTGGACACGAAAAAGGGGCAGCACAAAATTACTTCGGGTTTTCGGCTGCATGGTACAGTACAGACCCCACACAGCATGAGCAGGATGTTTCACTCAACGAGCAGGACGTTTTACTCAACGAGCAAGGTGGGGACTTCACCTCGGCATCGCCAAACATTTCCAAGCATGGAAACTCCTCGACATAAAAGACAAAAATACCGTGGCATCACGTGATGTGATCTTCTACGAACGACTGATGCTGCAGCATTACCTGGACAACGTTGCCAACACAGACGACCCCACCGACGGCTTCGCGGGCCTTTGCTCCTTCGCCGACCGTGCTGCCGAGGCTGACGCAGCAGAAGAAGACGTACCTGGAGCTTCGGAAGCTGCCGAACCACTCCGTTACTGTTCCGTGCCTGTTCCACTCGACGAAGACAATCCTCTCGATAGCAACAACCTCGACACCCTTTACCACTTCGCTGACCAAGGTTACGTTACACCTCACCCGGTCGACACAAATGTCTTAGAACCCATCGGCCCAAACTTTTTACCTGATCCAGAAGATGGTGACGAAGCAGCCTATTCGGGGAATGAAAATTCCCCTCGACACACACCCACGGGACTACAGATACTCGGCTTATGGGTCTCCGTCCAGCATCCGCCGCCGCCATCTCCGCGCGAGCCAACGACACTGTCGCAGGCTCTTGGGGGGGAACACAAGGCGAAATGGAAGGAGGCAATGGGAAAGGAACTGAAAGCTCTGCAAGACCAAAATACATGGAAGCTGCTACCTGCAACGAACATCAACGGGAAGAACGTTCTCTCGGGAAAGTGGGTGTACCGCATCAAGACCAATGCGGACGGCTCCATCGAATGATTCAAGGCTCGCTGGGTCGTACGAGGATTTTGATCAACGATACGAAACCGACTACACAGAAACATTCGCCCCAGTCTCCCATCACACCTCCTTGCGCATTCTACTCGCCGCCGCGGCCACGAAGAAACTACCACTGCGCCAGATCGACGTCGCAAATGCCTTCCTGTACGCACCTATGGACGCCGAGATCTTCGTCGAGCAGCCCCACGGATTCATCGACGACCCCACAAAAGTATGCCAGCTGATAAAATCCCTTTACGGGATCAAGCAAGCCCCGCGGCTTTGGCATCAGCATCTTCACGGTCGCCTCGTCAGAATCGGATTCCTACAGCTGCCGCACGACCAAGGCATGTACCGACTACAGAAGGAAAGGGAATTTATCCTACTCATCGTCTACGTCGACGACCTGCTCTACATCGGCTCCACTCCCGACATCGCCACTTGGTTCGAAGGGGAGCTGAAAAGGGACTTGACACTTACGGTGTCTGACACCGTGACCCAGTACCTGGGTCTGAACGTCGTCGAAGACAACTCGGCGTTCTACCTATATGCTGGAAAATACGCAGGCGTTGTCGCGAAGAAATTCGGACTAACACCGACTACAGTCACAACTCCCTACCACTACGGGAACAACAAGGACACCTCCGCAAAACTCCCCGCGAAGCAAATCCAGGAGTATCAGCAGAAGCTTGGATGCCTACTATTCGCAGCAGTAACCTGCCGACCTGACCTATCCTACAGCGCGAGCCAACTGGCGACGCATCTGAAGTAGCCGGAACAAGAAGATCTCGAGGAACTAAATCGGGCACTACTCTACTTCGTCTCTATGCCGACGACCGGACTTACCTACAGTAAAGAAACAACATCGTCCGTACAACTACTCGGATACGTCGACGCCGACCACGCGGGAGATAGGGAAAATCGACGCTCAAGAACGGGCTACATCTACCGACTAGAGCCTATCGAGACTATCTCCTGGCAGTCAAGCAAACAGGAACTAATCTCATTATCTTCGGCTGAAGCAGAATATATCGCCCTCTGCACTGCGACCAAGGAAGGACTTTACCTGCGAGAGTTACTCGAGGAAGCAAAGATTGCGACCCTGCCCGTCTTCTCACTCCTCTGCGACAACCAATCTGCTGTCAAAATCGCGAACAAGGACGGCTTCGCCAACCGAACCAAGCACATCGCCCTGCGGTACTTCTTCATCATGGATGAAATCGCGAAGGGGAGACTTCAACTCAGTTACTGCCCTACGACAGAAATGGCCGCAGACTACCTGACGAAGAAACTGGCGAATGCAAAGTTCGATTACTGCATGCTGCTGACCGGGCAGACAAACGTCACCGGATCTGAACACGTCAGCACTCCAGAAACGAAGGGGAGTATTGGAAATACCTCAAGGACTTAAGCGTTTCTGAAGTGTAACACCACACTCGAGGAAGATCGTAACGGGTATGCGAGTCAACGGAGGTTACACGAGGGGATGGACAAAGAACACGAAAGGACTCGAAGGGTCGCAATCGGAGGTTGCGACTGACCGTTACAACTGCAAGGATGGTAACCGAAGTGACAATCGAGTCGCTGTGCGACTCGATAACCGCTCCTTCAACTGTATTCTACAACTGCTTGCTTTCCTACTTTCTATATATTGCTGTATGCTTGTTCTTTTAATCGATCACTTGTTATCATATACTAGTACAAGGGTTCAACTACTCAACTTCCGCTGCACTACTCAAGTCTCCTTTTACAACTGGGACTTAGTCTCTGGAAAGATCCTAAGGGCTTTTCTCAGCCCAACATGGTATGAGAGCTGGTCAGAGACCAAACTCCCAACAACTACGTTCCATCGACAACCAGCACACCAACGACTTCATTGATTACAAGTCAACCAGTTCTCGCCCTGCAAACTTGGCACAGGTGGCGAGGTGGCTCTCCGCCAGATTGTGAGCTGCAAAACTGGCAGCCCTGCTAGCTCGCGCGAAACAGACGCTGACTTTGCAAAGCCCATTCTTCGCCAAATATCTCGTTTCCATTATCCTTCGTCGTCCAATCAAGTTCTGCCGCTCCACCTACATAAACAGTACAAATATGCAACCTGCCGGGCGGGCTTTAATCACAACCTCACTAAGGGCATGTATACTAAGCATACGTCCGGATGCGGTTGAGTGAGTTAGATTGTGTTTCAGAAGGATCCAACCATTCCATAAAACGGTTCAGTAGGGTTTGGCAAATAAAACGAACGCTTAGGATACGCCCTAATGCATTACTCGACTCCTATCCGGAGATTATCACAACACAATCGATCCTTGACTTGTTCTGTACACCTCGTGCTCACGTGGTTCTGCCGCGTCATCCTACGTAAGCACCCAATTCCTGACTGGCCCCACCTGAACTCACAGCGCGAACATCGAGCAAGGAAGATGGGCATTTAATGCACTGAACTAGACACTGTAGACAGCACACCAAGCTTGCGTTGATTGCAACACCATCTTCCACTAGGCTGGCTGGCCTCCGTCCATTCGTCCATCCCCTGCCTTCGCCTCCTGCCCCAGCCCAACATGCTTGCATGTGCGCTTGCAACTTGGAACAGGCGTGCCTTTTCCGCACCGCACCAAATGGGCCCACTCAGCTCGACCCAACAACCAGACTCAACAACCGAAATTTGTCGCTTCCTCCTCCAGCCACAGCGGCACACGTTGCCAGTTTGGCGAAGACGTGCGAAACTCTTTGCGGAGAATCGTACAGCTGCGAAGACAGGGGGGTCGCTCGTTGCCACTCCCCGGGGGACACAAATCTGGCAGGAACTGATGCTACACAATTTCGCAAATTCAAATGTTGGGTATAGGGGGGTTCATCATTATTCACATAACTCAACCCTTCTATGAAGGAGCTAGCACTTCTCCTAAAATGTGTTGCTCCCTCCATGACTCCATGGAGAATCTTGGCAATACTCCCGCTTAATTTTTCAAAACACAATCTCCTTGATCAAGTTGCTTTGTAAACAAACCAACAACACAAATAGAAGCAAAAAAACTCAATACGTTATGAGTTCAAGTCATGGGGAAAGCCCTTGTCTTGGCTATCACCTACGCCAAGGCCAAGATCCAAAACAACGGTAGGGGTAGGAGCCAAGGGAATCGGAGAGGCAGATTCTGTCCTGAGGAAGGCAGCAGTCGACAGAGCAATCTCCCGCGACGGAACTGCCCCCACCGATGCTGACTCCAGTTGTACCCTCTCACTGACGCTCCCACCAAAACCACTCGCGCGCACACTCCCTTCTGCGTCCACAATTCCTGTCAAGATCTCCACGTTGTGTGAAGCATGCACCGCATCTGCATGCAGTGAGCTCAAGGCCGGATCACCCCCCACCGGCTTCACCAATGCTGCGCCCTGAGGCACTGGTGGGCAGCTGCTCTGTGTATTCTGGGAGACGACTCCAAGCCTTTCCAGCAGACTGCCTCCAGTAGAGATGTGTGGCCTTTCGGTGGGGGTCTGCAGTCGTCCACTTGCAGTGTGGGGCCGCATTTCAGCAAAACCAGCCGTCCCTGCCGTTCCCACAGCTTCTGATGTCCCCATCTCCACCTGAGGTCGGTCAGAGCCTCCCAGGGTGACCTCGCTAGGCATGGGCATATGCTGGAGAGGACCATATGCGGATGAAGCATCGGGTCGTGCGGAATGATGCTCGTGGGATGCCGATGCGCGGAGGATGGAAGTCGCAAGCGAGGTCGTCGTCATCGTTGCAGCGGCGGCTGCGGCTGCTGCTGCTGCCGCCGGCGTGTTGGACTGTGCAGCCCTTATTTGCTGAGCGAAGAAACTTATCACGTTCTTCCACTGCTGCTGCTGTTGTTCCTGCTGCTGTTGTAGCTGCTGCTGCCGTTGCTGCTGTTGTTCCTGCTGCCACTGCTGCTGTTGCACTTGCTGCTGTCGCTGCCGGTGCTGCTGCATGATCTGCAGCAGGTGCTGCTGATGATTATCCATCTGCACTTGCTGCTGGGATGGGTGCTGGGATGGGTGCTGGGATGGGTGCTGGGATGGGTGCTGGGAATGGTGATGGGGTTGGTGCTGTAAGTGGTGCTGAGACTGCAGCTGACTCAGCATCTGAATCGCTGCTGCCGGGGGAATGCTGGACAGGACGCGGTCACGCTCTGACTCACACGGATCCAGTGCCGCCGCCTCGGTCGTCTGCTGCCTTCGCTGACCTTGCGGCTGTTGCACCTGCTGCAGCTGCCTTTGCTGCGGCTCTGGCTGCGCAGCCGGTGCTTGCGGCAGTCTCTGCTCTTTCTTCTGCTGTCCCCTCGCATCCGCGGACCCTCCACTCTTCTGTCTCTTCCTCGCTCCACCGCCCCCCACCTCGTCTTCTCCAACCGGTCTAGTAGCACTGGCGCACGGATTCTGATTCCCTGATCGAGTCGCCGCCGACGCGTCGGTATTCCCAGAACCGCCGATACCAGCGCCGGGAATCACGGCGTTGATTGCGGGGGACGCCTGGTCGAGCAGCCACTGGATCGTCTCGCCGTCCGATCGGTGCCCGAGCACTCGCGTGAGATGGAAGATCTGCGACGCGCACGCCGCCGGCATGCGAATGCGACGGCCTCTGCCGTCCACTTTCCGGTGCCTGTCTCTCCTCTTCGTCCCCGCCGGGTCCGGCCCAGAATCGTCCCCCGCTCCTTCCTGCTCCCCCTCCCCCTCCCCCTCCCCTTCCGCTTCCGCTTCCACTTCCGTCGCTTCCGCATCCTCCCGCTCGTCCTCTCCCGAGATCTCCGCTCCGCTGCCCCCAATTGCCTCCCTCTGCGGCGCCGTGCTGCGTCGCTCGACGATGGCTGTGCGACGGGAGCTGTGGGGCCGGGCGACAGTGCGACTGTCTTTGCTGTCGCCTGGCGACGGCTCTCGGCCTTCGAAACGGCCGAGCTGCGGATTGGGAGCAATTCGAAGCTGATCTCGACTCGAGCGTCTACTTGCAGGCGGATTTTGTGCGGCCACAACGGGCGCTACTAACGGGTGATCGCCCATGGGAACGGCACTCGCCGACTTTCCAACTTGGGCCTTCCTGAGGGTTTCGACGTGGGAAAGTCGAGCGACGAGAAATGGGCTCATGACACTCCCGCTGAGCTACTACTCCAGCCGTTGATCTGGACAAGACAGTTGCATAACTGAAACCGTCAAATGGTTTGGAAAGGCCGACGTAAATCACGAGGGAGAGCGTGGAAGACTACTAGCAGAGCAGGCTCGAAGTGCGGGCCAGTAAGAACGGAGAGGAGAGGAGGACAGACTGAAGTCGAAATCGCATTTTCTCTGATTGGGGCTCAAATTTGATTGTGAAAGTTGGGATTGAAGCGTGTGCCGTTCGCGAAAGCTGTCGAAGAACACTGTAGTGAGCGAGAGAGCGAAGGTGAAGTTACAAATCAAAAGGCCAGGCCCCTCAATGTCCCTAGGGGTTGCCCTGCAGAAATCCGAGGGGTCCAACTCGTCCAGGACGGGTAGCCCTATACTTGGGTCTGCTTTTACAGGCCATATTATTGCCAGCTCGGAATGCGAAGGCTTTCTGCCTCCCGAACACACTTTGGGCGAAACGCAAAATGTACCACTGTATTGGCATTTTTCGCACACACAGGCGCCCCTTTCATAGAGGCCGTTGTTCTGGTCCCGCCAGACTCCTGACAAGGAGAGGTGTTGTAGCAGCACTTGCAGGATATACTATAATCGAATATCACAGGGGCTCATCCTTCCCCCCAAAAGCAGGACAAAAGCAGGACTGGACAAAACGTTTTTTCTTTTCTCCTTGGCAGAGAGGGTAATTACCTGTAAGTCCAGTGACCCAGCACATTCACCCGAGCGCAATAGAGTAGCTTCTGTGGGAGGAGAGGAGGATGGACAAAATGTACACTTAACGTCCAGTGAACTTCTTATTCATTACATGTGAATTGTTTACATATAGACCAATCGGTCTGAACGCATGGGCAACGGCCCTAACTACACAGGCTTAAATATCTGCAACAGTTACATCTGATACGAAGACCTCCAAACGTCCAGACGGGACGTCCTCAGATCTTACACTGTTGCCCAAGGAACGCAGAAAAAACAACAATGGTCACCCGTTTTGACTGAAAAATGTCAGCTAAGTACAGATCATATTCTGTTAACGCAATCTCCAGGAAACATGGAAATTGCACCAATCGTTTCGACCCGTACGCTAGGGGCGATTATGTCCTTATCATTCCCCATAATATAGGGCCCCTGCCCGTTCTGCACTGTACATGGGCGGCCTCCATATCGCATACGGCGACGGTTCCGAAAAGTGCTTGTCGCACATTTTCGCAAAGCGTGTCAAAGCGTCGTTTCGTTTCATGAAAATATCATTATTTGGCTTGCAATATTCACGACAAAAATAACAAAAAATATTCAAATACTTTCGGAATGATTCACTCGAGACACAATCTTATCAACATGAAGCGCACACAAACCCAACTAAAAAAAAAAAGAACAAGAGTTATCGTTGTGATGTATTTTACCTAGTATGAGATCTAAGAAGAACAAAAAAAAAAGAGGTCTTATTGCAACAGCTTTGATGACGGGGCTGTCTATTGGGCATCCCGTCAGGGATTTCGTAGGTTGCTTTGGCACGATACAATTGGGCAATGGTAGGTCTGTCGCGTCACCCACGGATTTGGTGGACCACATCAAGAGCATTGGTCGGAAATCCCGACGCAGCAAAATCACAATAAGTTGTGCGCCAATACATGTGCGAGTTTACGTGGTAGGGGCTTTCTGTCATTGGTGGCGATCAAAAACTTTTTTGGGCCGCTTCAAACCTCAGTGGCCAATTTCCGATATTTTTTAGTACCAAGGGTGTGCACATATGGATAAATTGCAGCTATGGAATCATTGCGCATTTTGATATTGCTATAATAGCATATGATATGTAACTAGACTACCCTTTATTGGCCCAATCCGCCTGAGACAGTTTTCTCAGATTCAGAGAAACCGTTTGAAACAAAAGTGCGCCTGAAAAGGAATTTATATGTACAGCGCGTGATCTCATCGAGATCGACATCTCTGTTCATCGGTCCATCTGACCGTCTCTTCCTGCCCGTCATCATCACTCTCTTCCCCCACTCCCAAAATCCCCTTCCCTCCCCCCACCCCACCACAACGCGCCCGTCACCTCACCTTCCACACTACACACCTCACACCCCTCCCGTCTCCCTAAGTCCCCCATGTCCCCCAGAGAACTGACGACGACCTCCCCCTTCCCCCCCTTCCCCCGTGCACTCGCACCGCAGCTTACCTACCAGACGTACACTGTAGAAGTGCCAAGTGTCGAAGTGCACGACAGCGCCCACAGGCGGACCCACTTTCGATGTAAGTCATGCGATCCCCTCACGCTTCAAACAAACGACAAACGCAAGTGGTAGAGCGTTGTGCTGGAGGGGGTGTGAAATCATTGAGGCACCACTCCTGACAGTGAGCTGTCATAATTGTCGTCCAGCGCATTCATTGCGCCCTTCCAAACAAGTCGCAGCATCAAAATCTGGGCCCATGTGTTGACAGCAGGGAGCAGGTGGCGTTACCTACTGTTGTGACCGCAAAACAGTGAGAAGCGAGAATGCCTTAGCGAAGATGATACACCTTGAGCCTGACAGAGGAGCACAACTTTTCAGGGTGCCGGGAAATGAAAACGCGCAGCGGTTTCGCACAGCATCGTCACGGGCATGTGTGCCTTTCGCACGGGCACGAAGGTTACCATTTTGAATTTTTGCAGGGTAGTTTTGAGTGGCATATTTTGGCGAGCCATTGTTCACTTAGTTACCCTGTGTTAAGTTTCGGCGCTTTCAAGCGAGAAGAAGTTTCTCTGGTGTGCACCTGAGTGGTGGTTGGCAAGTGAGATCTTGAGTGAGTTTCTCTGTTTTGGTTTGCTCCCTTTTATACTCAGTGAAATGTGGCGAGGGTTTGGAGTCGCATATCAGTTCCAAATGTTAGGGGCGTGTTCTAAAGATTTCTTATATTACGAATTCAAGGTTCGTGTCGCAACAATAACTGTTGCGTGGATTGTGGGAATTTGTTTTACGAGTCTGTTCCTGGGTTGGCTATCGGATGTTGAGAACGACCCCTAGCATCGGGGCATCGCGACTCCATTTCGCTGCCAAGTCAGCGTTCGGTTTCATGCGGCGATGCTCAAGCCACAAACAAACCCAGCGAGGTGTATGCACATTTGCGAGCTCAACGAAAGGCTCGCTGAGCTTCGTCGGATCGCTATTCCGAGCGTGGCAGGAAGTTTGTGCTGAAAACGGTTGCGGCGCACATCTTTCGTCTTGTGCCGCATGTTTGTCACCGTTGTCATGATGATGCTGCACTGCTGGCTCTGTTCACGGCCCACGTTGAGTGGGCCGTTGCCCGTGTGTCAACGCTAATGGGCGGTGGTTTCTGATTGGGCCACGTGTGCGCTAGGCCTCCGCTGTGCTCCGGGTGTACACATTTGGGAACATTAAAAGTTTTTTATATATATATATATATATTTCTAGGCACTAACCAAATAGGCACGGCTCGGACGTGTGGCGGGAAATGAGTATGGAGCGCACTAAATTAACACGAAATGCGGAAAAAAAAAAAAAAACAACAAAAAAAACGCATGAATGTGCATGCGGATCAGGATATGCTACTCTTGGGTACCACGGCTCAAATGAATGTGCAAGAACCCCTTTATGCCAGCGTACGCTTTACGAAGTGAAACTGGGGATAAAGAAATTTAGGCGACGGTGCTGACGACTTAGTGGGTTAGATTTTTGGTTGGCTCCCTGACAAGGCATGCGAGCATTGCTGGCGATGTAGGGAAGCATAAGTCGCACGTGCAATGATTGGCGGATGAACCATGTGGCTGGCAGATAGCAATAGTGGCGGTCGTAATCATGTGGTTGACAGTAACTAAGACACAGCAGTAAATACGTACTTTTGCGACGAAGCGCAGGCAAAGGTTATGGGTATCGAGGAGGACTAGGTTTTATAAACGGTAGGTGACGGCACAGACGGTAGATCTGGTTATGGGTATCTAAGATACGAGGTTGGCGCGCTTGACGACTTTAGCTGCTCTCTTGTGGACAACTGGTAGAACTTCTGCGAACTGCTGCGCGTGTGGGATTGCGTTGTTGGGATTTGGCGTAATGGGCGCTGTAAGGTACTAAACGTAGTAAAGATAGAATAATAATTGCTGTGTTGTTGCTGATGGGGCAGTGTTATACGCAAACACAATCAGTGGCATTTGCGTCACCCCATCAGCGACGTCGCCGCATATGGCGCGAATGAGTTGCTCAATTATCTGGCTGGTCCGTTCAGTTTGACGGCCAATCTTGGGGTTCTGGATTGTAGGAGTAGAAATGAAATATTGGAGGGCTCGACGAAGATTGGCCATATTCTCCCCTTCAGGTCGGCGCAGGTATTGTGCGAGCTGACTCGTGATCTAGGCAAGATCAGGACGGCATGTAACGGCTGCAAATGGAAGACACCCGAGCTGCTGCTGGTAAAGCTGATGCTCAGAGTTGTTAAGCGAGGTAGTATCAGGTATGTGATCGGCCGAAATGTGACGAAATGGAGTGGTGAGGCCGATAGGAGCGATGGCCAACTTTTTCGCAAGTGTTTCGGCGTACTTGCTTGCATAAAGGTAGATAGCATCGGGGTCGCAGCCAACATTTAACCCAAGAAATTGGGTAACGTTGAAGAAAATAGTCACTTCAAGAACCGTTTGGATTCTTTCTTCCATGCGTGCTAGAAGTTTGTTGCATGAGCCGGTGTACAGTAAGTCGTCCACGTAGGCGACTAGAAGAATGTAATGCTATCCAAATTCGAGTCTATACATTCCAGGATCGTGGGGCAGATGCACGAAGTCGAGTGAAATCAGAACTTTGTAAAGATGCTGGTACCTCAGGCGATGCTTGATGCCATAGAGTGACTTAAGTAACTTGCAGATGTGAAGTCCATCGCCGTACGTATGAGGGAGTTCGACGAAAATACATGCATTGATGTCTGCATATAAAATCACATTTTTAATGCCCAGTCGGCGAAGTGGCTAATGGCGGCTGGTAGCAATTGCGACAAGAATGCGAACAAACCGGAGCAAAAGTATGGTCGTAATCGATGCCATGGGTTTGTTTGAAACCTCGAACGACCCATCTCCCCTTGAATTTGTCTGGTTTGCGTGTTGTATTTGCCTTTATTCGAAAGACCCACTTGCCCGAAAGATTTTTCTTGTCGCGTGCTACTTCCCCTAAAACGAGTTTCC